ACCTTTTCTGGAAAACTTAAGAAAGTCTAAAAACAAAGTCTATTCAAACCACTTAAAATATCTCCATGGGCATTTTTCAAGCCATATTTTATGATTCTCATCCCTTTTTTCAGAGATACATATGTGATGAGCCCTGGCTTGTGTAGCTCAGTGGATTGAGCTCAGATTGCAAACCAAAGGGTTGCTGGTATGATTCCAGTCAGGGCACATGCCTGGGTTGCCGCCCAGTGGGGGCCATGTGAGAGGCAACCACACACTGATCTCTCTCTCCCTCCCTCCCTTCCCCTCTCTAAAAATAAATAAATAAAATCTTAAAAAAAAAAAAGAAATGTATATGTGGTTAAGTAGAATGAGCACTTTGGAACCAGAGTGGCTCCAAACCTGCCGTGTTCTCTCAGGAGTGCCATTGTATGAATTATTTAATGTTTCTGACTTTTCATTTCTTTGTATAGTTGAGTAATCATGCTTAGGTGGCAGCTAGTTTCAGATTGACTGAGAAAATACAGGGACTTTGTATGTGATTGAAAAATAATTTTTAATTTGTGAGACTTAACCAAATATTACATTTAGAATATTTTTCACCTTAATGTCATCATTTGTAAAGTATTTTACTAAGGCTAAAATAAATGATAACAGTATCCTGAAGTTAAAATATATTCTCTCTAATTGACCTGAATGTGATGATGTAACTTAGATATGTGGCCATTAAAACAGTATCTTCCGGTGATCTTAAACTGCTAATTTAAAATTGTAAATGAGAGTTTTGTTTATAAAATTCTCTGATATTTTAAAGTTAAATGTAGCTGATGATTTGGTTTGATTTTAATTGTAAAAAGTGGCTTGAAAACTACAAAGAAATAAAGTGGGTGTAATCTACCTACCACTGGTCTCTTTATGTTAAATCTATGCATCTGTGAATCCATTTGCACACATATATGAATTTTATATAATATTTTATACATACATTTTACCTTTCAACAACATGGGCTTGAACTGTGTGGGTCCATTTACACGTGGATTTTTTCAATAAATATATTACAATTTTTTAGAGACATGACAATTTGAAAAAACTCACAAATGAACTGTAGATATTAGAATATCAAAAAATTAAGAAAAAATTAGGTGTGTCATGAATGCATAAAATATATGTAGATACTAGTCTATTTTATTGTTTACTACCATAAAATATGACAGAGCCAATCAAATAAATTATGGAAAAGACTGTGGATATGTGATGGTGGTGAAGGGTTTCAAGGTATGGATCTTCAAGAAATTCAAGAGCTAAAGACACCGCCCTGGAGGAGTTAACAGAAGACGACTTGCAGCAGATGAGTGCTTCCAAGCCCAGGCCAGGCGATGAGGAAGATGTGGAAGAAGCAGGGCCTGGAGGCAAAGTGACATTAGACAGTCAGGCAGAAGCCTTCTGATTATTGAAGACTGCTTCGGCTTCTTTTACAACACGGACCCTTCTGTGATGCAGACATTGTAACTAAAGCAAATGGTGGAAGAAGGATGTGTACTGTATAGAAACATTTTGAGAGAAATGGGAAAGCAAAAAAAGTCAGACAGAAATTGAGATGTATTTCTATAAAGTTACGCTGAGAGTATCTGCCTCTTCTTCCACCTTCTCCTCTTTTGTGGCTGCCACCTGTGTGACAGCAAGACCAACATCTCCTCCTCTTGGTCCTCCTCCACCTATGCAATGCAAAGAAAACAGGATGAAGACCTTTATGATGATCCACTTCCACTTGATGAATGGTGAATAATTAGGATGCTATGTAGTTAATAAACTTATCTGTTGTGTATGTGTGTGAGTGTCTTTGTGTAACAATAATAACTGTATGTCAAGAACTATACAAGGCATTTTAGTGTCATCATCATCATCATAATCACCTATGTATTCAATGTGCAGAACATCCTCTGCAAGGCTTCTGTGGAATTAGATAGGCTAACATAACATAACATAACATAACATAACATAACATAAGTGTAATATATCCTAAACATAAGTGTAAAGTGAGTGATATTTAATGTAAAATTAATGTGTTAGTTTTCTTACTGTTTTATTACTTTGCTTCCAAAGAATCATGTGTCTGTGAATAAATGTAGTACGTAGTACGTTATATGTACATTATATGTAATACGTCTCTCTTGTAACTGGAGAAACTGTGCATCAGCCTATCATCACAGGTAAGTGGTTTTTTAAAAGTAACAGTGTTTCCAATAATAACAATCTCCTGACTCTTGCTTCCCCCTTTTTAACTAATTCCATGCCCTTTCATCCTCTGGCTATTCCTAAGCTCTCACAACCACGAGCTGTTCTCATTTTTGTAATTTTTTTCATTTCAAGACCTATCTAACTAGAATCATACAATATGTAGCCTTTAGATTACTGACTTTTTTCACTCAACTAATTCCTTTGAGAGCCATCCAAGTTGATGCATTATCAATAGTACGTTCCTTGTTCTTGCTAAGTAGTTTCCATGGTATGGATGTGCCAGTTTGTTTAACCTTTCAACTCATTGAGGTAAGTAGATATTTTATTAAAGGAAGGGCATACGAAAGACTAGTTAGAATTTTACCTTTGGCATGTGCTGAGTACTTTATAGAAAGTATTTCTTTTAATTCTTACAGTAAACTTTGGAGATAGATGTAACTATTGTTTGCATTGTGTTGATGTAGAAATCTAGATTCAGAGCAATTAGATAACTTGTTAAAGATCATGCAGCTAGGGAGTAGAAAGCTCACTTATTTGATGAGTTTAAACTTAAACAATCTAGCTTGAAAAGGCACCCTCTTAACTGCCATACTATACTTTTATCTGACAATAATAACAATCAATCTTTATTGGTAACTTATAATTTTCTAGGCACTGTGCTAAATGTCTTACAGGTAATATATATCGTGTACTTTGTAAAGCATCCCTGTGAGATAAATATACACAAATATAATACAATGCTTTTTAGGAAAACAGAAAAGGTAGCAATTATATCTGCTAAGAGTTATTGAGAAACGACATTACATAGAGTCAGACTTTTATTAAACACTTCATGGAGATCCATTGGAGGCAGCAAAGCATGTGGGTAAAATGTCCAAAGTTCTCTTCTGGAATGAAACTCTTAGCAGTTGTGTAGTGACTGCAATACAAAATAATACTGGAGACCCAGACCACTTGGGAGGCTCTTAAAATAGTCAAAATCGGAGGTGATAAAATAAGGGCCTTAACAAAGTCAGGGGAGCTAGACATAGAAAGAAGGAATGAAGAAGAAAGGTGTCTAGGAGATACAATTGACAAGATGTAAAGTGGGTTCAACATAGGTCTGGGAGGAGAAGAGGTAGGTTTCTCATTTGAATGGAAGATGGATGCCATTAAACTATGAAAGATATATCGGGGCAAACATTTGAGGAGCAGAAGATAATGACTTTAATTTGGGGAATGTTTACATTAGTTACCTTATTAACATTTTTGTAGGTAGCTTGAAAGATGGGATCTAAGGTTTAGGAAGATATTCAAGCTAAAGATAAAAATTAGGAACACAACAGTCATCAGTGAATATTTAATATTTGGAGGTACAGAGGCAATTTATATACTTACAACTCCATGACATTTTCTCAATGACAAAATCCAGACTCCTTGGGATGCTATTTAAGACCTCTACAGTCTGGCATTCATCTGTCTTTCAAGCTGTATTGCCCACTTTTTGTTAATGTTATATCTTTAATAATCTGACCAAAATAAACCAATCTACAGAGTGCACTCCAAAGGGAAGTTTACATTTTCCTCTTTTTAAACCAATTATTTGGCTCTGAATTTCCCCCCAGTTGCTCTACCTAAGTTGCAGCCATGCTTTAAAACCCACCTCAAATATCGTCATCTCAGTGTAGCTTTCCTGCCAGATAATCTCACAAAAAGGGAAAACATACAAGCAACTCTCCCAGTATTCTCCAACTCCAAATCTTCACCAATGAACTCAAGACTTAATCAGTATAAGGAGCTACACTCAAACTTCTATGAAGTGTCACAGTATTTTCTGTAGACTGAGAGAGCAAAGCCCTTAAACTGTGGTATTGTCTAAATAAATGCTAGAAACCAAACTAAAAAGAGGGCCAGTGCATTAGAGATAAGGGGCAACCTATCAAAAGAGGCCTTCAGGAAGGAAGGTGGTTGGAGTTAGGCCTTTAGTTCTGTGGAGGGAGCAGTGTTTGTGGGCTCTTCCTACTGTTGCGAACTTGAATCCCCTCACTCTGATTGTATTCTCATTGTGGCAGGAAAAGAAAACTCCAAAGGTTTCTTATGCTCTGTAACTAACACTTGCAAAGTTTCACACAGGACTGTAGAAGCTGACAAGTCGTAACCAAAGCAACGGCCAGTTACTCAAGGTCATACACAGACTCCCATGATAAGCTCCTGTGCTCTGTAGCTTCTGCAAATTCTTCCTGAGTTTTCTCTTTGTCTCCCAGGATAAGGTAGCTGGACCTAACTTCCGCATTCGGCTTCTGTAACCTTGCTTCGCCACGTAGGTAGGAAGCCCGGGACTATTTAAACCCCGGGAGAGTGAGGATCGGTGCTCAGAGGATTTGGATGTTAGCCACCCCCTCTGGGCCCCCGGGTAATAATAAAGTTCGTGCTTCATTATCTCCCCGCGTGTGGGTGGATTTTCCACAACATCATGATGGGAACTAACATTCAGTCAGTGCTGACCACAGATATTTTTACATTATAATGAAAAGCGTATTTTATTGAGTGTCTCTAGTGCTATATGCTTTATAATTTTATAATAAAAGGATGATAGTGGTAAGAACACATCTAATAACAAATCAGAGGCCGCATAAAGTCCTCGGACTAGCTGGTCGCCAGGGTGTGCCCCACACGGCAGTGAGGAAGTGAGGGAGGGAGGTATCTGTTTTGCACTTTGCCTTCAGTGTTTTTCCAGAGGGTGTGGCCTAAGGGTTTTCTCTTCTCAATCTCTCTAGGAAATGAAACGAAAAGCAGATGCAGACTCAGCTGGTGCAGAGAAGCTGCCCTTGCTCACTTAGAGAAAAGGTGTAGCTCTGACTGTACTGAGGGCAGACTTGCCCCTTCTTGTGACCCTGGGCTGGCTGTTGGACTGTAAAAAGAAAACTACAGATCCCAGGTAAGAGAGGGTTTGGCACCTTGCGTGTTGATGAACTGGTGAGGGAAAAAAAATGTGTGATTATATTGAGGGGCCATTCAAGAAAAAAGAACTGGCTGCTAAGAGCTAAGTTAAGCTGGAAGGTTAGTTATACCTGGGGCAATGAAGTGGTGGTGATTTTAGTTTGAAGACAAGATAATTTATTTGCAAATAAATGGACTCCAACATCCATTTGAGACTGATGTCAAAGTAGCTGCTTTAGATTGAATTTTATTTGCAAAACATGCTAGGACTTCCCTGTACCAGATGGATTATTAAAAATAGATGTGACACAATTTTGTATTAGGCTTATAGCTTATTGTAACAGACAGGCCAACAAAATGACACACACACATATTAATTCAAATAAATATTTCTGTTTTGGGAAGTTGAGGATGGGACAATGATGAGCTTAGAAGGATTGATTGAGAAACAATGCTCTTAGTGAGAAACCTACCTTCAGTGGTGGTTTGTAAATTTGGATTTTTAAATACTATTATCAGAACTATCTTGAGTATGTTTCTAAATTTAATAATAGAGAATTGTATTTCTCTTTAGGATAGGTGGTGATATATGACTCAACTTAATTGAGGTTCTTTAAACAATTGAGGCTGTTTCTGCACTATTTCAGTACATTTGGAAATCAAAGGAAATGTTAGTTTCTTGTCTCTGTAATTATTTCTAGTATGTAATTGTGAAGCCCTATGGAGAAGTCACTTCCCTTTTAATGACCACAGGGGTATTGTTGGTCTAACAATATGGAATTATTTAGAGGGCTATATGACGATGAATCAAAAATATTTTCAAAAGACATTTTTATATTTTGAAAATACTGACATACTGCGTGGTAGAACTGCAGCCTCCAACCTTTTGGGCATCACTGACCAGTTTCCTGGAGGTTGGGGTGACCGGAGGTGGAGCCTAGGGGAGCTTCACTCTACCTCTGGGGAGGCGGGCTTGGTAGGGTGGGGCGAGACAGGAGGCGGAGCTCAGGGGAGCTTACTTTGCAGCCGGTTCCTAACCTGCAGCGGACTGCAACCGGTCTGCGGTGGGGACTCTTGTGGTAGAATGCAAAATTTATATGTATTTTTACTAAAAAATTTGTAAAGAATGTGACATCAATGAGACTGTATACTTGCTAGGGCTGCTGTTAGATAGGTCCTTAGATTCTTTATCCATTTGTCTATAGGCGGTTACTTAAGTTGCTTCCATATCTTGGCTATTGAAAATAACGCTGCAGCCCTGGCTGGTGTTGCTCAGTGGATTGAGCGCTGGAATGTAAACAGGAAGGTCGGGCGTTGGATTCCGGCCAGGGTACTTGCCTGGATTGTGGCCAGGTTCCCAATTGGGGGCACTCAAGAGGCAATCACACACTGATGTTTTCCTCTCTCTCCCTCTCTTCCCGAACACTCTCTGAAAATAAATAAGTGAGATCTTAAAAGAAAAGAACACAATGCAGCAATAAACATAGGAGTGCGTATATCATTTTAAATTCCAGTTTTCATTTTCTTTGCATAAATACCCAGTAGTGGAATTGCTGGGTTGTACGGCAGTTCTATTTTTAATTTTTTGAGGAATATTCATACTGTTTTCCAGAGTGGCTGCAATAATTTATAATCACACCAACAGTGTACGTGGGGTCCCTTTTCTCCATATCCTCACTAGCACTTGTTGTTTGTTGTCTTGTTGATAACATCCATTCTGACAGGTGCGAGGGGATATGTTACTACAGTTTTAATTTGCATTTCCCCGATGATTAGTGACGTTAAGTATTTTTTCCAAGTTTCTGTTGGCCAGCTGTCTGTCTTTGGAGAAATGTATGTTCAGGTCCTGTGTCCATGTTTTAAATTGAATTGTTTGTTTGATGTTGAGTTGTGTGAATTTTATATTTTTGGTAGTAACCCCTTACTGTATACATTAGTTAGAAACATCTCCCATTCAGCAGATTGACTTTTTGTTTTGTTGATGGTTTTTTTGCTATGCCAGTTTTTTTTAGTTTGATGTAGTTCCATTTGTTTATTTTTGCTTTTGTTGCCTTTACCTGAGAAGACATATCCAAAAATTATTGCTAAGGTCAATGTGAAAGACTTCACTGCCAGTATTTTCTTTTAAAGATCTATGGTTTCAGGTCTTACACGTAAGTCTCTAATTCATTTTGAGTGTATTTTTGTATATGGTATAAAAATGTGGTCTGTTTTCAAGTTTTGTGTGTATCTGTTCGGTTTGACCAACACTATTTATTGAGGAGGCTGTCTTTTGCCCATTGTATGTTTTTGCCTCCTGTGTCGTAGATTAATTGACCACATATGTGTGGATTTGTTTCTGGGTTCTCTTTTCTATTACACTGATGTGTGTGTGTGTGCACACATGTATGCCAGTACCACACTACTTTGTTGTGTAATTTGTGTAATAGCTTTGTTGTGTAATTTGAAATTATTGAGCACGATACTCCAACTTCTTCTTTCCCCAAATTTCTTTGGCTTCTCAGGGTCTGTTGTGATTCCCTATACATTTTAAGATTTTTTGTTGTTGTTGTTGCAGTTAACTGAAAAATGCCATTGTATTTCGATAGGTATTGCTTTTGGTAGTATGGACATTTTAACTGCATTAATTCTTTCAATCCATGAGCATGGTATATGCTTCCATTGATGTCTTCTTAAATTTATTTTATCAATGTCTTATAGTTTTCAGAGTACAGGTCTTTTACCTCTTTGTTTAAATGTATTCTTTGGTACTTTATTCTTCTTGATGCAATTGTAATAGAATTGTTTTCTTTATTTTTTCCTGATAATTTCTTATTTGTGTACAGAAACAAAATAGATTTCTGAGTTTTCTAATTTTATATCTTGCAAGTTTACTGAATTCATTTATTAATCCTCATATTTTTGGTGGAAATTTTAGTTTTTTAAAAAAATATATAGTATCATGTTATCTGCAAATAGTGACAATTTTACTTCTTCCTTTCCAAATTGGAAATTTCTTTTTTCTCTTGTCTCATAGCTATGGCTAGGACATCTGATACTGTGTTCAATAAGAGTGGTGATAGTGGACATCTTTGTCTTGTTCCTGATGTTACAGAAAAAACTTTCAACTTTTCACATTTGACTATGATGTTAGCTATGCATTTTTTACATATGGCCTTTGTTATGTTAAGGTATATTCCTTTTATACGCACTTGGTTGAGAGCTTTTATCATAAATGGATATGGAGTTTTGTCAGATGAGTGTGTGCTTCTTGACGCCAGAGGTCTTGTGGATATTGCCTAGAATAGTGTCTGACCTTATAGTAAATACCCAATAAAAGATGATTGAGTAGATTAATTAATGCACAAGATAATTTTATTATTATAGGCACTCAGTAGGGTGACATACTGTAGCCAAATTATGCTCATAAAATCTTTTTACAAAAATAAAGCGTTGACTTTTGTGATTCTGTATATGTAGTTTCTTTTTATATCATTTTATCATTATATCTGTGGATTTTTTCAGAAAGAGCTCATGACATTAAAATATCTTGGTGATATTATTTATGTTACTATTGATTGGAGTTTATTTACAGAGAATTAGCCTATCTGTATGTAATTTTACTCTGAATCTAAGTATCTATAGTAACTATGATTGTATCTGTTTGCTTTAGGAATAGAAGTGACACTTGATTAGTTTGGTTTCTGAGAAACCACATTGGATTCTTTCCTCTATTAGCTGAAAAATGAACATTTAATGCTGTCTGCCCGCCAAGACAGTGTCCCAATGTTAGTATCTATCTTCGTGTCACCACTTAAATATCTTACTATTAAGAAAAGAACAGATAAAGAAAGAGTACACATGTTGATACAATGGGAGAATACATATTTTTTAAACTCAGTTGAAAAAATGATGAAAGTTATTGGGTACACAGAAACCAGCAAATTCAAGCATTAAGTGGATGCTAATTCATTGTAGTCTGGTTCCTATGTGCTCAATCTGATATCAAACAATACAGTCAAAGTAATATTAAAAATGCTAGAGGCCCTGGATGGGTAGCTCATTCGGTTAGAGTGTCATCCTGATATGATTAGGTTGTGGGTTTGATCCTTAGTTCATTCATTGATTGATTCATATACAGGAATTGACCAATGAATGAATATGTGGAACAACAAATCGATGTTTCTTTCTCTCCCTCCCCCCCACCTAAATCATTAAATTAAAAAAAATTAAATCTGGAAATTTACCTATGTAGAGTATTTACCTATGTAGAGAAATTTACCTATGTAAAGTTAAAGTGTATGTAGAAATGTTTACTATTTTCTACTTTTCCTGGATTACTCTTGTAAACATGTATGTTACTTTTTTGTCTTTGTCAATGTGACTTTCACATATACATTTTCACAAATATGTTTTGCCCTACCATGCAACTCCACCATCCCTTCTGAGTGACTTAATTGCAAACATATTTAGTGAGAGGATTATGAAAATTATCTTTATTAGGAAACTAGATAATGATGAGATTTAGAGAAAAGAAAGAATTGAACAGATTTTATTTCTGAAAGCAGTAAACCATATTATGATATGTTATTTTAAATAAAGTGGTAATGAATAGCTTTCTTTTTATAGATCATGGCTTCTGCACCTCCTATGTCAAATGAAACTTCAAGCCCTAGTAACAGTGAGAGTGAGAGTGAGTGTGGGAGTGATGCTGAAAGTGACAGCTCTGACGACAGTGAGACCATGGAGAGCTTGTCCTCATTTGATCAGTCTGAAGAAGAAGATCATCTAAGCTCAGAAGACATAATAAAAGAAGAGCCAGCTTCTGGGCCTTTGCCATGTGAGTTTGAAATCGATAAAGAGAAACCTTCTGATGTTGAAGCTACAGGTGAGAGCAGCTGTGATTTACGAAGATCAGGGGACCCATAACCCAGGGCGATTATCCTCCCTCCCTCCTTTCTCTTCTCCCTTCCTCCTCCTCCTGTCTCTCTCTTTCTCCTCTCTCAATAATATCAATGCCCTCAGACATTTTCTTCTTTATATTACAGAAGGTTTTTATTGTTGTTTCTAAACCTATCTGGAGTTGTTTGCTTGGTTTGGAATCTATATTGTAAAAAAAAGATAGGTTTGGGATTTTTAAAATCAGTGTATAAATTTTATGAGTGTCTCTATTTTATTTTTTATCAGTGTATATAGTGTGTGCCCATATTTTATTTATGTTAAATATGGATCTGCTACTTTCCACTCTAGCATAGATTCTTAGACATTTTTTTCAGTACAATTAAATCAATAAATCCTTAGGGATAGGGATTGAGAATCAACAAGTATAAGAAGATTCTTATATGATTCTAATTATAATAGTATGAATTTAAAAGCAGGTCCACAGAGTCTGCTTGACTCAAAAGTTTGATGAGTACTACACTGTTAAGCTTGAGTTCCTAAATTACATACAGGGCGGGGCAAAACAGGTTTACAGTTGTGAGTATGCAAAACAGTTTATTCTTGTGTTATTGTTTATTAATTATTGTATTATTTTCCATACAAACAAATGTAAACCTACTTTTGTCCCTCGCTCTGTTAGCACATAAAATATAATTATATCGAATGTAAAAACATCAATACCATGTTGAGTTTTAATATATATCTCAATATACAAATTTTATAATGAAATATTATATCTTATCAGATTAAAGAAAAATATTTAATAAAGTTTAATAGTCACTCATGATTACTTTGCCACCAACTAGGGAAAGAAGATATTTACCTAAAGTTGATAAAAGTTCTGCTAAAAATCTACATTAAACATCAAATAATAACACTTTACTGCTTTGCCACTGAAGTGAGGAAGAAGAAAGCTTTCATTACTACTATTCAATATTATATTAGAAGGTCTAGTTAGTGTAAGAAAAACCTCAGAAAAGTAAATAAAACATGTGAGAATAAGGAAGAAAGAGAAACTAATTGTTAGGAAAATCTACCTTTGACAGTGAAGAAAGTCTACCTAAAATGTTCAAGAAAATCTATACACAGCAGAGAAATAAGAGAAATCTCTTTTAAGAATATAATATCGACATTTAAAAAAATAACTGATCCTAATCACCATCAGTATGAAAATGTTCATTAGTATGGAATATAGTTCTGATTCTAAGTACCAAAAATTACTAATTTGAAAATGCATTAAAAGGAAAAAACCCCATCAAATTAGCCACACAAACTAAAATATACTCAGGAATAAAGCTAACAAAACATGTTAAGGAGAAAATAATTTTGAAACATTATAGAAAGACTTACTAGTACTGAATAATATAGAAATATACTAGGTTTTTCCATCTTATTACTCAATATTACAAGTATATCTAGTATTCTCAAATTAATCTTTTAATTTAATATATCTTCAATATGAATCTACTCTTTCATCTTGCCACTACAAAAAAAATGAGATTGAGTATCTTAAGGATCTTGGGGTAAATTTTTGTAAAATAAAACAAGTGGTGGATTTCTTAAATAAGGAAAATTTCAAATAAAAATTAAAAGTTTGATAAGCTTTACCATAATCAAATAAAAGAGCATCTATGCAGTAAAAATTCCAAACAAAGTTAAGAGCACAGACTGGAATGAGACCATAAATCGATGTCTAAATATAAGACATTTATCCAGAAAAACTAAACATTGTATACCAATTAATTGGAGAAAAATAACCCAGTAGAAAAGGGGCAAAGGTTGTAAATTAGCAAATCACAATAGGGAAATCTGAATGTTAAAAAAAATAGATATGTATTCTACAAGATACTTATCCTTGGTAGTAAAGTAAATTAGAACTATGTGACACTGTTTCCCATTTCTCAGATTAGAAATATTTTAAAATTCAACAATATTGATACTGTGAATATAAACTGAGTACTATCTAGTAAGTTGCTTACCTCTCTCATCCTTACCTCATAGAGAATCTCTCTTGCATATGCTCAGTGAGATATATTAAAAATAATGTATAATATGCTATAATTTGTAAGACAGTAACAAGAAAACAAACAGCCTAAATGCCTATCAGTATGGAATTTGGCTTTAAAGAGTGATATGCTCATATGATAGAGCATTATCAGCTGCTATACATGCTATATTTTGTGTATCAACATGCATAGATCTCAAAATCATAAAGTTGCATGAAGAAAATAAGTTGTAGAATGATACCATTTAATTTAGGGAGACATAGCAGGATATTATATACAATAATACAAAATTGTGGCAAAGAAATATCACAATGTTGGCTGCCTCTGTGTTAAGTGGAATGGGAATTCAACTATATCTTTGATGTTTATTTCTCTTTAATAAATAAACTTGAAACAAATGAGCAAAATTTTGACATTGATCAGTTCCAATTTTGGAATACATAGATGTTTGCTAATTATTCTTTATGTTCTTTTTGTGTTCTTAAATTATCATCAGCCCTCTCCTGCAAAATGATCAACTGAAATTTAGGGTCACCCAATCAGCAGCCATGTTTTATTTTCACCTTGATTAAATCCTCTAGATTTAAAAAAATTCTTCATCTGGGTGATGCATGAATAACATTTACCCAAAGCAAGTATTAATAATTTACCTAAACTCAAACTGAAATATTTTTTACCTACTTACAAACTAAAATAAAAGTAAGTAAAAGATACAGTAAGCCAACTTAGTGTGTTCCTAAAATTATTGATGCAATTGAAATTGAACTTTAAAGTACTCTTCCAAATGAATATTTTCACATGACTCCACTGGTTAGGCAGGCTTTCATAGGCAAAATTTAAGACATGGTGACAGAAAACTACTCTGCCACCTTACACAAAACTTTTAAATCTCGAATCTGTAACTGTTCACAATGTTAGCTTGTTGGGTTGCTTCTCTCAGGTCAGATATGAAAATAGTAATCATAAAATGGGATTATGAAATTCTAGGGTTACAAAATGAACATTTGGAGACTGCTACATTAATTGTAAGAAATACTAAATAATTACAATTTTAATGAAAGTGAATATATACACCCAAATGTAGCCTTACTGTTTGCTTAACAAAGCCCAAAGTAGCTTTTAGGAGTGAGGAGCTATTATTAATAAATCTGGCCCTGCATATGGGCATGCCTAGGGACCCCAAATACTTAAATATTCTTTTATAATATCTGACAGCCCTCAATTATGCACAAATTCACTTTTTTATAAAGAAGCAGTTGAGAGGACTCAATTAATTAATATCAGTTATAACATTATGAGAGACTACTAATACTGTAACAAAAATTTGTAACAAAAAGTCTATAGTTGTTTTACTATTCCTGCTTACTTTTTTTCCTGAGACCTCACGGGCTGAATAAAGGAATGTTTGTTTCTTTTCCAACTCCTAATTTCTTGATAGAATGCATTTAACAAGGACATAGAATATTACAAAGGAATTTGCTGGAGAAATTTATTTCAAAGAATTAAATCAATTTTTCTTTTTCCATATATAGGAAAGTAAAAAAGAAATACAGTATTTATCATTTTGTCATTTATCTTTAGTAAGAGAACTTTTGAAGATAAACACTGTCTATATCTATATATCTATTTATAGATATCTAACTGTATATTCATATGAATTCATTTTGAAAGTGGTAAATTATTAGTTTTCTGGACATTTTTGTCTTTGTGGACTTGTTATAATTTATGTATTGTTAAAATTCATTTGCAACTGAGGACTTATTATTTTAGAGTTCATGAAAAATCTAACTTTAAAACTACTCAGATTGGCTTACCTTGCCCATAATTATTCTTTAGAGAAAGTAATGTAGGTATATTCTCATTTTTAACATATCTGTTTATCTTTTGACATGTTACTAAATATTTCAGCCATGCTTATATAGTCTTGTATGAAATGTAAATATACTCAAAGGTAGCAATAGAAGAAATTACCAGTTAAAATTAATTAAAAATCAAGTATTAAAATCCTGTTTTTTATGGTTAAAGGATTAACTGAATGTAAGAAAATTCTGAGGATGCTCTCATTATTGATTTGGAAAACTGTGTCAAAATCTCAGTAAGTACACACCAATTCTTAAAATTAATGTATTATTAGAAGTAGCTCATTTCCTCTGTATGGCATAATTTTTAATTTCTTCCTGCTAAGAATCATTTTGGAGAAACTGCCAATGGGCCAAGAGATTAATTTTTTGAAAATAGGTAAAACATTTTCTTTTCTTGGGAAAGGGGTGTGCTATAGAACTTTCATTCAGCAACAAGGAGTAATACACTGAAAACTTTGAAGAGAGGTATGTGTGCAGGGAAGATCCATCTTTCTTCTAATATTGCACAATACTAAAAGTAACAATTTAATTGGCATTATATTACATATCACAATATTTTTAAGTCTCTTAAAGTTGTCTTTGGTATGTTTAATGCCAAAACATTTTGTTATAGCAACAAAGGTGAATCCACCAAACCAATGCATCATTTCATTCCAACTGTTATTTTGTGTGCTCGTTAATATGCTAGGTACTAAGGAAACTGATGAAGAAAGTATAATTTCCTATTTACTGATTTATTGAGTCTAATCTTATGTCATTTACTTCCAATTTTCTAAACTAATTTAATGTAAGGTGTACTATAATGCCAGGTGTATACAATTACAAAATAAAACCCAAACCCAAAACATCATTTAAAATATGTGTTTCAAGCATATATTATGACCTAAGGGTACTTTGGTTCTAATAATTTTATAATATCTATTTCATGTATTCTCACAGCAACTGCATGAAACTATCTGCTCTTAATTCACACTTAAATTGAGAAGCTGTAACACAGAATAAAGAAGCAAGTAATCTAAAGTCCCAGAGCTTGTTAGTCATAGATTGAGGATTCTAATCTCAGCAGCCTGACTGCAGAGAAGGCAGTTTGGTTTTCTGTGTTCAAATGTGCAAATTCTGAAAAACCACACAGCAGAATTAACATCTTTCTGCCATGTTTTAATTTTTTTAAGCAGCACATGGTAGCTTCCCTCATCCTAATCACAAAACCAAAGAAACAATCCATCCCCCCAACATCCAAAAAAACAATTAAATTAGAAGAAAGTATGCAGTTCATGTTTTGTACAGCACCAGGATGGGAAATTATGTAGCTGAATTGAATTTCTGATGTCTGTTAATGCCGGTATAATTCTACAGAATTGCTTTAGAAAACAATTTGCTTTTGCTGTATGATTGTGCATTAGGAAACATCCACAAGAATGATCATTGCAGCACAGTTTGTAACAGCAACAAATGAAGGAAATCATTCAAATGCTCATGGGAAGGAGAAAGATATAGAGTAAATTGTGATGTAGACATAACTGACAATATACAGCAGTAAAGTTATTGAGGTATAGCTTCCTGTAATCTTAAACTAGAATTTTAATAGTAATTGTAATTAAGTTTGAAAAGTAGATCTCACAAAACACAAGTAAAACATTGTCCTTTTAATAAAAATCCAAAACTAAGCATACATGTATTCTCAAAAAAACTTTAAAAATTAAGCAAGAGGATGATGAAAACTAAATTCAAGGCAGTGATTGCCTCTGAGGGAGAGGTAGGGAAATAAGTTTTGAAAAAAGCTCATAGGGTAGATTTACCATAAGTTATAGGAAATCTTTTATTTCTTGGAGTGGGTGAAGAGTTCACATTTTATGTTAATTTAAAATGCAAAATAAGATAGTTCTATGCATATGATTAACCAAAGATTATGATCACTTTAATTTTTCACACTAGAAGTAAAAAATTAGCAAATATCTAAATTTAAAATAGAGATGCACTCTTTTTTGCACCAATGAATTCCAGTTTCACTTTAGAATGAGTCATATCTTTAACTAGGGGCTATTTACTATTACAGAATAATGAGGATGCCTGGAAAATTGTTACTTAAATATAGTAGAAAGTTGTGGTTAGTTTTTCTTTAAGTTTCTTGATTAAACTAGAAGAAAATTTGTGTAATCAATTAAATGGTGGAATTTTATCTCGAGCTGCTATTAATTTAATAATCTTTGCATTATGTTTTATATTTTTAATCAGAATGGTGAGCTTACTTAAAGACTTTGTTGAGTCTGAATTTTTTTTGATTGATGGAGATTCACTATTCATCACATGTATTTCAAATGTGAACTTAAAGAAAGGACAAACTCTTCACTTCTTCTATATTGTAGAACAATTTCTACATGATTTCATTCAAAAGGAAGCCAAATTTATAATAGTTTTCTTTAAGGTAACAAACAGATTTAATTCTTTGTTCTTATTTTGTAGAGTCTAAGAAAAAAGTATTCATTTTTAAATGTAATCAGACATTATTTATTCTTTTAGATATCTTCTTCAGGTTATAATTAAATTCCCACTAATAGAAATAATACTAAGTATTATTGATAGGAAAATATCTAATGAGTATTTATCTGCCATTTCTACATGATCCAGAAAAATTATGTTAATAACCTTGAACTTCTTAACTCTTTGTATCATGTTGGTACACATGATTGTATACAAAAATTTACATATAATGCTAATATTTTGAAAAATAAATAGTAACTCTATTTTTATGTATAAAATGAATATTGTTGTGCTTCTTTTACAGGATGCAGAACATCTGTATTTTAATCACCCTGAACTTCTGGCTCTTCGTACCATATTGATTCAACATTTAGAATACAATACGGATGTCCCTATTCATACACAATTTTCCAACTGTCTGACACCAGAATGGGAGATATTTCTTAAAGAATGTTATCCGTATTTCCTAATTGTCTCAGAAGAGGGACTAACACCTCATCAAACAGACTTTTTAAACATTTTTATCATTCACGCTCTTCAGAAGAAAATCAATATTATACAGTCTTTAGGAATAAAGTCAGATGCCCTTAGAATTTATGGATACTATGCCTCAAGTTGCTATTTACACAAACGCTTCTTTGAAATGGTAAGTGAGGTTCAGTTGCCCAGAAGAAATAAAGCAATGTAGGTATGGGAAAATTAACCAGAGAACCACTAGCATAAGTCTTTGTTCAAAAATTCTGGGCATGAGAACACTCTGAAGGAATATTCTAACATGGAGAAAGAGGGCAGAATTTTCTATATGGCTTTAGCAAAAGAGGTTAGCTTAACCTCTAACAATTAAGCCTTTGTATGGCCAGTTTGGAGAGGTAAGGAGGAAAAAAATGGACTAAGGTCATGTTCAAGTGACTCTGGGGAGGAACAGTTCAGAGAGGGCAATGATGTGTGAATAATACAGTGGGAAATTCTCAGCCAGTGTCTTGTACATACATTACATGTTATCTGTGTGTACACATAAATACATATTCACATATACATACACATTTTATATACTCATATATATGCATGCTTTTTGTGTATATATTTTATACATAAATATATGTATATGTATATATTTGTATGATATGGGGTGATTTTTATCTACATTCTCACTTTTTAAATTAAGATAGCTACCCTGACTGGTGTGGCCCAGTGGGCCACAAACTAAAATGTCTTCCCGCAAACTGAAAGGTTGCCAGTTCAATTCCCAGTCAGAGCACATGCCTGGGTTGCCCCCAGTTGGAGGAGTGAGAGAGGCAACCGATGGATGACTTTTTCCCCTCTCTCCCTCCTTTGCCCTCTCTCTAAAAATAAATAAATAAAATCTTTAAAAAAGTAAGATAGCTGTTAGAGAAAATATTTTATCATCTTATTTGTCAGTAAATTTTTACAACTGTTATTTTTTAAGATTTTACTTATTTATTTTTAGAGTGAAGGGAAGGGAGGGGGAGAAGCATGAATGTGTGAGAGAGACATCGATTGGTTGCCTCTTGCCCATCCCCCAACCAAGAACCTGACCTGCAACCGTGGCATGTGCCCTGACTGGGAATTGAACCAGCGACCTTTTGATTCCCAGGCCAGCACTCAGTCCACAAGAGCCACATCACACCACCCAGGGCTTTTTTTGCAACTCTTTTGAATAGTTGTATCCATTAAAAAGATAGCTATGAATAAACACTAGGCTTAAGAATATTGCTTGCAATTTTCTTTCTGTTTTGTAAAAAATAATAACAGATCAGAATGGGGCAATATAGAAAAATTATACTACTACTAAGGCCAGTGCTTTTTCATGGTTGGTTTTTATTAGAAATAAATGCATTTTCATTTCTCTTCTTATAGTCTAATAACCTCAGCAGTGAATAGTACAAACAAAAGGAATGGAAGTTTATCTTAACTTGAATTGCTGGCTTTTTTGTTTTGTCTATAGTAAATAATCATAAACATTATTTTCCACCTTGTATTTAGTTTAACTAGAGGTTTGCAAATAGGTATTTTTATTTGAACCGGAAGACTTACTTAGTCTCTTGTTTTTTTTAGAATGAGATACCACTGCAACATGCCTTACATGCCTACATAGTAGAGTACTACCAAAAGTCACCGGAAAGAGAAATATTTCTATATGGTCATTTGAGACTAAACTTGGGAGAAATGCAGAAAGAGGTAACAACACTTTTATCTGGAAACTAAAGTTCAACATCTAAGAAATGTACTTTCAATGATTTGTTGCTTCTAGAAGACATATTTTTACCAGCTCAGGCCCTTACTGATTATACAGACTCGCATCTTCAAGCTGCATAGCACTGAGGAGGAGGGAGTCTTGCTTAATTTATTGATTATAAAACCTTAGACATTTTCTACAGAGAACCCTTTGTACAAAATGTACAGTAAAACAGGGGTAAGATCTAAAACTTTTATTCTTAGTGTATGGTTGAAAACTGTCTGAACTGACAACATTGAAGAATTCACAAGCTCATCACTCAGGAACTTACAAACAGTACGGCTTATCCAGACTCGTCCGAGAGCACACAAATCAGAAGGAGGAATAGTTATTAATATTAAAGTGATTCTGAGAACCTAGCTAGATACAGCCTCATGATCATTTTTATTAAACATTTTTTCCAGCTGTTCTGTTCTTCCTTAGGCATATCTTTTATACTCTGCTTTAATTTTTTGACAGATTAAATTTCAGTGTTAGTATTATTTATGGGAAAAATTAAACTTCTTTTTTTTCAGGGCTGAATAGCACCTGAGCTTTGAATCTTGTCCCTTCTAATCAGTAGGTCTTTAAAACATTTTTTTTCACTGCAGATACATCAAGCCTTGTCCTTGCTTCACAGTCTGGGCCCTGAAGGAGCTGATGTGAGAAGTGTTGTGTGCTCTGTTTCATGTGCTGTGACACTAAAACTCTATGCAAAAATGTTACATGGTGCACAAGACTATGAGAACCCAAGCACTGGCACAGAAAAGCAAAACTTGCAGGTGGGATTCTTTCAAAATTAATTTATTATTCAATGTTGCTTTTAAAGATGTGGCCATGCTTTTGACTAGTAACTATAGGTGTAACCTCCTCATCAAACAGAAAATATGTGTTTGTCACATTTATTGAGTAAACATTGACAGATACATTGATCATGTTCTTATGAAGGTATGCAGGGCTCTTTACAGAACAAGTTAGGATAATTTTTTTTTCCTGGAATGAACTCATCACCTCTTTCTGCCCTGACCAAAGGACAAATATCTATTTCATTCATGTTCTCAGCTGATCATCACTGATGCTAAGACTTTCATAGGCCAGTTTCAAGGCCTAGGTGGTGCCATCCCACAGGAGATTTAGCCTTTGTTACAGCAGATGGAGAGTAGTGTCACTGGCTATGATCGGGATGAACCTGGATAACAGCTGTCTACTCTGTAGCCCAGACTCATGTTTTCTGTTAAGAAGACCAGGGACTATGCTGTACACCTGAAACTATTATAAAATAATACTGAATGTCAACTGTAATTGAATCATACAATAAAAAAGAATACCAATAACAATAGTGATATTATTAATAAGAGCAGCTTTTACTAAGTCTTTATTATGCACCATTGCCAGGTACCTTATACACATTACTATTAATCTTTACAGCCATTCTGCTAAGTAGGTATTCTTGTTATTCTACTTTATAGATGAGTAACAGTCAGATGACTAATTGGTGGCAAAGCTAGTATGCAAACCCAAGTTTGTTTCCTGCTAGACTGTGCTGCCTTAGTGTGCAGATCACATCTCCCACTAAGCCCTGGTCTTCCACATAGGAACTGGCATGACAGTAAGAAACTTCATTACCCTCCTTGCATTTCTGCTTTGAGATTATAAATAAATAGATACTAGCCATGCCTCCGAACAGGTGTTCATTTGCCACCATTTTAAAAAATGAAAGTATTAGATATAATAAATGCTGGGGCTCTATTTATTTTGAAAAGTCTTCACTACTAAGCAAAAACAATTAGTTGTGCTATTTAGAAAAATAAGTCATATGCTTATTAAAAAGTTTCTTAAAATAATTAAATAAGAATGCATCTATCATGGAGAAATTCTGAGTAGGATGCTTTAAAATGCTATTCTTGCATATCTGAATTTTTATGTTGCCTGTGTGTAGGTTGATATTTTTAAATTCATGTTTTTCTAGGACTTGAAGAAAACACCAACACTAAATGAAGCGGCAGATCTTTGCAGAATGCACTGTCTTAGTGTGACTTGCCTTCAACGTTTACCCCTGTTTCAAAGAGCTAAGAGTAGAATCATTGCTTCTGCTTGGGACAGAACTCTTTTACCATTTCTAAGAATGGTACGTGGACCACATAGAAGTTCACAAATTTTGTAAATTCAATAAGGCAAAAGTTAGAAGGCAGAAGACTTTGCTTTTTCTGATATTACTTTTATTTCTGCATGCACCTTGAAAATTGCTACCAGCAAACAATGCATGTTTTTAGGAAAAATAGTCCAGTCATATATAAAAGTACTAGATGATAAAAAGTCCTTCAACTACATATGAAATGATGCATAATCTGAAGAAATTCAGATAGTTATACAATTTCTTTGAAGAAACAACAATCCTTACTATATATATATACAAAAATAATTAATAAAAATTTTATATCAATTGCATATTTCATCTTATTATTAACTAAAACAGAAAATGAATTAAAACTCATTTGTCAGTTTTTGTGAAACTTCAAAAATCTTTGTTCCCATATTTCAGCAGAGTGCTTTCTAGTTTGATATTTTTGTTTAGTGCAGCGATTTTCAACCTTTTTTTCTCATGGCACACATAAACTACTAAAATTCTGCAGTGCACCAAAAAATATATTTTTTTGCCAATCTGACAAAAAAGAGGTCTACTTTTGATTCTTTCACACCAGATAGATGTTTTTGTGTTGGCCATTGTCATTTTTTTAATTCTACATCTAAGGGAAAAGTGGTCAGTGCTCCTGATCGAATGGGCAGGTATTGCGTGTTTTAAAAATTCCTGCAGTGCACCAGTTGAAAATCACCTGTGTAGTGTATTGCAATCTTATTTTGGATTCAAACTTTAGCTCAAGAAAAAAAGTTGTGTTTTGGAACAAACTTGAACCAAAAAGAACATTACATTTTATTATACTTAAGCCTATAAAAAGTAAAATTATTCCCATTCGTGTTAGCACAGTGAGAGATAAAGGGATGCTAAGTTATGGAAAGCTAGAATAGTCCCTTAGTGAGATATTGAGGAACTCATATAATATAAATTAAGGCATAGTTGTATGGTTGTAACACTGCACTGTTGATTGTATTACCTAGTCATTGTCAGCACAATGATGTTATGTATGCAGGTGACATTTTTATTGTGTATTTAAGAAATCCCATCTGATATGTGATTGTGGTTTATTTGGGCCCTAACTCATTAAATGATGCCATAAGCAACTTTTCATTGAAACTATAGCGATAGCAATGAAATACCTAGTACTTTTCTATGACTTTATTATTTTGAGTCAATGAAGGAACATTTATTTTGCTCATGATTGCAATACATTCAAAAGAATCATTTCATTTTAGAGCACAAGGACTATTGACAGGTATAGATTAGCCATGTTATGTTACAGTTCTAAAAAATGAAGCATAAGGAAAGTAAGTCTTTTGCATAGTCACATATTCTGTCAATGCCAGGAGAGTGGCGCTGTCTTTTCCTATGTACTCTAGTTCCTTTTCCTGAGTTGAAGGCATACATCATATTGAGGAAAGTTTAAGGAAGATATAACCATTTGGGAAGATTTGGGATTATTAAAATATGCATCTCTCTCTTTTTTTTTCAGTTAAAGTATTGTGAATTTTTCACCCTAAAACAATTAAAGTCTAGAAATAATTGGAATATGAATTACGGTGGCCTACCTGACTTAACTGATAATAGTTTGTGCAAAAATATTGCTTATATTATGAAATTGAATATAGTAGAGGTATGTTTTCAATAACTGTATAGTTAAGTTTTTAATTTACTTTTGGTGAGTGGGTGAGAGTTGTATCTGGCAAGTACTGGCAATGAGCTATTTATTATATAACTACAATGAGATAGGAAGCTTTCTTTGCAGATATTTTCTATGGAAAACCTGTATTTTCATAAGAGGTAAATGTTTCCATTGAGGACCTTATAAGAAATTTTTTTTTCCAATACTGTAAGACAATATCAACTATTGGAAAGGCAGAGTTTAAATGGAAGGATATGTGAGCTATACCTAGAACTCTATGATAAATGTTACCATTTGTTGTATATCTTTCTTATATTAGATAATTTGCATATGCTATAAAACAGCACTATAGCTTTGCTGCTGACTGTTTTGGATGAGGTATTGATTCTGTTAAAATGGAAAAGGAGTGTCAGGGGACAGTATTGTGTGAAGAACAGAAACTGCACAGTGCAGACGCCTGGCCCCATTTTCTCCAGCATGGCCTTCAGAACGCCCGAGATGACTCCTGACGCCTTCACCTATCATTGTGGAGCTATGGGCGGGCTGGCTGACTTCTCTTTGACCTACCTGGCTTTGTTAAGAGTGACAGAAAAATACAACAATGCCAGTAACAGTTAAATGATACTTTTAGTTTTTTAAAATAACAATAGTTACATCACGAAAAATATGCCAGAGCCTATTCTGTTTTGTTTTAAGCATCCGATACGAAATTCAGACAAACATGTAAAATAACTCATATACTCAAAAATATAAAACCATGGTCACTATCACTCAAATTTTAGTTATTAACTTGGATCTATATTTTCTTCTGGTTAGGACTAACCCTGGAACTGGGAGAAACGTTGAAAGAGAGCTATCAGAAGCTGTGGAACACGGTTTTGACAGCATCAGGGGATGGTGATTTCGGAGGACCCATGCCCGTGAGGGCAACGTCCAGGCCATTTCTTACACATAAAAAAACATCACCTAGAGGTGCTGACAAGTTTTAAAAGTTGATTTCATTCGGGACAAAAAAAGATTAGTAGTCCAATCCATGTTTAGAAAATGAATCCGAGCCTTTAAAGTTTTACCTTTTTACAGGGTTAGTCCTGTTGATTATTTTCCATAATTAATGGAAAGACAAAAGGAAGACACCTTTTTTTGTCTTCCCACAGCTTTACTTGTTTATTTCTTGGCTTATTTATTTATTATAAGGACATGAGAAAGGGAGCTAACTTTTATTAAATACCCATTCTGCTAGGTACTGTGTATTGCCATTCAAAACAGTCCTATTCATGGTATAATTCATCATGTATTACAGATAAGCTCTTGAGAAGGCCTTAGATCACGTAACAAATTTATGGTAGAAGATTAGAATTCAAATCTGTCTGCACAGCCAGACATAGAAGACATCTTAATAATATCTTTATTGTATTTTCTACAGTAAGTTTTGTTAAGGCTTATATGAAGAAACCAGCTTGTATTTAAGTAGACCTGTGGGGATCGCAATGGGCAGATTAGACCAGCCTATGTATGTGGCACATTCTTATTTGGACTGAATGGAAATAAGTTTCTTTTAAGTTTCAACTAATGACTGAAACAAAGTATTTTATTACTATTTCATTTTATTAATATTGATTATTAAATTTAAAAAATTTACAAAACCCTATTTCTTTTGGTCTCTGGAAAAATAGGCATAGTTCTTACTATGTTTCAGAATAAGTACATTTCTTCACTATTCCTCAAAAGCCTTCAACTTTATTTGAAATGAAATTCTACATCAATTCACTCAATATACATTTACATTTGGGACTTAATAGGTATAATATAAAGTTGATGTAAACATCCTGATTTGCAACAATTCCACTGAAGTATTACTTATTTTGTTTGTTTTTGTATTATTTATTTTGAAATAAATCATGAAAATGTTTAACTTTGTTATTCCAGGAACATTTGCATCACAAGGGTAAATGCTTATGAGTTTTATGTTCAAATATTAATTATATTTCTAAATATTACCAGGATCAAATCAAGAAATTCATAAATTAGGACTCATTCCTCTGAAAGCAGAAATTATAGAAGATTATGCTGGAGATATTTTGTCAGAACTACCTTTTCTAAGCAGGTATTTGTTTGTTTATTTATTTATTTATTTTATAAGCAACTATGCTGGCATTCTGGTATAGTTAACAACAGAGTGGGCATGAGCCAGGCCCAGAATGCCAATAGCTACTGGCTGCTGTTCTCCCTGCAGTGGAACACTTGCCTAGGTACCAGGCAACCGAGGCAGTTGCCTACAGTTGGGGTCTAAGCAGGTATTTAAAGCAAAAAAAGCTACCTATTTGTGATATCACTGGATATAGTGAACTAGATTTATTGTATTTATTGTAAACATATGATTAAAATTTTACATTGGAAGATAATTTTAATGAATTTTGCTTTATATATGATTATTGTAATTTTTAAACATCTTATAAATCTTCCTTAAATAACCTTTTTTCATTTCTCTCATATAGAGACATCTCCTTTACCTTTTTCTCTGTAATAGGTGTGACAAGTTAAGGGTATAATTAATGGGTGGCTGAGGTGTGGTGGTGGTGGTGGCAGCCAAAACATAGAAATTAAAGGATAAATATGAATGAATCATCATTGTGAAACTTGAAATCATCAAGACGATGGGAGAAGAAAATGGGTGGGGGAGAAAGACAGTTTGCTAGGTTTATACCTTCAGTGAAAGAAAGGGAATAAGAGGAGGATAACTCTCTTAACAAAGAAGGGTTGTCAATGCTGAACTGGGTGAGGCTGCATGAAATATACTTGTACTAGAATGTATTCATTGTCTACACAAAATTCAATTTATCTCTGTGTCCTACATTTCTATTTGCTAATTCTATGAATCTCATTCCAGAGTCCCATATTTCAATGTAATAGAAAGGAGAACAGATGTCCTGAAGTAGCGAAGATGAGTGAGGAGGGTATTCCCTTGTCTTTAGACCCAATAGTAAGGGAGGGATGGGAAAAACAAAGAGCAAGCAATTAAAAAAAAAAAGTAGACAAGTCCTCAGGGAAGAGTCAGATCTTAGAGAAAGCTGGGTGAAGGGAATATTCAAAGAAGATTTTACAGACAGACAGCATTACAAATGACAGTCTCTAAATTTTAGAAGATGTAGTGAAATGATTTAGTTGGGTTATGGAAGTAGATTAATAGGAAAATTATAGTCTGGTAAGGATGAAGGGTGACCTTGTAATCGTAGACTTTAAATGAAAAATGAGATAAACAGAGATACCTGATTTGATGGAATTGTGGTTCTGAAGGTGGTTTAGGTAGTTCAAATGTTGACCATCATGCTAGGGATATATCTTTTAGGCAGCTAATGGTGATGAAACCGTTAACTGCCTAAGGTGATGAGACCATTAAATATGGTGGGGGAGTGTGGACACTGGTGGTCTCACAAGGAGACTGGAGCGTGTGGAAGTAAAAGTGTTTCTACAATAGCATATATGAAAGACAAAACTGAACATTGTGAAAATAACAAATTATTTTGTAAGTGTTATATATTTTTGAAATATGTATATACTTTTTCAAAAATGAAATTCTATCTCTAGAAGACACAATGCAACAAAATAAATTCCAAGTGAATAGAAATCTAAATGTGAAATTCAACAGTCATACCTGTGGAAAAAATATAAGAAAATATCTTTATGACTCAAGGTAGAGGTATCAGAGCATTTAAATGCTATATAAAACATGTCATTTAAAAATGGTATTGACAATATTAAAATTAAATACAGCAATACAAAAAATGTTGGAGATGTTTAGAATATATGTAACCAGAATAGGATTAATATAAATAATTTAGTGTAAAGAATTCCTATAGTTCATTAGAAAATTATGAATGAGACAAAAGAAAAGGAGGGAAAGAATAGGAACAGTTAATTCATAGGCAAGCAAGTATGGTAATAGCCAATACAACTTTGAAAAGGTGTTTAACTTCATTGTCAGTCAAGGAAATAAATATTAAAACTACAATTAGCTGTTATTCAACACCATTTTGGTAAAATTTATAAGACTAAGTGATGCCAAAGATGTGTAGCAATGGAAACAATGCTTCCATCTCCAGAACTGATTCCTCTTACAATTAGAAGTTTGTGTCCTTTGACCAATATCTTTCTATTTTGCCCATCCCCAGTCTCTGGCAGCCACCATTCTACTCTCTGTTTCTATGAGCTTGGCTTTTCAAAAAATGCCACATAAAAGTGAGATCATATGATATTTGTCGTTCTCAGTTTATTTCCCTTAGCATACAAGTGCTCCCTAGGTCCACCCATGTTGTCTCAAGTGGCAGAATCTCCTTCTTTTTAATGACTGAAGACTATTCCATTGTGAATGTTTATCTATAAATCCATCTATCAATTTCTTTCTTTCTCTCTATCTCATTTTTTATCCATTGGCCTGTCATTAGATACTCAGATTGTTTCCATGTCTTGGCTATTATGTTTCCTGAACACAGTAGTCCCACCTCACAGCCTTTCTACTTGCTGTTCTATTTGCTTGAAATAGTCTGACTCAGACAACCCTCAGCCCATTGCTCAAACACCTTCTCAGCAAGGCTTTTTCCTGACCATTCCTCCTAAAAATCATACCATCTCTTCCTCACTATCCTGTCTCCCTGCCTTATTTTCCTCCTTCATGCTTGTCCCCATCTGGCATAGTATTGGATACACAAGTCATGTGCTGTATGACATTTCAGTCAACAATGACTGCATATACAGCAGTGTTCCTATAAGATGATAATGGTTTATAAAAAAAAGTTCTTTTGTGATGTTGAAAGTAAAGGCTGGACCCAGCTACAATGTTGAATTTACTGCAGGATCTGGGTGGTTTAAACAGACAAGGAGGCTCAGCATGCTGTCTTGTACCTGCCCAAGATGTTGGCCCTGAGTTGGCAAGGGAGTGAGCTAGAGAGCAGGAGGGAGAGCAGGAGCCTGTCCCTCCCAGGACCCAGCATACCCTGCGTACCCAGGACCCTGCAAGCCCCTGCATACCCACATGCATGCACATGCACACGCACTCATGTGCACGAACTCATTTCCTTTCCTTTTCTGGTTATCTCTTTTCTCCTAGTCCTTTTCTGCTCTCCCTCTCTGTCCTATCCCTTCTCCTTTTTATTATTTCTCTTCTTGAACTTTATATCTTTGGGTTGCTTTCAATCTCTACTCTCCCTTACTCTTTCTCCCTCTTCCTGACATCCTCCCTCTGAAGGCACCACCCTCCACAGTCCTCTCCATGTCCTTGAAAGTGCGGGTGTGTGCGCACACGTTATCGTTTATACCATACTTTTACTGTACCTTTTCTATGTTTAGAATCACAAATACTTAACCATTGTGTTATAATTCAGCACAGTGACATGCTTTGCAGCAGTAGGTTATAACATATAGCCTAGGGATGCAGTAGGCTATACCACCTAGGCTTGTGTAAGTGAATTCTGTGATATTCACACAATGAGGAAACTGCCTAACAAGGCATTTCTCAGAACATATCTCATCATTAAGTGACACATGACAGTATTTTATCTTTATATTTCTTTGTTGTCTGTAAACCTCTGTTAGACTATATAAAATCCACAGACATTTTTTGACATTTTTAAAAAGTCTGTTTTGCTCATTATCATATTTGTAGCATCTAGAAGAGTGCCTGGGACATGGCAGGAACTCAGTTAATATCTTGGAATAAATGAATAGTGTGTTCATGGGTGTCACTTATTCTCTATTTTTCCCTCTATGCTTGACATATTTTACAAGTACACACATACACCCAAGCAAACTAAAATAATGCAGAAATGTCTCTCAACTTTAGAAATACCATCTCTTGTAGGTAATGCTACATGCACTTCATTACTATTTGGTGCATAATTCAATCTCACATACAAATAAATTCTTAATATGCATTTTTTATTGCTACAGAGATAACATTTCTATGGATACTTTTGCCCACTTCTTGACTATTTCTTCATGGGATTCATTAAAACCATACTTTTGTTCACGTATGATTATAAAAGTAAGGGGAGAGACCCATGAAATAAATTCATGGCTTATGGTAAAAACTAAAAAAAAAATGTATGTGTTTTATAATATATGCTCTTTGATTTTTTTGCCAGTGATGACCCAGCTATTACATCTCTTTCTAAGAAGAAAGAATTTGATGAACTCATACACTGGCATTCTTCTAGACCGCTCAGTAATGATTTTGAAAGGATGATGTGCAGGAGTGGTGGTAAGTATAGTATCATCAACATTTTCAATATTCTTACATATTGAAGAATTTATCCTTATATATAAGGAAAAATGACTCCTCTGAGATTGATGAAATCTAATGTATAGTCTTCTCCTTCTGTCTCTCAGTCCACCATACAAATTTCCAATACCTTTCACGTCAGAACCAGGAAGAAGCTAGTTTTTATAGTATGAAAAATGAGATTTCTATCCATCTGTTGGATAGTTATTTGGGGAAGTTATTCTTTGGGGAAGTTAACTTTGGGGAAGTTACATCTGGTGGGGAAGTTATTTTGTTGAGACAGGATCTCTTAAAAAATTTTTTCTTGGGTTGCTACAACAAATTACTTTTTGTTATTTTAAATGATCCTTTGGTTCTTTGTTCCTCTCAATGAAAAATTCCTGTTGTGTTATGAGATCCAATACCTTCACTAATCATATTATATTTTCATTATTTGCCCAAATTACTAATTCTATTAACTACTTGGTTTAAAATACTGTTTAGTAATTGTTAATTAAATGAAATGTCATATATATTCAAATAACTTAGTAATTATTTTGGCAGTGAGTTATTATGGGCCAATACAGTTTTCTAATCTTGTTATCTTCTTGATTTCAGTAAGTTATTATGGGCCAATACAGTTTCTAATCTTGTTATCTTCTTAATTTAAAACTGGTACATGCTCATCAGTATCAGAAAATTAAAAATCAGTAGCACACAATTAGGATTCCTTATATATTGGGAAGTGGTAGCCATATTGGCATTGCAGGTCTCTGACATACTCATGCAGCATCTATCTTATAAACTGAGAATTACTATGAGCCCAGCTTTGGGCTGGGCTCCAGGTACCCAGCTGGGAACATGAAAGATATGTTCTTGCTCTTGCAGTGCACACAGTCTAGCAGGGAAAGCGGGTGTTAAACAAACCATTACAGAGATACTTACTTAAAATTATGGCGAATACTACAATCTGGGGCAAACAGTGTGAAGCGAGTCAGCTCAAGGGTTTGGGAAATTTTTCAGCCAAATCTGAAAGTGGAAGATAGTTAGCTGGGTGTGTGTGTTAGTGGTGAGGACCAATAGGAAAGTTGCCAGAGAGCCTGTAGTGCAGAGCCATGTGAGATGAGTCTGAATCATGCGGGGTTTAGTGGGGATTTTGAATGATAGGAGAGCAACAGGAAACCGCTGGAATGTTCAGACCACACGAGCAACATGCTCATGTTTACATTGACTCTGGCAGCAGTGTGGTACGTCCCTGTTAGTTGTGTCCAGTTCTGCTGCAGACGAAGAGGAGTCTGCACATTGGTACTTCCTGGTTCCAGAGTCCATTCTATGACATTCCCTGGAATTTGATTAGTTGTTTTAGTCAAATATTTCTGACCTAATTTGGGGCTAGTTTTCAGAGACTCTGTTTCTAAATTGGAAGCTCCTGTGGAGTATTCATGTCCTTTGTTCTTGACCCAGTGCCATCAAAAATGCCAAAGGGCTGAGGTTTCTTTTAGTTTCGATGTCCTGGAAGAGAAGTAAAGCATAAGGTCACCATTGATTTATTTTTTAAGATGTACCCATGAGATTTATAGATTGTAACAAAGTGAAAATGCAAATGACAGACACTGATTTAAATTCTACTATGTTATTTACATATGGCTCAAATAATTTCAATTTCTATATCTCAATCTCTAACATGTCTGTAATTATTAGATTAGTGCAAGTTTTAGGGGATTTGTTAAAGGCTTTTTCATAAATGCTTTCTAAATGAAATTCATGTTCACAAATAGCATTGTCAGTCTATTTTAATAATGTATTTATTTCCTACAGCTAATTCCAAAGATGCCAAAGAACGAAGGGAAATACAGAAATTACAGTGTTTTTATCACCTCTTTGGAAAATCTATGATAGGAAGTAACAGATCAGTAAGTGTTATAAGAGGAAAAGATCTGCCACCTCCAGAAAACTCTTCAGTGCAAAAGAAAAAAACCCACCAGGTACAGTCTTGATCTATGGGGGCTCAGTCAAGTGCGGGTCCTAAGACTCCATACATTCCGTGAGAGACCTTCCTTAACAATATCCCAGTGTTGTGTGCATTGGTAATCTCATGTGTTGTTAGAGAAGAACAAAACCCACATTTTCCTAAAAAAAAAAACCTGTCAAATCAAGTATACTCTAAATACTAACCATGAGTTAACAAATATACTTTTAAAATACTTGTAAAATGAAAAAAAAAGTGAAATGAAGAAAACAAAATCCTAATACAATTTTAGCATTTTGGTAGTCATTTTCCCTTCATGTTATTGAAAATCTTTCAAAACACATTTTTTGTGACTGTATAATCCATAGTGTGTCATGCTGTTATTAGTTTAATTCTTTCTTTTGAAATATACAAAAACAGGTAAGAAAAAAGGGAAGGGAATGGAAGTCTGTTCTCACTTCCCACAGATAAACAGTATTAATATATTGACATACATCCTTTCAGTCATATTTATTCATGATGTGTTTTTCCCCCCAAAAATCCCTCTATCTACTTTCAAGCTATTTCCCTACCTATCAATATATAATAGACATTTTCCTGTGTTATTAAATGTTTCCACTATAGCACATTGCTTTCCAAATTTTAAACAGCTTGTTTGAAAAAGAGTATAAAGGGTCAAACATATTTAGTACACTTAGATTATCTAGAAAAGAATTTTAAAAATCACTAAAATTTTGCCCCACCCCCCAAATTACTTTTGTTGACTGTCTGGTGACTATCCTTCCAGGTTTTTCAACCTATAAACATTTTTCTTCTGGGAATCACTGGGCAAACATTACATGTGTTTTTCTCTAAAGCATAGCTTGCTACTCTCTTGGCCAGTTTTTGCCTAGTTTTATAAAACATAAATATTCCAACTGGATATTAGTTTGAAATGGTTTTTTAGACCCCACCTCACAGACTTGGAATGCCAGAAGACCGGTTTTTCACATAATGATTTAATACTATAATAGCTGAGGATAGAAAGAAGGGAAAGTTGAATTGTCATTTTTATACGAATATAGATGTTTGCATTTAATTATTCAGGACCCCAACATCCTCTGTGATGTGCTACTTCAATGTGCTAAATGTAAACTAATGACCTGAGGTTATTAAATATTACTTTCAAAAAAATACCAAATGTGAAATACATTCTCTTCTTGCTGCATCTATTGAGAGGATAAAGACCATTCTCTGCAATCAGACTACTGACATTCTAGAAAGTGTCAACATCACTCTAAAGGGACACACAGTTATTGTGAAAGGCCCCAGAGGCAGCATGCACAGGATATCAGTCACATCAACCTAGAACTCAGTCACCTTGGAAAGAAAAGAAGAGACTCAGATTGACCATGTAGTGGGAAATAGAAAGGAAATGGCTACTGTTTGCACTACCGGCAGTCATATACAGAAGATGATCAAGGATGTTACCCTGGGCTTTCATTAAAAGATGAAGTCTGTGTGTGTTCACTTCCCCATCAATGTTGGTATTTAGGAGGATGGTTCTCTTGCTGAAATCTGAAATTTTGAGGATAAAAAATACATTCACAGAGTTCAGATGAGGTCAGGTGCTGTTTGTGCAATACGTAAAGCCTAGAAAGATGAATGAGTTCTTAGAGGAAGTGACATTGAACTTGCTTTGATTCAGCAAGCCACAACAGTTAAAAACCAAGGATATCAGAACAATTTTGAATGGTATTGATGTTTCTAGAAAGGGAACAGTTCAACAACCAGCTGATGAATAAGATTTAAGTTGTCCAGCTACAGGAATAGCAAGGTGTCAAATGATTTCCCACACTTATTCTTGGTATTTTAAAGATGCAATTAAAGCCATGTATTGAAAAAAATCAAATGGATTATCATGAAAATATTTGTTTTATTGTTGGCTCTTCCTATTTTTTTGTTTTTTTAGAAGACGAATGCAGAAAAAATCATTGAAGAAAATCAAAAGAGACAGCTAGCTAAACTAGAGAAAAAAGAGGAAGAAAGATGGAATAACTTGTCTGAATATATTGAAAAGGAAATTAAAGAAAATCCTAACTCTGGAATAAAAAGACTAGAAGATTTTATCCAAACATGCCCTGTTAAGTCTGTAAAATTTGCTGCAGAAATGGTAGGATTGGATGCCTGTTTCAAATTATGGGTGGAACACTGTTCAAAACCAGGTGTGTAAACCATTAATTTTAGAAATTGCTTGAAATATTAATTAAAGGTCAGTAAGAACAGAGCAAAAGAATTGATATTGGCCACATATGCTGATTTTTTCTGGCCTATATGACCTCGGGAATTCTTTGATGCCCAAAGAGTAGGAACATCTCTTTTTGTTTGATCCACTAATAACATTAGGGCCATTTGTGCATCTGATAGGTATTGGTGAGTAGATTTAATTTGAACTTCAATTTAGTAAACAGTTCTTCAATGTCAGTCATGAGCTAACTGCCTTATTAGGTGTCCACGTGGCTTCTGAAGAGAAGAGCATAGGACCCACTCTAGAGGTGCATCGTGTGGTAACTACCACCAAAGCTGCACCCAGTACATTCTCATGTAAAGTCATCTATAGGTTCTGTGACTTTAAGCAAAACAACGTATAGTGAAACTAATTTTACCACCGAATTATTGATAGTAACAAGAGTTAAGTTTGCAAGCATCTCATTAACGCTGTAATGAAACAACATTGAACAAGATGATGTTATCCAAGGACCTACTATGTATACATATATAAATTCTCACAATTCTCTGAGGCAGGTTTCATTACACTGGTATTGCACCTAAGAAACGGAGGTTCCAGTAGAACAAGTTATGTGCCCAAATATCAGTGACAGAGCAAGAACTTTAATACAACATTCTTACTCCAAAGTGTATGCACAATTTAAGTAATTAGTTAAATTAGGGCACAACAATGTTTAGATGAGGGCCAGAAAAATTCATATTTTTCATTGGAGGGAAGATGAAAAGTATTTATCTTTTAATTGTGGTCATAGGAAAGTAAATATTAAAAAATAAAATATGGAATAGCCTTCTCTTAAAAATGTCAATTCATTCCACTCTCTGTATTAATCCTTACAATTAATAATAATGGTTGCCATTATTGTATCATCATGTGTGAATTAATTTACTTAATCTCAGTAATAACCACACGAGGTAAGACCTATTATTAGTATCTCATTATCTATCTAAAGAAGACAAAGCTTAGAGATGTAACTTTCAAGTTCCTATGACAAGTACAGGTAACTTAAATTTGAATTTCAGATAAATAGCATTTTTAAAAAATATATATCATAAAATATATATCCCAAACAGGATCTTTTGTATTTTTGTTTGCTAATGCTGGCAATACTACTCTAACTTGAAGCCACACTCTTAACTGCTGTGCAGTTGACTAGTCACTATGAATTCCTAAATTTTTATGAGTGATTCCTATGAGTATGCTTGGTTTCCTTATACTGCAATAAAATTAAATAATGTTTGGGGATATTATTATCGATACTGTGTGTAACTTAAGTTATTCATGCCAATGTTTTTTTTAAATAGAAGCAGTACCCAGAGATATAAACATAATAATTAACTTGATGAAAAGGATTCACATAATTCATGAAAAATATTCTGAACTATTACAAAATACACATCGACAAAAAATAGCCAAATATCTAAAATATATTGGATTTGACAACTTGGCACACTTACTATGTCCTCAGGTAGAGTTCTTTGGGTAAAATAATTTGAACAATGGTGTGTCCTCATTAGATAGCTTCTTATAAAAGTATTTTATCTACTAAAGGTGCCGTTTTAAGATTGGCAAGAGTCCCTTAATTGAAACACAAGTTTTATTGAGTGTGTGTGTGTGTGGGGGGGGGCTTGTTCATATTTAACAACTATCAAAGATTATACTGAATTATAGTTAAAAGATGAATTTCATATTGTATTTTATTTTTATTAGATGGAACATAGTATTGTACATAAAACAGTATTTAGAAATTATAGTAAAGATGTATCTATATCTTCATTGTTAACTCTAAACAATGTGAAACATGAAATAGTAATCTTGTTGAAGCAAACTACAACATGATTGATAATAATTTTTTACCCAGATTTAAAATTTTAAGTATAAAAATCTAATCTGTCATACTTATTTTAGGTGCAGGAATCAGGTACCAAGAAGAATGTTTCTAAATATTCCATTCACATGGGGGCGGCTCGGTTTCAGTTAACATACATGGGCCCCTACTTATTTCGAGAAGAAAGAAGTGATCCAGATTCCAGAGTGCGTCATTTCATACCAGACACGTGGCAGGTACTCACGGAAAAAAACCCAACTGCCTGGAGGAGCCAAGAAACTTGATGGAGGCAGTTGGTTCAGATCTCACTGCGTTCAACAAGTTTGGGATGTGTAAATCACTTTAGAATACAACATACTGACAATGAAAATAAATCGTGTCTTTGCTGAAGACATAAAGGAATAAAGAAAAGAGTCCACTGAAATGAAAAAAAAATTGGTTGTATTAAATGATAGAGACTGAATTAAGAATTAACTGTAGTTAGACTGCTCTTATCAATTAAACTATAAAATTTTTATCCACATCAGTTTAATGTAAAAATGTAGTATCTGGTGTTTAATGATATATATTTGGTGAGAGTTTACTGTTTTCTGAAAGTAGTGATGCTTTCAGATTGTCCCAAGTTAAACAATGGAGTCATTCACAATATATCATGGTAAATAATGAGAAATATATAGCCCATTACCTATGTTCATGTTTTTTAAACTGCTATTTTCTACACTGTATTCATTTGTTGACCCTTTATTTATAAACAGAAAAATGGAACTCGAAAGAACAGTAGATTTTGGTAATTTGATTTTAGTCTGAGTTTCCCCGACTCAAGCTAAAAAGAATGCAGAGAGTTGAGCTGCACGGTACCCTGGGCAGACAGACCCCTTTGTGATGATGTCTGTATATTTGGGGATTTTATCCAAGTTTTAAGTGAAGAATTTTTTAGTAGAAAGTGTGATGTGAATTAAGTAATTTCCAAATAACAAAAAATGGTGATTCCCTTAACTATCTGCCATCTTGAACACTAACTACTGTGTCTCAGAAGGAACTGTGAATACTAATTTGCTGTCAAGTTGCCTTTAAATTAAAATTCAACACTAAATGTGTATTTTCAAAATAAAATGTGATTTCTTTTTATACAGAGGGAACTTCTTGATGTTGTAGATAATAATGAATCTGCTGTAATTGTTGCCCCGACTTCATCAGGGAAAACCTATGCTTCTTACTACTGCATGGAGAAAATCCTGAGAGAGAGCGATGACGGGGTGGTTGTGTACGTGGCTCCAACCAAGGTATTGTATCCATAGGACACTAAATACCTTACAAAACTTTTCTCCACTATAGTTGTGTCCTGAATCCCAGGGAGGTACTAGAGTGCAGAGGTTCCAGCATTGCAGTCATGGATTCGAGTGCTTTCATGCTGTGTGATTTTGAGCCAGTTTCTTACCTTAGTTTCTCTACATGTAAAAAGAGGATAATAATGCTTATATTATACAGTGGTCCCCCCTTATTCATGGTTTTGCTTTCCATGGTTTTTGTTACCTATGATTAACCATGGTCCAAAAGTATTAATTGGAAAATTCCAGAAGTAAACAATTCATAAGGTTAAATTGTGTGCTGTTCTGAATAGCTTGATGAAATCTCGTACCATCCCATTCTGTCCTGCCCAAGACCTGAAGCATTCCTTTTCCAGGGTATCTGTGCTATATGCATTCCCCCTCTATTAATCACTTAGCGGCCCTCTCCATTATTAGGTTAGCTGTCATAACACTGCAGTACTTGTGTTCATTAACATCATTTTACCAAATAATGGCCCCAAAGTGCAAAATTAGTGATGGCGGCAATTTGGATATGCCAAAGAGAAGGCATGAAGTACTTCCTTTGAGTGAAATGGTAGGCATGCATAGGAAAAAAGATAACACTGTGTGTAAGGTTCACTGCTATGCATGGTTTCTGGCATCCATTGGGAGTCTAGCAACACATACTCTGAGGATAAAGGGGGGCTGCTGGACTTTAATTCTAAGCATCGAGATGATGAATGCAAAACACCTAAAATAATCTTGGGTGTCAATATTGATCAGTAAGTGATTCCCTTTGCCCTTATTTTTTTTATAATTTATTTTATTGCTTAAACTCCCTTTGGTCCAGCAATTATTAAAAATCGGGATTTAACACCTTTGAGAAGTTTGCTGAAAGAGAAAATATGATTCAGTGCCAGGGATAAGGTAGTGTAGAGAGGTGCATAAGAAACAGCAGGAGAGAAAAGCAGCCACTGTCTGTGGAATCACCCCCTGATTATTACAGGTGCTAAAGGCGCCTTTCTTTACAGCATTCTGTGTAAAACAAAGTCGAGAGCTCTTAGCTAAATCAGAATTTTTTCTTTGTCTGGAAGGGATTTTGGGGTATCTTTTCCCCATGGAGAATACTTGATTTCAGGCCTTAAACACATACTGGGGGAAGAAATTCAGAATGCTAGTGTTGGGAGGGGTCATCTCTGTCATATTACCCAGTCCTCCCACTTTACAGATGAGAAAACTGGGGATCAGTGAAGTTAAGAAATGTACCAATATTGGAGAACCCATTAGATTTTTAAGTAAAAAATCATCATATGTTTTCAGCTGTACAGATATTACATGTATGTGGCCTAGACTGTTATTTATTGTTTTTAGCCATCATATTAATAAGCACTATCATATGTTATACATTAAGGAAAACTTCAAAATGGAACTAGTGGGAAGAATTTAGTGCTCATAATTCTTTGATTAAGACAAGAATTATATAAAGTTGGTACTCTACCTTTTGCATGCAAATTTGTTCCAGATATTTTTTTTACTTTAAAAAATGTTTTCAGTATTGTCAATAATTCCTGAATAGTGGATTATGTCTTGTATGATTTAAGGCTCTTGTTAATCAAGTGGTAGGAACCGTCTACAGTTTATTTACCAAAGCACTGCCAAAAGGATTAACGGTGTGTGGAGTTTTTACAAGAGATTACCGTCATGACACCTGTAATTGTCAGGTACGTCATAGGCATGAACACATAGTAGATAATAATGCATATTTCAGCACTTTAGTAGGCACTTCAAAGTTTTAATGTGAGTATACATTAAATTCGCAATTGCCTTTAGAAATATATTTATGTTTTAATATTGTTTATATTATTTTTACTTAATAATATGGGTAACTTTTTAAAAATTGTATTTTATATGTAGGGTAAAATGCTTTTCTTTCAGAAATTTCAACACAAGGAAGCAGCTGCCTTTAGCGGCGATGGTTTCAAATTGTAATGATTTTATATTCCCAATGTATGACGTGGGAAAATGTATCTTAACGAAATCATCTTACCTTTTTGAGGGATTTGTTACACAAATTTGTTCTACTTTTCCACAAACAAGATTGAACATATTATGTGATTTAAAATATTTTACTGATGTTTAAAAGTTGAAGCTTGAGATTTTTAAGAAAATTAAGTCAATGCTTTTCAATTTTTTTAAAACAGATATTGGTGACAGTGCCTCAGTGTTTGGAAATACTCTTGCTGTCACCTCGTGGTCAAAAGTGGGTGAAAAGGATAAGATATGTCATATTTGATGAGGTATGCTACCTTTCATTACCATTGCTCCACTAAGTATTTTGATGTACATAGAACATGTAGCTATGTGTTTTAGTAAAGATGGCAATTGTATGGATAGTTATTAAATACTCACTGTATGGAAGGGATAGACTAATGTGATGGTGGTAAAAGACAGATCTGAAAGGAGTGGAAATGGGAAAATGAAAAAAAAATTCTAGGATAAAAGTGATAGTAGCAGAGGAAAAGTAGCCCAGAAATCACTGGACACACTAAGGCATTAACAAGAGACATTTTTTTCTCTAAGCCATAGACCTTCATCCCACTGAACCAACTACCTTTACTTTATTCTATTTTTAATTTTTTATCCTCACTTGAGGATATGCTTATTGAGGTTAGCGAGAGGGAAAAGGAGGGAAAGAAATAACGATCAGTTGCGTCTCAATATGCCCGACTAGGAACTGAACCCACAAGCTAGGCATGTGCCCTGACCAGGAATCAAACCCCAGACCTTTCAGCTTACAGGACAGGTGCTTCAAGGGAACAGCCACGGTGGGGAGAGCTGAATTAAGTGTCTTTTAAGAGGTACTTTCTTATTACCTTGTTGCATTAATGGCTAAAATTATTCATGTCACTCTATTGCTGGTTTAAGAGTGCCTCTTACACTAGCTAGCATTCTTTTGATGGATGATATCAGGAAGGAAATAAAAAGCAAAGTACAAATAAGCAAACAAAATAAGTAAACAAACTAAACAAACAAAATAAACTGCAAATTTAGGAAGATGATATAATTTGAACATAGATTTTTAGTTTTTCTCTAATATATGTATGTATTCTTTTCTAATGCATTAATATATTGAGAGTTATGTATTAACCTTAACATACTGCTTTAGCAACATTTGAAAATTACCTTTTTTATCATTCAGTTTAAAATGTTTCAACTGCCATCATGATTTAGTTTTTGGTCCATAGGTTAATTTAAAAAAGTATTCTTAATTTCTAAATATACTTTTTAAAACTATCTTTTGTGGTTTGTATTTCTAGCATAGTTACATTTAGGCCAAGAATATATCTTTATAGTTTTTATGCATTGAAATTCAAGTTGATAAATAATTTTATATCAGCAACACATTTGAGAAAAATGAGATAAACAAGTATTCTATAGCATTTATAATATCACAAAATATATAAGGTAGTTTGGAATAATTTTTTTAAAAAATGTACAGGATTTTATATAGAAGTTGTTAAACTTTACTGAGTGATGTTTAATAACATTTTTTAAAAGAATGAAATGAGCCCTGGCTGGCGTAGCTCAGTGGATTGAGCGTGGGCTGTGAACCAAAGCATTCCAGGTTCGATTCCCAGTCAGGGCACATGCCTGGGTTGCAGGCCACGGCCCCCAGCAACCGCACATTGATGTTTCTCTCTCTCTCTCTCTCTTTCTCCCTCCCTTTCCTCTCTAAAAATAAATAAATAAAATCTTTTTAAAAATTAGTCATATTATAAAAAAAAAGAATAAAATGAATAGAGGTAGTCCATGTTTTTGCATTTGAAAATTCAATATTATGATTATAATTATAATAGATCATTGTGGACACAGATAGGTTATTTTGGACAATTTGGATCCCAAAATTGTCCTCTAGATTCAGGACAGTCACAATAAAAACTCACAGATTGTCCTGTCATAGTATCTGTGCCAGTGTGTGTGTGTGTGTGTGTGTGCACGCACATGTTTGTGTGTTGGGAGGAGAGAACCAATTACCAGATTCTGAAATTTACATGGAAAGGCAAAAAGCAAAAACTAGCCAAGATACATTAAAAAAAAGATTAAAAATAGGCAGAGAGATGCATTTGAAAAAGAAGATCAAGGTGGACAAAGTTGTTCTTTCAGGATTTCAATCAGGATTTATTGTAGACCAGAGGTCATGAAGTGATGTCTTTTGAAACAGGGATAAACATATAGGCAAATGGGCCAAAGAACCCAGAAACAGAATCCTGTATAGACCTTTAATTTAAGAAAAAAGTGACACTGGAAACAGTATTGGAAAAACTGGAAATCCATATGAAGAGAAAAAAAATTAGATCACTTCCTTACATCATACACAAAACCAGTTTCAAATGATTTAAACATAGAAATGTCAAAGGCAAATTGATAAAACTTTAGAATATATTATCTGAAGAGAATATATTTATTACTTAGGAGTAGATAAAGACCTCTTAAACACAAACTTGAAAGTACAAACCATAAAAAAATAGATGAACAAATTTAACTGGATTAAGATCAAGAATTTTTATTCATCAAAATATATCATTAAAAGGTTGAAATTATAAGTCACCAAGTGGGAGGTATTTGCAACTTATATTTGGAAAAATAACTCTCATTCAAAACATATCAGGATTTCTCTAAGATATTAAGAGAAAAGAAACACAAAAGGAGCTTTCCAAATGACTTACATACCCATGAAAAGAAACTCAACTAAAAGGCTGATGATGTTTTTCTGGATTGGTCACACTTAAAACCTGTATGGCTTTGTGCACCAAAGTAACCCCAATAAATTCCATTTAAAAAAAGAAAACATGGTTACATTAATGTCACGATAAAGCACACCCACCAGACAGTAAAGGTGAGAATCTGGCACTGTCGAGTGCCTTGAAGGAATTGGAATGATGGGAAGACTCACATGCATTCGAAATTTTTTTGACAAAACCTAAAGATGACAATACTTCATGAACGAGGAACTCCAATTCTAATTATGTGCTTGAGGACTAGAAAAAAAGATTGTAGGTCTACAAAAATAAGACAATTTAAGACCTCTCGCACATGTGGACCAGGGGATGCACAAAATGTTTAGAATAGCAACTCAAATGTCCATTAGGGTGGAAATGTGGAATATTTATGTGGTAGAATGCATAGAGTAATAAAAATAAATACAAGAGAATAATCTTAAAGTCATAACACTGAGTAAAGGAAGGTAGACACAAAAGGACACATGCTACATAATTCAAATTACAAAACCTTACAAAAGTGGCAAAATCAACTTATATTGTTTGTGAACACACATAAATGTATGTATAAAGACATGTAATGAAAACCAAGTCATAATTTAAAAAAAACATAATACCTATCAAAGGAGTTTGTTACAATATGGACTTCTGAGAGACTAGAAATATTTGTTCTAGTTTATAAGGATTTTTGCTTCATTTAGTTAATCTGAATAATACTTTGTTCATGTGACAATCTATTTTACACAGTTTATTGAATGTTATATTTCACAATAAAACAAAGGTTAAAAAAGAATGCAAAGATTAGATTAGATAAAAATAATTGCATTCCACATATTGCTATACATAAAATTCTAATAACTACCATTATTTTAATGTTTACTAAAGATATTTATCCTAAATGACTTCTACCCATAATGCCATTTACTCTTTGTAAAAAGTCAATAAAGTAATTACTGTTTGTATGGCTACTGAATTCAGGCAAAGAGAGATTCACTCTCCCTGGTTCACCACATGTGAACTGCAGAGCCAAGATTAGAACACACGCTAGCTGCTTCCATTGTCTGTGCTTTTAATGCTCTGTACTACTCTTCTGTGCTGGAAGGCAGCACAAGCCTGCAGAGGTGTCGGTCCATGTAAAAAGATGAAATTAAATGTCCTCTAATATAACAATGAAAGAAAAAGCTGCAAAATGTTTATTTAAAATCTTTTGCATCTTTAGTAAAATACAAAAAATGAATGCTTCTTACCAAGTTTCACATCATTATAAATTCCACATTCATCTCTGATTTATTAGCACTTCAAATGCGTGCTCACAATTTTATTTATTAAAATGACCTTGTCATCAATATATTTCTGATGTCATTAACGTATTTTTCTTTTTTTTCCCCTCTCTCACTATTTTGACTAAAAGCCTTTTGAAAGCGTCTCTTTACCTCTCCACAGTGCCTACTTCATAGTGGATGAGTGAGTGCTCCATGAAGGATAAAGACTTCAGTAAAAATCAGAAATAAAGTATAAGCAAGACTTTTGACATTGAGTTGGTTTTTGTCTCTTGTATTAATTCTGTCAAGTGTAGGCTGTAATATACATAAGGACCTAATTTTACTAAATAAAAGTTTATTGTTAGCTGAGAATCTTAGAGAAATTAATTAAAATCAAGTTTTTTAAAGTCATTCTGGCTTTCATATATTATTATTAATTTCCCATATCATTGTGGCAAACTAGTAATGAATAAGCTAATAATCACTGCACTTATTCTGTCCCCATTTACAGTCAGGGGACTAGGCTTTCTCTAGATTTCTAACTAATACAAAATAAGTGCTCTATGTGTATTTATGGACTGAAGCCTGGACAGCTTTATTTATATCAAATAAATTTATTTCATAAACACATTTATCTGCATTTCAGTGATAGAATTAGTGACACATGAGTAAATGTTTTATTTTTATAGAGATTTTTCTTCATCTTATCTTTTTGTGGTAATTGCTATAATTTAGCCAGTATTTCATTTGTAAACAAGACTTACACAGTGTATTCTTTCACTTAATTTGTTCTTGCTTATGAGTATTATTATCATGGCATGTGATAATCTTTTTCACAGTTCAGGTGTCACCATGCATCACAGAGCAAGTCATCTCTCACTACGTTGTTCTCAAACCCAGTTTAATTCTTTTCCAAATCATGCTGGGATTTTTGACCAACTTTGTCAGGGGTAAATGAACATTACTGAATGTAAAGAGTGAAGGAAATAAGTTCTGCTAGCAAAATGTATTAATATTTTGGGGAAAATTGTAACTTATTTTATATTGATTCCATGTAACCACATTGCCAGGTTCACTGTCTTGGGGGAGAAATTGGAGCAGAAGTCTGGGAGCATCTCCTCGTCATGATCCGATGTCCCTTTCTGGCTCTCTCTGCTACCATCAGTAATCCTGAGCATCTCACCGAGTAAGCCTCAGTTTTGCATTCATTGTAATTGCTATTAGTGATGATAATAGTAATACTTAATAATCCAGTACATTTTTAAAGAGTAATCTCTAAAAGAAAACAAAAAAAATCTCTTCAAGAAAGACTTATTTTCTTTAAATTTTGTTATATGTAACTAGAAAACATTTGTTCCCATCCTTTGACTAGATAGATATAATTTATACACCTGGTTCTTTAAGAATTTTGTGTAAGAGTTACTTAATTGTCCTGTTTATAGCTTGATATTGAGACTCCTAGAGAACAGCATGCGGCAGATTAGAACAATTCTTCCAATATACTATGCACACTACCTTCCTGTACAAAACAACAAAAATATTTTCAAAATGAGTCAACTCATATCGCAGAAATGGATATAATTCTTTTATTGCATCAATGAATTTCAAAAGAATTTCAAAGTATCAGTTCTTGGTGATTACATGAAAATACAACTGATTAAACTATGTGAATATAAATATAGTTTTAATATGCCTAAGGTTGAGGAGATTTTTATTCTCTTAGAATCAATTCTAATGATTTTTCTTAGAAAACAAATAATACAGTTTTTCCTGTGATGATAATACCTTTCTTTTTTTTTGATAACTAGATGGCTGGTGTCAATTAAAAGATACTGGCAACATGTTGAAAGCACAATGGAAAATTCTGGTCCATCGCAAAATGCCTTGAAAGTTGCCAAGAAACAACAAAGAAAAGGAGTAGAAAAGCCATCATACAGAGTTAGACTGGGTATGATCTTAACCTAGGAGAAGGAGAGCTCTGCATGCGTGTAACATATTAGGGCATCTTATATGTATAAATCAATCAGATTCTTACTACAGCTCTGAAAGGGAATCAATTTTGTCTTAATATACAGTGGAAATTGAGTAAGAATATTAGCTCTAGAAGACTGATATGTTGAAGTCCACACAGCTAACAAATGTGAATCTAATAAACCTGATGATCAAAGACTTTCCAAAGATTACCTGTTTCAAAACACTGTGAATTCCTGCATTATTCAGTGGGGGTTAGGAGAGAACTGTAGCACAGATAAATGATTCACTCCTTATTTTGTAAGAAAACATTACAGATAAAAACGTTTCTAGAAGGCAGTTCAGTTTTGTTCTGCCTAAAAATCATTGTTTCCAAATAACCTGTTTTACTTGTGGTCCAGTTCTGATCTATCATTCCTGTTTCATACCACAGGAGTCTTGCTCTTCATGAATTTTCCTCACATTTAGATTATTCATTGTTCCTCAAAACTTGTCTTTGCTTTTTAAATTTCTTTTTGTGGAATAATCTTTCATCTATACTTGACCAAACTCTCTCTATTCGTTATTTAAGAAGTACTGTCTAGAGGTACAGCTCAAATACCACCTTAATTCTTCAGCTCAAGCCCCATAGTATGTCTGATGTTATGACATTTCCTACTGTCTATTGTAACCATTTTTATATGTCTTATTTTCCTTCGAAAACACTAGACATTTTCAACATATGTATATATATCTAAGTAAATAGATAATATAAAATAAATGATATATAAAACATTTTTAATCTATATCATGGTGTCTTTTATTTTATATGTACTCTAAATGTTTTACTGTTGAATTCAGGAATGTTGCTATACATTACATACTTGTGACTATTTTTATATGAATTCTATGAAGCAGTATAAAATTCTATTTTTCTGGCTACTTTTTAGCTAAAAACTGCGGATACCCATGCGACACCAGTGCGCTCACTTAACAAATATGAAAATGCCTGCTGCATGCCAGGTCCCATAATTGCCCCCAGGATTCCAGTAGAAAACTTTTTGCTTTTCTGGATCTTAAATTTTAATGTGGACATTGATTAAACAAAATGAATAGTAAACAAAATAAGAAATAATAAAAAATAAATAACATGCCAAGTAGTAGTAAATCTAAGAAAAAAAATAAAGCCCAGCGTAATATTAATAGAAACGTTTAGGCTATTATCTTCTTCATTTCAAGAAAATGAACAGAAAAAGAGAAGACACATATTCTTTCTTTGACCTGGTAATATTATTCTTAAAGATAGATAATATAATGATAATAATAATAATAATAGTGATACTCAAAGTCCCTAATTAATTGTATGTCTATGTTAGTTTTTTACCCCATGCCCCGTTATACAAAGGCATGCTTTACAAGAATACATAGAGAAATAAATGAGGAAATCATAATTAAATGCCAGGAACTGAAAAATGGTGATATAATTGAAGATTAAGTTCTGGAAGAAAAGTAAAGCACAGATAGGCAGTATAGATACACTGAATCCCCTTTCAAAGTTCTTCCAAATGACCAGCACTGTTTCTAGCGTTGTATTGGCAATGGGCTCATGCACAGGTCTTCCTAGGCCTGCTTGTAATTGTAAAATCAATTAGATCATTGTTTTGAAAGCAAACAAATCTTAATGATCATTTCAATCCTATAATTACAGTATGGTATAAAGAGCGATACAATGACCTGGAAAAGTATGTGTGTTCCCTAAAGGATAATGACTTTATCATTGAACACTATCACCCATGTGCTGCACTTACAGTCAAGCATGTAAGTAAAAACCACTTTGGAAAATGCGTATGTACCCAGATTGTTAAAAACCTGTAGATGGAATACAAAATGAATAATTCTGTATTTTATGGTCTTTAGTTAGAGAAACATGGAATCCCTTTAGACCTTGGATTTTCTCCACGGGAAAGCATACTGCTGTATGATGCAATGGTACATGTTTGGCCAGAATGGACAAGAATGCAGGTGGGTGAACATATACATTCAATGGCTGATGTCTTAGTTCTTTGGCTGTGGCAGTCCATGAATAATGAACAAGTTCATGAATGGTTTTTATTCTGGTATAGATAAAGGCAGCACATTTCATTGTTAAGAATTTAAACTCCAGAGCCACAATGCTCCAGAATTGGGCAAATTAGTTCTATTTTTTTCTATTGTCCAATTTTTCCCTATCAAAAAAATATCTACTTTGTTGTGGAAGTATGAAGATTAATTGAATTGCCATTTGTAAAATGCTTAGAATAGTGCCTCACCATGGTAAAATGATGTACTTTTAAAATAAACATTTTATACATTTTTATTTCTTTTACCGCTAAAGCTAACTGTGGTATTAAAAGCATGTAGGCGTTGGTATGTTCTAATGCAAACAGAATAACATGCAAATGTTACATAGAGAACAGAACTGCCAGCCTACGTGCAGTTAACTCAGACTATGGATGAAAAAGACTGCTTGAGAGATTTCCTTCATAACAGTGTATATGAAAAACTGTAGAAGGAATGGTGACTTCATTTTACTTGGTATTTGTGGGTCTTCATTTTCAAGGAGTTAGAACCTGAAGAATTCAGCTGCTTCAAGAATAAAATAGTCATTATGAGGACAGATGCCAAGAAATATGAAGAGGAACTGAAAAAAGAAATGATTCGTTGGGTTCAGCTGGACCCAAGCAAGGTAGTTACAGCCATTTAAGATTTTCTTTTCATTTCATATTAATAAGAAAAGGATCTGACTTTAGGTTCAGGAGAATTATCCATAAAGCTCTTGAGGATTTGAAGATGAATACCCCCTTGCCATGCTTTGCTATTCTAGCTTAAATTTAGTTAGCTAAATGTGGAAAAAGGCAAAGAATCACTACTTGAGCTCCAGTATGGACAACCCACACATGCTGGTGCCATGTCTTTCCTGAATCTCGAGTTGGGCTATTGCTTTTCATAGAAGACAGGACTTCTCTGATTTCTGATACAAATGGGTCATAACCCTGACTTTCTTCTCCAATATTTCCCCAAAGAAGAACTTTTAACTGCTTTCTTATATGAATACGTGACCAACCAGTGTCTGCCTATTGCCAACAAACTAGAAAGAAAAAAGAAGTTATAAGTAGTACTTAATGTATGTTACTTACTGTAAGTTGTATTTTTTGACTTGACTTATTTGTGATGATAAAATCCTGATACTTTGCTTTCTGAAGATGGTTACTACAGCATTTCAATGCACAAGCAGTGGCCCATATCTGTAGTTACCCAGAGCTGATTCACCAGACTGTTAGAAGAAAAAGAACATGGTCCCACTGCTTTACATTTACTGACATGTAATATCAAACAATCTTCACTGCTTGGGGCTCAAAGTCATGGTTAAGATGTGATTACTTCTTGATCAGTTCAGAAAATGGAAGCAAAATTTTAATCCATCCCTATTTTCTGCATTCTATTTCCACATGAGAAGAAACCCATTTTTTCTTCTTTTTTTCTTTTTATTTTAATTGCACACTGACTTGGGCAGACTACCTTATCTACAAGCCTGAAAACCACCAAATGTCAAGAACTGCTATGATATAAAATAAAGGTTTTCAACACTAGCTGCTTATAAAAAATGCAACTTATTAAAAATTCTGATTTGATTGGCCTTGTATGTGGCTGGAGCACTGGAATTTTAAAATCAGATTCTATGAAGTTTTCATGTGCAAACAGGGTTGAAAACCTTCGGTTTATCATTGCTATTATCTGGCTTTTAACACACTGGGATATATAGATACCAGCCTATATCAAACTTAATTTTACTTAGTCCTTTTGAATTACAATATTTTCAGTGGTGGCAAATCCCTAAGCTCTAATTAGTTTCATCCAATATCCTCTTCAGTAGGCAGGAGTCATAGATTTCTTTTCCTTAGAGCTTATGATGTGCCTCATGGCAATGATCGGTGCCATTCATAACATGAAAATCCTCTTCACATCTATTGTACCTGGTCTAATAATTTTACTGGACATTTTACATTCTTTTCATCTAAAATTTTAGTTTTAAACATTTACTTTTCTTAATTTTTAAACTTTAGATATTTTGTTAAAATATTATTTATTAAAAAAAATTATTTATAGACCAGTAGGGTATATATAGGATATCAGTTGAATGAATAAATGAATAAAATTATTTCTTAATTTTATTTTTACCAGGCACCCTCTGGTATCGTAATCTAAATTCTGCTTTTAGTTAATATTTATGTGGCCAGCATTTTCTCTTGCTATATCATAATATTTTTATTCTATATTACTTTTAATTAGAAGACCAGTTATAAATATTACCTTATCCCAATTATTTTACTCAATTAACTTAAAGTTGTTTTGCTTTTTCAGTTATACCATTTCTTTGTGGTTTGATATGGCTTTGATTAATGTTGTAATTTTACATGGTTGGGGACATCAACACATTTTCCAGTTGTGAATTGAGATCGCTCTCAGTAGATATTTAACATAGTTAACATACTTTACTTTTAGAGTTGGTGACAATCTTTTCTCCTGTGTTGGCATCTGTGATGATTTCTTGTTTATCTGAAGTTCAGGGAAGGCTATTTGTTCAGAAACTCTAGTTTTACTGTATTTAGGAAAAAAACTTTTATTGTTAGTCTCATGTTTCAAAATTTCTTTTTTCTTTTTAACTTTTCTTTGTGTTTTTTTTTCTACTCCTCTAGTTGATTTTTTTCCCCAGCCACATCTTTTCCTCTGTGGGCTCTCTTGGCACTGTATGTATTTATTTATATTTTTTTCAGAACTTCTTATTCTGAGGTTATTGATCTACTTCCAAGTCCTTATCAGCTAATTCCAACATCACTATAATCTTTTGTTTATCTGGGATAATTTTCTTTCCTCTTGAGAAGGGGTCATATTTTCCTTGTTCCTTATATGTTGTTATTTTGTGGGATTGTCTTTTGTTGTTGTTGTTATTTTTGGACTGTGAATGTTGTATTGTGAAGATTATGTATTCTGTTATAGTCCTCTGGAAATTTTTTTTTTAATTTTATCTTAGAAAGTAATTATAACTAAAACTCAAATTACAAATCCTGTCTTCTGAGCGACAGCTAACATCTCCATTCTTTCATCCTTAGTTGGGCTGTATGGAGTTTGTTTTGCCCATGGGTGGGTCAATAGTTAGATAAATTTGCACTTAGTTTATTCATAGATTTTAAGAATTTTCTTTTGTAGTTCTCTCATTTCTGGAATCTTCTTCTCACTTTAGTGGCTATTGTTCTTAGCAGAATTTTCTGTTTCTTTACAAAAAAGATTGCAGGATGGGGGTGGGAAAGGGTTTGTTAACACTTTGGCTTAGCTGCATTTGTCCAGGCTAAAAGCCTGGAAGCTGTGTTTTTCCACTCCTGCTGTTCCCTTTCCCTATATACTCTCCTCCAGAACCCGTCTGCTTTTGTTTTGCTTTTCAGGTCATTGTTTGGTTGTATTTTTCCCAAAGTGGCAGTAGTTACCTACAAGAGGGTGGGGTCTAGTAGGGACTCATTCACCCATAACAAAAGCAATAAAAAGCAGAACTCTTCCTTTTCTCTTTTTGTTCTCAGAGAATTTCTCACACACTCCTGAAGGAGAATATATATCCTACTAGATTGCCAGGACTTTCTGGAAATTTCATTGGCACTTTTCATGTATACTGACTTACCTCTTTCTATTCCATTTTATCTATAGTATATAGACTGTCTACTGATGAAAACATAACTACTTTTTCTCAAAACATTGGGCAACAGTATCATAAAGAAAACAATTCCTCATTTAAAGGCAGAGTAAGCTTTACCACAGCAATTTTTAAAAGTATTTGGCTTCCTCTACTGAAGCTGGAGCTATTGGGGCCTAGTGGGAGTCCTTTTGCAGGCTATAGGCCAGGCCAGGCCAGGGAAGGCTGAATCACCAGGTGCTTTAGGGAGTGGATTAATCTCTACCTTGTAATAGTTGCAAATGGCTCTGAGATGTGTTTCTTTAGGGTGAGTCAACTGATGGAGTAGAAGAAATTTGAGAATGGTGCAAAGCTTGTTCAAATTTTTTATGATAGATTTATTTATGATGTATAAATTGAGTCATTAAACATAAACATAAAAATAAGAAAATGTGGTACATACACTTTGGAAAATTGGAAGAGTTTCCCTAGTGTTTTATTCCTCCTTGAGCTTATATTGAACTACACACTTCTCTAACCCCAACAGTTACAGTTTTTTTGGGTTTAGTAGTTGATTTATTGTGTCTCTCACATCTAGTTCCTAAACACTTGGGGGGTCAGCTGAACTCTCTCCTTTGTTCACATTTCTTAGTTTTCCCAGGACAACCATGGTTTGCATGTCTTGTTTTTAACCTCTTCAATCCTTCCCTCTTAACATTATTGTGATGCTGAATTCTTACACATTCATAACATCTGATTGTATTTGTAGAATTTTGAGCAATTTTAACTCTTACTAAGCAATGTTAAAAGTCTTACTTCCCGGGCCCTGTGTTCACACTGTTGATAACCAACATCAATTTGTGACAACCTCTGTCCACTTCCATAAACACCATAGGCACAATTATGATATAGTTGAAATATATCATTCAAGTTTTCTTAGATTATAATTTTATTTAAAAATGTGCATGGTTTAAATATAATTATCAGTTTACTCCATGAAAATTCACTAAGCCTAACCACTTTGATTTTCGGTTTTAAATGCTAGTTGATTGTGTCATCTTTTCTTCACAATCATAAATATTTAATGATTTATCTTACTTATAATAATTTTATTCAGGTGAATCAGTTACTAAAGTACCTTAAGCCTCAAACTTTTGACAGTGCAGAAACTGAAAAGCAAAAAATGTTTCCCCATTTTGTGGAAAAACTTAAAGAAATGAATAAACTGCCTGCAATATTCTTTTCGTAAGTAATATTTACTTAGCTTTATACTTAATGTTATATGAATTTGAAGACTTTTGAAAACAATGATATGGATAACCTCTGATTCATATTAGAATTTTAAGAAATTTTAACTCTATTTATGTCACAGTCATACTTATGATATCAAGCTGGGTACAGGATGAGAGGAATACCTCTCTTAGTAAATTATACTTCAAAACCTAATTGTATAGTTTAGTGCAGTAGAATTCTCTGGCCTATCAATTATTAGAAAAGTTCTTTACACCATCAAAGTAAGATAAAGGGAAAAGGGTAGAATGTAGTGTGCACTTGTCAGAAACCAGCATGTACGGTAACACACATGCATTCCATATGCACACATATGACCTTGCTGTATTTGTTCTCTGGGTTCTTTGCAAAAGTGTTTACATCTAAACTCTTTATTAAAAAGGAAAGACCTTCAGTCTGCTAATTTTCCTTTTTCTATTTTTCCCTTTAAAGCATTAAAAGAAAGGTTAGATGGGGCTTAGTGACAACATCATATAATTAGCAATTATGTTTTCATTGCACTTAAAATACAGATTTTCCTTTGGGAAATATTTAATTGGTCTATATGGATGAAATGAGCTCACATTCAGTTCATTTCACTTTGCTTCTTGGTGCCGGGCCCAGGACCCAGGGATGCAGACGCAATCTATGACTTGACTCCTTGTAGGGAATCGATTGTAAGAGAAGTGGTTGTGTGTGAACTTGAAACAGATTCAATAGTTTAGCTAGTCACAATATACAGAGTTATGTAATGTTTCAATATTCAAGGCATTTGGTATATGTTAATAGAAAATATGAGGAGATACTTGTCACCTCTGGGAACATAGGAAAGTAAAATCAGAAATTATTAATTGTAAAGCCGTCTGTCCCTTAAAGGTATAACATAATATACATTTGAAATAAATATGTGATAATGGCATTAGGTGCTTCAGAGTTTAGTGGAAAGAGACATGAGTGGGCTAGGGAGGTTATAGACATTTTTACACAGGGGCTGGGTCTCAAAGTACAGTATTGTAGACAAGAAGGAGAGAGGAGGAAACCTAGATCTGATTTAATCCATTCCGTTTGAAACAAAACAAGATCTCCAAAGCAAACAAACAAATTAAAGGTAGAGTATGAATAAAACTTACATGATTATAAAATCTTATATATAATCTATCTCCCTCATATATATGAGATATATCTATAAGATATATGAGTGTGTGTATACACACACACACACACACACACACACACACAAGATTGATGGGAAGATGAAGTTTTTAAAAATGCTGATACATTTTTAATTTAGATTCAACATTCACTCAGTGGAACTATCAGCTTCATGACTTCTTTCAAATTTGAGAATCAAACAGAATAGTCATAAAGACCCAAATTCTGAAACAGAGAAGAAAAATTTGAACAAGAAACTATGGAAAGCAATAAAGTCTCAAAAAAGAAACTGGGCTGTGTGAGTATTTTGACTTGAGTTGTGAAATTTTAAAGGTTAAAATAAACTGTATAAGTTTTTAATAAACTTTTTATAATTCAAACTTGTTTTTATAATGTGATGATATAATTTTTTGTCTCTTTTATATGACACATCAAGTTAGTTGACTAATACTTCACTTTTGGTAGGACGTCCAGGAAAGTATTTTTTTGAGTATTTTATAATATTCAAAAAATTATATAATAACTTGCAATAATTTTCTTCATTGTCCTAGCTTCTTTTTCTTAGACGTGTAAGTTATACATTTGTTTTTTAGGAATTGCAAGCTTGCAAATTTGCTAGGAGTAAGTTGTATAATTGCTTACATTCACTTTTAAAAGATAGCCATTAAAATATCAAATAGCTAATTAGTCAAACAAGTTTGTTAACATAATTGTCTTTTAATATAATACAGGAAATATGATTTTTGTATTTTTATGCCTTTATTTTCTTAATATAAAACATACAAATATGTGAAGAAATGCCTCTAGTTTTGTTTCATCCGAATGTACAAATTTACCAGGGAAACATGACGTAGGAATTTTGTTACATAACTTTGTTTGATCGTTGTTACACAATTCTCACCCTCAGGATTCTTTTCTAGCATTTGCTCTACTGACTCTTGAAAGAAATAATAACCATGATGCAATAAATTACTCTTTTCTGACTGTTTCCTAAGCTGGAGGTGGTCATACAGAATAGGTTTGAGTCTTAGAAGAGTAAAACTTCAGGTAGGATGGCTGATACAGACCTGTTTTAGTGGCCCAGCAGCTGGTCACCCTCTGTGTGCCATTCTACCCAAGCAATGACTGATTAAGAAGTACCCTGATATACCTCCAGGCTCTTTTTGGCATGTGCAGAAAGTCAATTACAGGCTATGTTAGAAAGAAGACAGTTTTGCAGATAGAATTATTCTATACTCCTTCAACTATAAAGAATTTGCATTTTATGCAGTTATTAGGAAAATTAATTTTTCTATCAAATTTAATGTCAAAAATACTGTTCCACTGGAAACAAATTGATGTTTCTCTTTCTCCCTTCCCTGTTCTCTAAAACACAGGTGGCAAATACAAGGCGTGCAGGCCAAATCCGGCCCGGCACCTTGTTTTATCCGGCCTAGCACCTTGTTTCTACCTGGTGGCAGCACCAAACTCCTTGCCTCTAGTTAAGGAGTAGTTACATTATACAGTCCTAAAATTACATTTGGCCCTTTGAAGGCAACCGTGAGGCTGATGTGACCCCTGGTGAAAATGAGTTTGACACCTCTGCTCTAAAACCAATAAATAAAAAAAATTTTTTAAATATTCTTCCACTGGATATAGAAAATAAATTAAAATTTGGTTGGCGTGAGAGATAGGAGAGGCACAGAATGTTTTTCTATTTTGCATTAGGTGCATTTTAATGAATATATTTGAATATACTTTAAAGGGAAGCTGATAAAAAAGACAATTGAGGTAATTAAGGCCTGACGAATATTCTCTAAGAGGCACATTGTGTTTTGGGTTCGAATTATCTGCAGTTCTTTTCGCCTGGCATTTATGTATATAAACTCAAACTTACAAAAATAAAAGAACAAGCTATAATCAATATATCTACTGATTTTCCATATTTTTTATATTCAGATTTTTAAATTCAGATTCAGGTGCTAGGATTCAAAGAATCATTGTATTGAAAGCTGAAATAGAGGAAATAAAGAAAAACCTTAAGAAGCATTATGCAGTGCCTCCAGACTGTAATTATGCCGACCATACAGTTGTGGATAGCCAGGTAAGGGAAAAGAAACAAGGATACAGTCAGGTGTCCAGGTGGGCACCTGCTAGGGCTGCCATAACAAAGTGCCACAGAGTGAGTGGCTTAAACAACCAATACTTATTTTCTCCCAGTTCTGGAGAGTAGAAATCTGAGATCAAGGTGTTGGCAGGGCCGGTCCTTCTGAGAGCTATGAGGGAAAGATCGATTCCAGATCTTTCTCCTTGGCTTACAGAAGGCCATCTTCTTTCTGTATCTTCATATCTTCTTCCATTTTGTGTATCTGTGTTCAAATTTTCTGTTCTTGTAAGCACACTAGCCATACTGGATGAGAGACCACCCTTATGACCTCATTTTAACTGAATTACTTTGTAAAGAACCTCTATGCAAATACAGTCACATTTTGAGGTACTAGGGGTTAAGTCATTGATATAAGATTTTTTGGAAAACACACTTTAGCACATAAAAGTCTACATAGTGTCTATATTGTTATATGGAATTTATAAAACATACAACATAATCTAAGTTAATCTTGAAACAATAAATTGGAGCCTAAAGTTTGAGGCTAGAAAAACTAAAATAATTTGCTTGAGTTTATACAGTCATTAAAAGCAGCTCAAGGAATTATACCAAAGTATAACTCCAATATCTATGAAATTGCATTTATTAATTGAAGTTAGTTATAACTATTTCTATATGTAGACAGATATATTAAAATTAAATGTAAAATAATTTTTCTGAGCTATAGGGTGAAGCAACAACTAGCTACAAGAACCTCAAAATCATTTGTGTTTTTTCTGGAAATTCTTTCTTGTCTGTTTTTTAACTATCTGGAACCTAGATCTTCAAACTGGAAACTGTGGAGTTACGATGCTTCTCCCTTATGCCACACCTCATTCAGAAACGTAACTCTAAAACATGGATAGACACCCTGAACAATGGGTGCTCATTTAATGTTTGTTGGTTGAGCTAATTGTTCATATAGTAGTCAGAGAAATGTGGTTATTACTTTTTTATGCTTTTTTGTTTCCTTAAGTTATGGGAGAGAGGGAGAAAAAGAGGCAGAATGCGAGAAAAAGGATGAAAAAGAGAAAGAAAAGAGAGGAACAATAATAGTGACTGACAGACAAAGTGTACAGAAATAGACCCAGAGAGTTTCAGAGAGAGTTTCAAAAGAGAACAAGAGAGGGGGAGGGGGAGAGAGGGAGAGGGGAGGGCAAGGGGTAGAGAAAGAGAGAAACAGTGATAGATATAAAGACAACACACAAAAAAGATAGACAGGAAGACACAAAGAATGAGAGAGAGAGAGAGGACAACCAACACTGATCAGACATGACTGGAAGTGCTAATGAAAAAGAAACCCAGTAAACTATCATATTTTTTAGACCATAAGATGCACCTAAGTTTTAGAGGAAGAAAACAGGAAAAACATTTTTGAAGCAAAAAATGTGGTAAAATATTTGATAACATAAACAGCATAATATTTCACCAATGTAAATGTAAGCAGAACTCAACAGCAGCATTAAAACCATTATTCCTCCCATATTTGGGGGGGAAAATGCATCTTATAGTCCGAAAAACATGGTAGATTTGAATTAACAGCAAAAATAAAACAATAGGGTGGTAGCAAATTAGACCAAGCTGAGAATTTAGGCAGGGGTGGGTTTTGGTAGTACCCTCAGGGCACTCTGGTCCCTCACCTCTCTTATCTTCTCCCTTCTGGTGTTTCCTCGTTTCCTGAGGGTGATCTGGAGGCCGTAGTTCAGTTCATTAGAGCCATAACCAGTGATTCAACAGTTTGAAATCAAGGGTAGGTCTCAACCACTCAGTGGGTATGGAGAAGAAAATGGGGTGCATGTTCCTGACAAAGAAATAGATGAAGAAAGCATCACCACGTGTAAAGTTGGGTTACATTTTCTTGTATCAGATATCAAACTTTGACTATCAGGGACTATGAAACCATTCTACTAAAATACCATCCATATATTGGGCATTTTCTAGTTTACATAGGCTTTGGCTTCTGGCCACAACTGTCTTTAGAAGTGTGTCCAACTCTGCATTGATTTCTAAACAACTTTTTAACACATGACATCAGGCTAAGTTGAAGGATAAATGCTTTAAGTTGATACTGCAGACTTTTTGTTTGGGATATTTCAGGCTTTATCAAAGATCTTATACAGACTGAGAGGAACAAGAAAAAGGTACCAACTGCACAGTCTGTTAAGGCAGGGCATTGGATATCATCATGGTTCAATGGAATATAAGCAAAGACAAGTTGTGGAGATGCTTTTCAGACTGAAGCACATCAAGGTTGGTGAACTTTGAGGATAACTTTCCTAAAAGCAGCACCCTCATTCCTTTGAGCAGGCCTCAGTAAGAGGGAGAAATGTACTCTGACATAATCCCTCCACTTGGAGGGATATTCTGCTAACATTTTAGTATATTCTGTTCTTTCAAATATATTTTATATAGTTAATATATAATGTATGTGCAATTAGGGATCCTGTCTGCCTTGCCTAATAGTATATAATTGTCCAGTATGAATTAGCATTACTTAATGAACAGTTTATGAGTGCACCATAATATACATATGTAAAATTCATTTAAACATTCTGCTAATGTTGAAATTTTTGTTTATAAACATGTCATTATTTTGGATTATTGATGAGATTAGCTGATTCTGCAAAGTGACATCATTATTTCAAAGAGCAAAAGTAATTTTCAAGCTCCAGAAATACATCACTAAATTTCTTTCCTGACTTAGTCCATTTACTTACCTCACCTTGACAAATTTTGAGTATTATGGTTAAAAAATGGAATTGTGAATTCAGTGCAGAGAGCATCGTATATGACATGCACCCAATTTTTCAGTTTAAAATTTTACATTAGTATAGTACAGGTGTTATAATTATCTAATGTTGATTTGTTTTTATTAACTAAAGTTTATTCTTTATTCATACTTCTTCAATTGTTCCTCTAATGTCCTTTTACTGTTCCAAGATCCCACCCAGGATGCACATTTTATTTATTTGTCAGACCTTTTTAGGCTCTCTCACCTGAGACAGTTTCTTAGATTTGCCTTGTTTTTGAAGATCTTGACAGTTGTGAGGATAATTGATCAGATATTTTTGTAGAATATTACTCAACTGGGATTTCACTGATGTTCTTCCTCATGGTCACATGGGGTCTATGTGTTGTTTGTAGGAAGACCTCAGGGGTAGCATGTCATTCTCATCATATTATATTAGTGTTATAGACTATGGACATGACATCACTGTTGATGTTAATCTTGAGCATCTGACCCAGATCCTATTTGTTAGACTTTTCCACTATAAAGTTACTTTTTATTGTCCTTTTCCTTACTGCCCTCCTTGAAAGGAAGTCACTATGCACAGCCCACACTTAAGGAGTAGGTAGTTCAGTTATAACTTTCCTCCTTATAGCTGGACTATCTACATAAATTATCTAGAATTATTTTGTATAACAGTTGCATCTCTTCTCCTTCATTCTTTTATGAACCCCAAATTTATTTATGTCAGTATGGGCACATGGATATTTATTTTATACTTTAGATGTAAGTCAATACTACTTATTTTCTTGTTCAAATTGTTCCAGCTTCAGCAATTGGGAGCCCTTTCACTTGCTTTCTCTAACCCTTTGGCATGCTTCCATCATTGTGGGTTGTTTGTTTTTGAGCACTTCCTTACTTTCTGGTGAAGTAAGATGCTCACTCGTCTTGCATATTTCTTGCCCCAGCCTTAGAATAAGTCATGTCTCCAAAGAGCCCTGATTTGCTTTGGACAGGCCTGAGAAACTTACAATAAAAAGAGTCAAAGGAGACGTGCCTGTCGAATGTCATATGGTTCTCTGGGGGGATCCTGAAAAAGGACATTAGGTCAAACTAAGGAAATCTGGGGAAAGTATGAGCTTCAGTTAATAATACTGTGTCAATATCTTTCATTAGTTGTCACAAATATACAGGACCAATTTAAGATATTAATAGTAGAGAAAACTGGGTGTAGAGCATAGGAATCCATTTTTTAAAAGATTTTATTTATTTATTTTTAGACAGGGGGAAGGGAGGGAGAAAGAGAGGGAGAGAAACATCAATGTGCAGTTGCCTCTTGCGCTCCCCACACCTGGGAACCTGACCCACAACCCAGGCATGTGCCCTGACTGGGAATCAAACCAGTGACCCTCTGCTTTGCAGTCAGGTGCTCAATCCACTGAGCCATACCAGCTAGGACAGGAACTCTTTATTATCTTTGCAAATTTCTGGAAATCTAAAAAAGTTCTAAAAATAAAGTTTATTTAGCAATATGTTCTATACATGTATTAAAGTATGTGTTCTGTGGGTCCTGGTTTCAGTGTTCTGTGAGACTTCCTTAATTTAAATCTGTATTATTGGGCCTTTTTTTTTTAATACCTTCTATCAATTATGAGAGTAGAATTGTGAGTTAGAAAGTGTTAAAATCTCTTATTGTTAATATAATTTTTTTATTTCTCTTTGTAGTTCTGTTAGTTTTACTTTACATGTTTTAATATGTACTATATTATATAAGAAAATGACATTAAAGATAAAACACATTAAAAGCACTCTGAGAAAACAGATTCACAGAGTAGTTGAGTGACATCAGACTTGTCAAAAGCAAAATGGAATCCAGAAATAAGTGAAATTTTATCTTAAAAATTTTAAAGAAAATAATTTCCAATTTAGATTTTATATACAGCAAAATTATTTTTCTAGAATGAGGGCAAAGTGGAGAATTTCAGACAAATAAGTACAGAGATGTTTGACCATTTTGCCTCATCAATTAAAAGAAAATTCTAAATTAGGCAGAATGGAAGTAATTTCAGAAAAATGAGAGTTATTTAAAAATATATAAAGAGTGATCATAGAAAAATGCAAATATAAATTAAAATTATTATCTGAATAAAAATATCCACTTGGAATTTTTTAAAAAGGGAAACTATGTTACAGTAGTGTATGTCTCAGAAGTGGAGGTTATTTGAGGAAATGTCTAGGGGAGGATAAAATTATTGATTAATTTTGGACCTTTAAAAGATAAGTACAGATTATGTAAATTTGTCAATACTCACTGAAAAAACAGAATTTGAGTGTTCAACTTCCAAACTACAGAGGAAAAGTAAATGACATTAAAACATCTGAATGAATTAAAAAGTAACCGAGAAAGCAGACAAAATGATTTAAAACACTGTGACTATGAGTATAAAATGATAGCCAGGTCATCAAATATGAAAATTATGTTAAATAAACTGATGCATATGAACTCAATGACTCAAATTAAGAGGAACATTTTTGAAGCTGATCAACAGAATATCTAACTAGGTGTTGACTATATGGGACATATTTAAAATATAAGAAGAAAAAAGAATTGAAAGGAAAAGAAATGTAAATAATAACCAAAAGAAAGCTGATGTGGTAATATTTATATTAAACAAATGCATGTTAAGATAAAATCATTACTAGAGGGACAGATGGTCCCACTATTAGAAAGGTATACTAATTTAACATTTTTACAATGTAAAAATATAAAAAGAAAAAATCGTAATGGAAACAAGAAAATATAGAGTAGATAGATAAGTAAAATACTATATAGCCAAACTTATGTAGTGGAGCTAAACTAGTAAAGAAAAATGTATATTTTGAAGAGAGAAAGTCGAAAAGAGAAGTAATAAAGAGTACAAGCAATCTGAAGTGGGGTTGGGATAAAATAGAGATGAGATATTCTTGGTGTTAGCTTCAGTTTTTATTAAGAAATGTGAGTTAAGCCCTGGCTGGAGTAGCTCAGTGGTTTGAGCTCGGGCTGCGAATCAGTGTCCCAGGTTCAATTCCCAGTCAGGGTACATGCCTGGGTTGCAGGCCATGACCCCCAGCAACCACACATTGATGTTTTTTTTTCTCTCTCTTTCTCCCTCCCTTCCCTCTCTAAAAAATAAATAAATAAAATCTTTAAAAAGAAAAGAAATATAAGCAGAAAACTTACTTTAAAAAAAGAAATGTGAGTTAAAATAGTATTTTTAAATTGAAATAGAAAAGGGAAATCCTAGGAAATACCCTTTATTCATATATTTTATCTCAATTGAAAATACCATTTTCTACTCAATACACCATCAAGTCACCTCCAAAAAATCAAAATGCCCCATCAGATCATTCAGCTTCAATTCATCACCTCCTAAAATGAGTTCATGCACTAACGAAAGCAATTTTATAAATATTAATTGTATCATGTTATGCCCCTTTCTCTTAAAATCTAAACTGCTTAGAGTGGTTTTCTTATGCTTGATGTGACCTGGTGCCTGCTCCCTCTCTTGGAATTTATCCCCTACTGTACTTTTAGAAATGTTTTTGTGTAAAATAATACTGCTTTTACAACCTAGCACTTTTATTTGTGCACAATAATTACAAATTTACTGAATGACTATGATTTCACATCATTTTACAATCTAAAAATGCTAGATAGTTATATTAAGGAAAACATAAAAATAAATGCAAATCTTTATGAGTTATTTATTCAAAAAATGTAGTTTGTATTTTTGGTGACATTGGCTTCCCATTTTACTGAAGAAAAATGACTTTAAGGGAGTCTAATCTAATCAATATTTAAAGACTATGCATACATTTATGTATTGTAGGTTAAATTTATTTTTTATTTTGTTTACTGTTTACCCTTAGGTAGTAACAGCTACCTCCTCCCTTGCTTTGGGAATTAACATGCCATGTAAATCTGTTGTTTTTATGGAAGATTCTGTTTATTTGGATGCCTTGAACTTTCGACAGGTATTTATACAATTTGCCTATATTTGTATACATAGGGATTGGGAATGTCTGTTCAGTAAGCCAAAAAAAGACCATGTTTATTTTGAAACTTTGGGGGATGAATTCACTTATTAGGTTGAATAGTTTTCATAGGTTTATTGGAATTATTTACTGATTTTAGAAACAGAGGAAGAGAGTGGGGGAAAGAGAGGGAGAAACATCAATGTGAGAGAGAAACATGGTAGGTTGCCTCCCCTATGCGTCTTAACTGGGAGCGAACCCACAGCCTAGGCATGGGTTCTAGAAAATGCTCCGACCAACTGACCTACCAGGCTATTAGGTCAGGACCTCATTGCTTGATTCTTGTATGTGCCCTGACCAGGACTTGAACCGGCCACTTTTTTGTGTACAGGACAACACTCCAACCAACAGAGCCACCCAGCCAGGACACCCCTACTTTAAAAGTCATGGTCTTAAAACATAGTCATTACTAAAATAGTCAAAACATAGTCATTGATAATATATTTTTAAAATAAAATAATATTTTAAACTTTGCTAAACTTGGTATACCAAGCAACAAAGAACTCTCAAGATTCTTGAAAGTTTAATTATTTCTTGTGGTATAGGTAAGTCAGACATTAACCATTTACAGAGTCAAGATTTGAAATAACTTAAAAGTGTTTTGTGATAATGTCCTTAGATGTCCGGTCGTGCAGGAAGACGTGGAGAAGATCTTACAGGACATGTGTTCTTCTATGACATTCCATTACCTAAGATAGAAAGGCTCTTAAAGTCGAATGTGCCCAAACTAAAGGGTCAGTTTCCTTTAAGCATTTCCTTGGTTCTCAGACTTATGCTCTTAGTTGCCAAAGCAGATGACAAAGAGGATGCCAAAGCAAAGGTACACTGTTTTATATTATTTAAATTACCTAACTAGATATAATCACGTAAGCTCAGTTTGATCATAAATTACATAAACTGAAGAGAAGAAAATAATAAAGAGAATAAAAACTCACTGTAACATTTGATTCTACTTTGTAGTTCCCTTATTCAACATAGAAACTTGCTTTTAATTTTACACATTTAAACATGTGGAAAATTAAGCCCATGCTTGTCCTATTATAATAACCTCTGGGTTCCATATATATCAGAAAAGAAACATTTTAATGTAATTATATGTGGTCCCAGAGATTTAAAAACAAATTTCAAAGAAATAACTAATGGTTGATAAACAAAAGATGCTGTAACATTCATAATTATTGGCTTTACATTTTTATACTTTTACTTCTCACCTGTGTAAAGGTGTAATTATTTATCTTTCCCTCAAGTTTTTCTTACTATTTTCAGTTACATATACATGCAATATAAAGCACTATGGAATGCCTAATTATAAGTATAATGATTATAATAATGATAAATCAATATTTAATGCCTAATATAAAAATATGTCATATGTTATATGTAGTACATAAATATATATAGCACTCTGTTCTATAATAGAAATGTTTAGTTGTCCTTTGGATATCACATTTGGAAGATACACTATAAAATTTACTTAATATCTAACTTGATAATATTTTGATATATATTTATAGGCATTATCAGTTCTCCAACATTCACTGATGTCCTTCAAGCAGCCAAAGATCAAGCACATATTAAAGTTTTACTTTATGTATTCTTTGCAATTCTTGGTCAGAGAGGTAAGATTTAAATCTATTTCCACTAAATTAAGATGATAGTGCACATGTTTAACTCCACTGTACTAAATTGTCCTTTATGAACAACTTATTTGTTTGATATTTCTGAGATCTAGAGACTGAGGTTAACATGTTAAATTTAATTTATAGGAATATTTGAATCAAGAATGTATTCCCATTGGATATTCTGGACTTGTGTCTCATTTGCACTACCACAAACCTTCCAACTTTGTTTTAGTAAGCTTGCTGAAGAAAGGTGTATTTCATAAATTGTGTATTCCAATCAGTACAAATGGTAAGCAAATATTCCTTGACCAAACTTTTTTACTCATTGAATTGTGTACACAAACACAAACACAGACCATGCGTGTTCACATATATCCATGTATTCCCCATAATGCATCCACTTTGGATGGTGTGGTTTTCAAACTGCATTCATCTTAATATATTTTAAACATTTTTCTTATTTTATATTATTAAATATGTTTATCAAAATATTATTAACATATGTATGATATATTTATAAAGTACTGCAAATATTCTAATTACCATTTAATATACTTTAAATTAAAAATAAATCCTTAGAATAATAAATATTATTATTCTAGAATCATAAGACATTTTAATATGGGTACATATGTCAGTTGAAATAGATTGCAATAATAGGTGTAAAATCACTAATTTGTCCTTTTTGTATCTGGTCATTGATATGAAAAACAGGCCTTTTTGTGATCTCCTCACATTTAGGTCCTAATCATTAGCTTTATCATAGTAAAACATAAAGATAACAGTTCCAAGTCAAATATAAACTGTAGAAATATATTGACATCACAATACTGTCCTCTTAAATGATGCTCCTTTTTTTAAAATCATAAATTACTTTTCTCTTTTCCATAACTTTAACATAATAAAATTTAACTTTCTGTAGAGAGAGATAAAATGATATGATCCAAATTCAAATGAACTTAAATATATACTGTAATTAATGCCCCATTGTGCATTTTATTTTTAGTAAATTACCAACTTTTTAAAATAACATTAAAAATAATGAAACTTGTATAGTATTACCTTAGAACTAAACATAAAGCCTTTAATCCCTTATTAATCTATATTTTTTCATGAAAGATCATAGAAAGTAGTATCACTAAATTTTACTTATTTTATAAATTGGTGAGTAATGTATCATGATGTTAAAGGCATTAAAAAATAATGTGAAAAAAATTTGCCCAAACGCTACTAGTATAAACACGTAAAGTTGAAGTGTTTTTTGTTTGTTTCCTTGAATTCTGGAAGCTTCCCTCTTAACACTCTGCATTTCTCCACTAGTGTGAGTCAGCTGTGGCTTGTTTCCAAGCTCTCACATGAGTGGGTATCCATGTGGGCATAGCACTGTGTTAAATACTGTGACTGATTAAAACTCCGGAATCATAGGTTTTTCCTTGAGATTTAGTACCTAAAATACTGCAAGAAATACCAGGGACATGTCAATAGGAGTAGTTGTGAGATTATTTTTTGGACCGTAATGTGTGCCGTAGACAGAGTGGGTATGGGTTGACACGTGGCCTTGAATGGCAGATAAGCAATTTGGAAAGCTGCATAAGGGCCTTCATTCCTTAGTAGGTTTTGAAGAGAGGTGGAAAAAATGAATGAAACAAACCAGCAAAGAGAACATTTGAACCCCGTGATGGAATCCGGAGCCATTCCAGAGCTAAAGACTACATGGCAAAGTGGCAGTTCTTTTTTTTTTTTTTTTTTTCCTTTTGGTTCCTTCAGCTAAGAGTAGATCCAAGGATACCAGAGTCTGTGTCAGTAGGATGCCACCTAGTTTGCATTATCATAAAGTAATATCGTGATTTATTTAAAAATTCACTGAACATCTGGGAAGTGGTTTTAGAGAAAGAGGGGAAGGGAGAGAAAAAAAGAGGGAGAGCAACATCAATGAGATACATCTATAGTTGTCTCTCGTATGCCCCCAACCCGGGACCTGGCCCACAACCCAGGCATGTGCCCTGACTGGGAATTGAAACAGCAACCTTCAAGTTCAGAGGTCAGTGCTCGATCTACTGTCTGACAACAGCCAGGGCTTAAGTTTAGATATTAAGAACTGACTCAGCGTATTTCTTTCTTTTTTTTTAGTATGTTTCTAAAATGATGAATTTTGTTCTCTAAAGTTTGGGAAATTAAACCCTTTATTTTAAGCAGGCCAAAAGAGATTTTCTGAAGATGTGATGGAGACCTTAGTAGTGGTGTTAGCAAATCTTTTTGGAAGACAGTATCTTCCTCCCTGTGTGAACAAATTTGAAACGAAAATTCCTCGTTCAGTGGTAAGAAGAATTATATACCATAACCTTGCAATTTTACTTAAAATCTTTCCATTATAACATGCAATGCAGTCATATTTTCCCCAAAACAAAGTTTTGCTGTCATTTACTAGCGTTACTTCTTCATTGTGCCTCAATCAGTTCTTGGTTATATACCGTGACTTCTCAGATGAGGAGAAGGTCAAGAGCTTTTTAAAAATGGAAAACTTGCCCTGGCTGCTATGGTTCAGTTGCTTGAAGACTCAGTCATAAACCAAAAGGCTGTGGGTTCAATTCCCAGTCAGGGCACATGTCTAGGTTGAGGGTTCAGTCCCTGGTTGAGATGCATAACAAGAGATAGTCAGTCAATGCTTCTCTCCTGCAGTAATGGTTCTTTCCCTCCCTTCCCCTCTCTCTAAGATGAATAAGTATGTCTTCAGGTGAGGACTTAAAAAAAAAAACAGTGGAAAACTTTATCTCTATTAGAGATTTTTAGCAAGTGAGTAACATAGGAATTTTTATTGCATTGAAGATGATCACAATCATTACATTTAATGGTGAAATAATGGCCATAGTAACACTTAACCTTGAAATAAGAAGAAATGAATGCCTAATTTAACAGCCATTTGAAATTATGAGAATTTTACTCATGGCGAAATGACAAGAAATAAAAGTACCATATAATTATGGGAAAGGTAAGCATAGTGAATATGAAGTACTGTAAAGTGGTTTAAAGCCAGATAGATTCCTGGACTTCTTCCTAGCTCTGCTACTTGGCTCATAGGTGACATTAAGCAAATTTCTTTATCTAGGCCTGTTACTTATCTGTCAGCTGGAAATCATTATAGTACCTATTTCAAAAGATTGCTATAAGGATTAAATTAATTAATATATACAAAGTGCTTACAATAGTGCTTGGTACTTAGGAAGCATCCAATAAGTGTTAGCTCTTATTTTAGCAATTTTTATTTACAGAAGAAATGATTGACTACTGAAAAAGCCAAAAGGATCAACAGGAAAATGATAACAGTTAATGACAGTTTAGTAAGGTCTTCAAATACAAAAGAGATATAATGAAGATTTTAGTTCTTTCATATACTAAAGTTGTAAAAAAATGTAAAATAATCCTACCAATGGTAAAAAAAATAAATATTAACAAGATACTATAGTTCACTTATTAGGATGGCAAATATCACAATTCACAGTTATGTTGACAGAACTGTAAATAGATACGTCCTTCAAAATATTCTTTAATGTAGTGTTACATCTGTGAAATTATAATAATGTATAATCAAATTATATCATTACATACATGAATTACATAAAGATATGACTTTATTAGTTTTTTTAGGCAGTTATACCAAAGAACCACAAACTGCCTTAAACAACAGAAGTTTACTATCTCTGTTTTGGAGGCCAAAGTCTAGGCAGCGTTGGGTGCCTCTGAAGACTGAGAGAAAAACATGTTCCATGTCTCTCTCCTGGCTTCTGGGTGCTCTTTGGCATTCCTTGGCTTATAGATCCATCATCCCGATCTCTACCTTCATGTTCACAAGGCATTCTCTTTGTGTACATGTTTCTCTATCCAAATTTCCCCTTTTTATAAGAAAATTAATCACATTGAATTAGGGGTTCATCCTGTTCTAGTATGACCCTCATCTCAACTAGTTATATCTGCAATAACCCGATTTCCTAATAAGGTCACATTCTGAACCTTAGGATTTCAACCTGTTAATTTTTGAGGGACACAATTCAAAGCACAACATTTGATAATTATTTATCATTGAAAACTGGATGCCACCTATATATCCAACAAAAAGAATGGTTAGAAAAACTTTAACAAGCCTGTATGTGGCAATATTATGTAGCCACTAAAATTCATCTTTTTAAGTAATATTCCATGACATGGGCAAATACTCCAGGTACAATGATGAGCATAAACATAAGACAGAAAAGAAACTGAACACTACAACACAATTTGTATAAACAAGACTAGGAGGAAATATTATATACCCAAATCTTTAAAACATATATTCCTGGGTGGTAGGATTGCAAGTGATTTTAGTTTTTGTATTTATACTTTATAAAAAATAGAATTTATACTTAAAATATTTTTTCATCCTGACTTTTAAATATTTCATGACCATCTGCCTCACAGATTTTGTTAATCGTCTGCTTAAAAAAAATAGTTATAGTAATTTAATTCATTGTTCCTAGGTAATTCTAGATGATCTTCCCCAGGAATTTGCTGAAGTGGTAGAGGAACACAACAACATGATTCAAAAGAATTTTGGTTCCTTCCTCCTAACAATTTCTAAGTTGGCTGATATGAGAAAAGAATGCCAACTACCTCTCTCAGAAATTGGTAAGATTGTGAATGTACATAAACAGAATGTAAAGTTAATAAAAGAAAATGTAAATATTTTTGATCAAACTAAATTTTAAGTTTAATTTTACGCAGAATACACAGGAAACCAACATAATCCTTCAGATCTATGCTGTGGAAATTATATACTGAAAACATTATTTGGAATTAGCCAAGCCAACACAGATTTGATTTAACACTAAATATTTAAATATTTCTGTATTTTCTGGTGTCATTATAAGCTAACAGACCATGAAATGGTCTAAATTTATTCTAAAATATTTCCTTTCCTATTGATGCTATTTTTTAGTAGATATTGATGCTCTTAACTAGTTAAACTTTCAAATCTGAATAACTGTGAAAATACAAGAAAAGGAATATTGGCTCATTTATTAGTGCTCATTGGTGTGTTCTACTTCCTTGAATACTGTGGGGGCCATTAAAAAAGTTAAGTCTTTGCACATGTCTTCAAGGAAAAGATAGAATAAATGAAAAAGAATATAAAAATGTAAGAAAAAAAATCAAAAATGTGTGCCAGATAAAGCAGAGGGATTGGAAGTAGAGAATACACTCGGTGTTCCAAAATCGAAAGACAGAAGGATTGAGAGGTAGAAGGAAGGTGGTAGAACTCTGTTTTCCAGAAGAAGCAAAGAGAAAAAAAATGGAGCAGCAAGGGCTGATTTGGGTTATTCACACTTCTGGGTAAAGTATTATATTGGAATGTAGAAGGCTTATGAAGGACGAAAGAAAAAATGGTCAGTTTATTCAACCATGGAATGAGAAAATTAGCCAGTAATGCGTCAACTTCATGGGAAAGATGTAAGTGCGCCCAGGCAGTTTCCTACATTTGGGACTTGATGGTGTGAATACAATTATTTTTCTTTTCTGCTTTTTCTCTGAGATGTTTACTGTGTTAGGCAGAATAATGGCCTCTCCTCATGATGTCTAGATCCTAATCCTGGGAACCTGAGAATATGTTATGTAGTGAAAGGGGAGCTAAGATTGCAGATTGAATTAAATTTGCTAATCAGGTACCTTAAGATGGGGAGATTATGCTGGATTACCAGTATAAATGTGTGGCCCAATATAATCGTAAGACTGCTTTTCAGTAGAAGAGAGAAGCAGAAAAATCAGAGTTAGGAGGATGCGCTATTAGTAAGATTTTACAAATCATCACTGGCTTTCAAGATGGAAGGGGCCACAAGCCAAGGACTGTGTAGCAGCCTCTAGAAGCTGGAAAAAGCAAGGAAATAGATTCTCCACTAGAGCCTCCAGAGGTCAAACAAGCTCTCACTATACCTTGGTGTTAGTTTAGTGAGATCCATTTCAGACTTCTGATTTGTAGAACTGAAAATAATAAACATTAGTTGTGTTAAATCATGAATTTTGTGGCAATTTGCTACATCAGTATTAGGAAATTAATATAATTTCTAAGAAATGATATGTGAATAAATAATAGTGACAAATAGAGGCATAATTTTCCTAAGTTTTTTTTAAAAAGTTGAGGTAGAATTCATATAAAATATAATTATATAATTTCCAAGTATTGTATACTATTCAGTGGCATCTGGTGCAGTAAAATGTACAACCACCACCTCTCTAATTAAAACAAATAATGTCAGATAATTGTAACTGTTAAAAATTCAGGGTTACTTATTAATTAATCATAGTCATAAATTTAATTTGGGGGGCTTAAGGGTCAGACATTAAACCTTTGTATTTATCTCCTATACTTGGGATCAACTGAAAAATTTACAAGGGAGTAATATGAATAAAGCTGAATTAGACACATGGTTTCCATTTTCAGTCAAATGTGTTTTACAAAGCATAGCCCTGAGAGAAGATGCACTTTCCTGGCTCCCAAATGAAACAACAATGCTCTTCTTTTGTAATTCTCCCTGAGATACCATGCATAACAGAGATAATAGTAGAATATATCTTCTTAGTCATCAGGTAGATCTTAAGCAGAGATTGAAAGACAAATAGAAACAAAAGGACAGACAGAATGACTGACAGGCAGATGCAGAGAAGTGTGTATATGAAAGGCAGAGATTCATAAAGGAATTAGATACATAGAATGACATACAGAAACAGAGACAGAGACAGCGATTGAGAGAGAAATAAAGAAAAAGAAAGAGACAAACATGTGAACAGAAAGGCAGAAGAGCAGCAGACCTATAGAGAGAGATCAGTAAAGAGAGATAAAGAGAGTGAAATAGAAAATAGACAATAATACAAAGAAAGGTAAAAAAGAACAAACATGACAAAGAGGCAAAGAGAACAACAGAAGAGAGGCAGTGAGTCAAAGAGAAACAATGAGACACAGAAACAAGAGTGGTGTTGTCATAGAAGGAAGTCAGAGAGACGAAATAGAGGAAGGAAGGTGGAAGGGAAGATGATACATACATACATACATACATACATACATAGAGAGATAGAGAAAGAGAGAGAGAGAGAGGGAACCATTTGAGATGGACGTGACAATAGCTGCTTTTCCCACACTCACCACTCAGGCCTGAGGTGACATGGTTCATTTCCATAAGACCTAGAAATGTTCTATTACTTTTGCCTCCTGATGAATGAAGTAGGAATGACTTTCCCTTTGTTGGAATATTAATAATAGAGTTAGTGTAAGAAAGTGAGCATGATGTCAATTTTAACTGTATTATGCGAAATTGTGCAGTTTTTGTAGCTCCATAGGATCTTGAGAGGAACTGAATGATAATGAAATTCATTCTAAAGGATGGGTGGATGGTGCTCGTATTTGATCTGGGGTCCTCAGATCCACTAGTGTCCAATAAAGCTGTTTTATACTTTGTCAGTAGTGTGTATCTGATAAATTTCTGAGTGGATAGATATGGAGTTACCCAATTGTACCAACTGATAACTCCAAATAATAGAACCACTAGCAGATGCCAGAATGATTTTAGTTTATGAAGAAAGTCTTCTCAGTGATCATCTGGCATTATAGTCCTTAAGTATTTTTATAAAAAGAAAGTTTAATAATTTGCCCAGTAGTAATGGTATAAACAAATATGATTTGTTTTAAATCGTTTGTGTTTAATAGGAGAACAGTTTTCAATTATTTTCTTATTTGATTTTGTAATTGATTTGTTATCAGACTTTTCAGGTAAAGAATGTGAAGACTCTGAACTGGTCTCTCATTTAATGCCTGGAACCGAGAGCAGAACTGCTGTCTCCCCATTTGCTTGCCTGTCCAACATAACTGATCAGGATTTATTTCATATTGATGTGGTAAATGATGTATGTAAATTTTACTGTGAAATTTTCTTTTACCCTGTTTATCATTTAAGAGAAATAATTCTATGTGATTAGAATACTAGCTAAGTATCCAGTAAAACAAAGCCATTGTATTCTCATTCCAGAATAATAGTTTTGTTTTTTTTTTCGCTGAAGTGGAAAACAATTCTCTCTGTCTTTTTTTTTTTTACTGCATAAGTAGTTCTAAAAATAGACATTGAATTAAATAATGATAAGAATGTTGTCTCTCAGTTAATCATCATGTGGGAGTTACGTTGTCACGCTTGTGTGAGTCACTATAGCATAAGCCCTTGCCATTCCAGGTGGGCACCAGAGAACCACAACATCAGGATCACCTGCTAGAAATGAGGAATCTTGGGAGCTATCTCAGGACAATTGAGCTCAACATACACATCAACATGAAATAGACTGATAGATACAGAGAACAGACTGATGATTACCAGAAGGGACAGAGGTTGAGGGGCTGGGTGAAAAAGGTGAAGGGATTGAGAAGTACAGATTGGTAGTTTCAAAATGGTCATGGGGATGTAAAGTACACACAGGAAATACAGTCAATAATATTCCAATAACTATGTATGGTGTCAGGTGGATACAGGAAACGTTGGGGGGTACACTTTGTAAAGTATATGATTGCCTAACCACTATGCTGTACACCTGACACTAATACAAAATAATACAGAGTGTAAACTGTAATTGAAAAACAATAACAAAATTTTTAAAAAATGGAATAAAAGAACATCGGAGAAACCCTGCTATAAACCATTTGAGGACAGTTTTGTTTGTTTCACCTCTGTGATCTTTGCACGTAAAATGGGAGTGGAAACTCAGTAAGTACGTATCAAGCACTTCCTGACACAAGAGCCACTTCGTTCCCTGCCCTACAAGATTGGCAATAGTGAGACTACCAGTCTTACCTGGCCCCTGATAGCTTATCCATAGCATGTTGATGGAAATAAGTCCCAGTGACTGTGATTGGCCAAAATCAGGTACTTATATCCGCACCCCCAAAATAGATGTGAATGGGGAAAAAAAAGAACAAGCACTATTACTATTATGTGTAGCTGAAACCATATAAGTTTGTAAGCTTATACAAACATCTTTTCAGGAGAAATGATTTATTTCTAAGATTGAGTATATATCTGAGATTGTAAAAATGACTATGTCTCTTCAAACTCTGAATAAATTAGATATATCATTTTTGTGAGTTCAAAAATAGTTTTAATATTTTGAATAATGATGTTTTTTACTGATTTTATTTGGTCATTTATATTAAAGTTTGGAGGACCTTAATATACTTAATATTTGATGATACTTCATTAAAATATATTGGGTTATTGTTTTAGTTAGGTAGATGTCATGAGCTACAATAATCAAAGTTCATAATAGATTGAGGCACATCTCAAAAAATAATGCTAACAATCTGAAACCTCTCCATTCCTCAGGCTAAGTTACGAACAGTTGATGTGGATGTCACAAAAGTTCCATTCTTTTGCATGAATAAATATGATATGAGTGGAAGGAAGTCTCCATTGAATGGTTATGTAATGAATTTCTACAAAAACCGTTCCCTGTCGGCACTCACTCAGGATAACTGGTATGAATTTTTCTATTTTAACATTCTTTGTAGGGGTACGTGTGCTTGTGTAATTAATGTTTATTGTGCTGTGACATTATAACTATGAGGATGATTTTAAGATGTAAATTTTTAAGAAGAGTCATAAAGATGCATTTTACTTGGACTATTTTTAAATGTTATTTACTATTTTTATTTATTGAGGGGATGTTCACAAACATAAAGTTAACCATATGAAAGTGAACAATTTGGCAACATTTGGTACATTCATGATGTTATGCCACAACCACATCTACCTAGCTGCTGAACGTTTTCCTTTTCCTAAGGGTAAAATCTGTATCCATTAAACAGTAGCTCCCTTTCCTCCCTTCCCCCATCCTCTGCCAACGACCAGTCTGTTCTCTGTCTCTATGGACTTACCTCATCCGAACATTTAAAATAGATGAAATCATATGTGACCTTCTAGGTCTGACTTCTTGCATTGTAACATTTTAAAGTTGTAGCATTGTCAGTATTCAACTGCTTTTTATAGCTGAATAATATTTCTTTGTATGTATATATGCAGTGTGTTTATGTAGGTGATGAGCATTTGGGTTGCTCCCACTTTTGGTTATTGTGAACAGTACTGCTATGAACATGCATGGACCTGTATTTATTTGAGTACTAGTTTTCAATCCTTTTGGGTATACTTTTGTGCCGGGAGCCGACCAACAGCTGACCTTTGACACAGTTGGGTCGGGTGAGACACATCTGCACAGCAGAGGCGACTGTGGTCGGATCTCCTGTCTATCTCCTCCTGTATGCCTGTCCCTGCTAGCAATAGGTGGTGGGATTTTTAGATTCCTGTGTGTTATAACAAAAAATCTGCACAATGCCTCTGATTCTGTGCGAAATGACTTGTTGACCACAGAATAGAGACCCCTAGCAACCTTAATGTTGCCTGTTTCCCTCACCTGGGAAGTTAAGGACAAAATTAAACTATGGGCAGACCAACTGCCAGAACGCTGAAGGAAGCTGTTGCTAGGAATGTTTCTTAGGGAGTCACCACCTGAAAGCTTAAGATTTATTAGAGCCACTACCCCTCCCATACCCTGGACAGGAGTGTATAGAAACAAGGAGTTCTAGTTGAGACTAATAATCTCAATACATGGAAACAAACACAAAACATGCCCCCCCAAGGCGTATAAATCAAAAAATATAGGCAAAAAACTAGTTATCTGATTGAGATAAATTTAATTTTAATGGATAATAGTTGATTTCTATATACCTATAAATCACCCCTTGCACTCTTTTAATTTAGACCAATTCCTAGAATTTTAATAGATACCTAGCTATTAGTTGGCACCTGAAAGTTTGTGCCTGTATAGCTTCGTTGGCTAACTGATTAATGACCCTCTTGGTCAAAATAACCTTTGTTTAATATGGTTGATCTGTGGGACTTCCTGTACTTTTCAGTTATTTTTTTTGTGTAACATAATTGATCTGTAATACCTTCTGTGTTTTTAGAAATTATTTCTGTGGTAACCATTTCTGTTTTAATAATCACACTATGCATTGAATGTTGTATAACCTCCCCTATAAAAATAAAGATTGATTTTTCTTGGAGAGTCAGTCAGGCCCGAAAAGCCTGGCTGTCCTCCGGCACCCCACCAGGTGTCTCGATTCATTCATTTTGCTTTAGCCGTGCATCCTTCGGGGACCCTGAGACCCCGCCGAGGCTGGACCCCAGCACTTTTGGTAGTAGAATTGCTGGGTCATGTAATAACTCTATGTTGAAATTTTTGAGAAGCCATTGAAATATTTTCCACAGCAACCGAACCATTTTATGTTACGACTAGCAATGTACAAGTTTTCCTTTTTGTCCATAATCTCACCACATTTGCTATTTTGATTTTTTAAAATTATAGACATTGTAATGGGTGTGAAGTGATATATATCTCATTGTGGTTTTGATTTGCATTTCCATGTACACTGATGATGTTGAGCATCTTTTCATATCATGAAAAGATGTATATGTTCTTTGTAGAAATGTCTATTCAAGTGTTTTGTTCATTTATAATTGTGTTGTTTTTCTTTTAGTTCTTGAGTTGTAGTTGTTTATATATTTTGGTTAATAGGCCCTTATCAGATATATGATTTATAAACATTTTCTCCTTTTCTGTAAGTTATTTTTTCATTTCCTTGATAACACCATTTAATATGCAAAAGTCCAATCTATTTTTTCTTCTGTTGTTTATGCTTTTGGTGTCATATCGAAGAATCCATTCATAAATCCAAGCTCATGAAGATTTATCCCTATGTTTTCCTTTATGAGTGTTACAGTTTTGGCTCTTACATTTAGGTGGTTAATTCATTTGCAAATACATTTTCTTATATAGTATGTGTTAAGGTCCAATTTTATTCATTTGCTGGTGAGCATACAGTTGTCCCAGCACCATTTTTTGAATTCTTTTCCCTGCTGAATGGTCTTCACACCTGGTCAAAAGTCAATTGGCCATAGATACATGGGTTTGTTTCTGAACTCTCAGTTCTATTCTGATAGACTGCAGGTCAATCCATATGCTAGTACTGAACTATTTGATATTAAAGCTTTTGTATACAGAAGTGTGAGTCTTCAAATTTTTTTCTTTGTATTCAATATTGTTTTGGCTATTCAAGGTGTTTTACAATTCCACATGTATTTGAGGATTGTCTTTTCCACTTCTAAAATTAAGACTGTGGAAATTTTGCCCTGGCTGGTATGGCTCAGTGGACTGAGTGCTGGCCTGAGAGCCAAAGGGTCACTGGTTCAATTCCCAGTCAGGGCACATGCCTGGGTTGTGGGCAAGGTCCCCAGTAAGGGGTGTGTGAAAGGCAACCACACATTGATGTTTCTCTCCCTTCTCTTTCTCCTTCCCTTCCCCTCTCCTTAAAAATAAATAAATAAAATCTTTAAAAAAAAGACTGGAAATTTTGATAGGGGTTGCAATGAGTCTGTAGAACACTTTAGATAATATTGTCATATTAACAATAATAAGTCTTTCAATCCACAAACATAAGATGTCTTTCCATTTTTTTAGGTCCTTAATTTCTCTCAGCAGTGTTGTAATTTTCAGTGTATAAGTCTTTAACTTCCTTGATTAAATTTATTTCTGGGTATTTAAGTTTGGGATGCTATTATAATTGGATTTTTTCCCTTGGTATCTTTCTCAGAGAGTAACTTGCTTATTTATAGAAACATGACTGAGTTTTTAGTATTGATCTTCTATTCTAGAACATCACAAAATTTGCTTATTATGTCTAATAGTTATTTTGTAGATTCTTCAGGATTTGCTATGTATGGGATCATGTCCTTCATGAATAGAGAGAGTTTTACTTCTTTCCCAATTTGGATGCTTTTTTTCTTCTTCTTACCTAATTGCTGTGGCTAGTACTTGCAGTAAAATTCTGAATGGTAAGGGTAAAATCAGACATCCTTGTTTTGTTTCTGATTTTTGGAAAAAGCTTCAGTCTTTTATCATTGTTAACTGTGAGATCTTCCAAAAATGTCCTTTATACTATTGAGGAAGTTCCTTATATTTCTAGTTTTGCTGAGTGTTTTTATAATGAAAGAATTTTTTTTCAAGTGCTTATTCTCAATAGCTGAGGTGATCATGTGACTTTGATTCCTTTATTAATGTGGTATATTACATTAATTGATTTTTTTATTCTTATTAAATTGTATTATTTCTTTTTTTAAATTGTTGTTCTATTAAAGTGGTCCCAATTTTCCCCTGTTGCTGCCTCCTGCCCTACCCATCCCCCACCCCTGCTCCCACAGTCAATTTCCACCCTGTTGTCCATGTCCCTAGGTTATTTATACCTGTTCTTTGATTACATCCTTCCTCTTCTGTATTAGATCCTTCCTCTTCTTTCTCCCAATACTCCTCCCTCTGCCCCTCTGGTTGCTATCAGTCTGTTTCTTGTTTCCATGCCTCTGGTTCTATTTTGCTTGCTTGTTTGTTTTGCTCATTAGGTTCCACTTATAGGTGAGATCATACGGTATTTGTCTTTCATCACCTGGCTTATTTCACTTAACATAATACTCTCCAGTTCCATCCATGGTGTCACAAAAGGTAGGAGTTCATTCTTTCTTTCTGCTTTGTAGTATTCCATTGTGTAAGTGTACCATAGTTTTTTGATCAACTAGTTTACTGATGGGCACTTAGGCTATTTCCAGCACTTGTCTATTGTGAATTGTACTGCTGTGCACATTGTGGGGCATAGGTTCTTTTGAATTGGTGTTTCAGGGTGTTTAGGGTATAATCCCAGCTGTGGAATTGCTGGGTCAAAAGGCAGTTCCATTTTAAGATTTTGGGGGAAATTCCATACTGTTTTCCATAGTGGCTGTACCAGTCTGCAGTCCCACCAACAGTGCACTAGTTTCCCTTTTCTCCATATTCTTGACAGCACTTGTTGTTTGTTAATTTGTTTGTGATGGCCATTCTGACTGGTGGTGTGAGGTGGAAAGTGTGAGGTGGTATCTCATTGTGGTTTTAATTTGCATCTCCCTGATGGCTAGTGATGTTGAACATCCTTTCATATGTCTCTGAGCCCTCTGTATGTCCTCCTTGGAGACGTGTCTGTTCAGGTACTTTGCCCAATTTTTAGTTGGATTGTTTGTCTTCCTGATGTTTATTCATATGTGTTGTTTATATATTTTGGAGATCAAACTATTGTCCAGAGCATCATTGGCAAATATGTTTTCCCATATGGTTGGTTCCCTTTTCATACTGATGATATTTTATTTAGCCATGCTGAAGCTTTTTAATTTGATGTAGTCCCATATGTTTATTCTTTCCTTTATTTCCCTTGCTCTAGAGGATATATTAGCAAAAATATTGCTGTGTGGGATATGTGGAATTTTACTGCCTATATTCTCTAGGACTTTTGTGGTGGCACAGCTTATGGTTATGTCTTTTATCCATTTTTGAGTTTATTCTGGAATATGGTGTAAGTTCATGGTCAAGTTTCACTTTTTTTGAATGCACTTGTCCAGATATCCCAACACCATTTATTGAAGAGGCTATTTTTACTTCATTTTATGCTCCTGCCTCTTTTTGTCTAACATTAATTGACCATAGAGACATAGGTTTATTTCTGGGTTTTTATTCTGTTCCATTGATCTGTGTGTCTGTTCTTATGCCAGTGTCAGACAGAATGTTTTGATTATAGTGTCCTTATAATATAGTTTGATATCAGGAATTGTGATCCCTCCTACTTTGTTCTTCTTTCTGAAGATTGCTGAGGCTCTTAGGCCATTTTTGGTTCCGTATAAATTTTTGAAATATTTATTCTAAATCTGTGACGTATGTCATTGGTATTTTAATAAGGATTGCACTGAATCTATATATTGCTTTGGGTAGTATGGACATTAATGGATTTTCTTATGTTGAGTTTTTTGCATTCCTGGGATACATTTCACAAAGTCATAGTGTATAATCTTTTAAATATGCTGCTGCTTTCAGTTTGCTGTTATTTTGTTGAGAATCTTTGCATCTGTATTCATAAGGGATACTAGTTTATAGCTTTCTTGTATTGTTGTAGTTTGGTTTCAGTATGAGGGTAATGTAGGCTCATAAAATGAGTCAGGAAGGTTCGTGTTAATTCTCGAATTCACCAGTAAAGTTTTCTATATATTTTAAAACAGTTTTGGTAATTTGTATATTCCTAGTAATGTGTCCATTTAACATAGATTATCTCATTTTTGGTGTAGAGTCAGTTGTTTATAGTACTCTCACATAATTTATTTTTTCCTACAGCATAGGTAGTAATGTTGCCATGTTCATTGCTTTTATTTATTTGCATCTTTCTTTTTCTCCTTTGTCAGGCTCGCTAAAGGTTTATCAATTTTGTTGATCTTTTCTGAGATTCTACATTTGTTTCATTGATCCTCTTTATTATTTTTGTATTCTCTGTTTCATTTATTACCACACTGATCTTTTCCATTTCCTTTCCTCTGGTAACTGAAGTTTTGGATCACTCTTCTTTTCCTGGTTCCTTAAGGTGTAAAATTCAGTTGTTGATTTGAGATCTTTTATATTTTTTAATGTAGGTATTAATGTATAAATTTCTTTCTGAGCACGGTTTTCTTTGTATCCCATAAGTTTTGGCATGCTGTGCTTTTACTATCATTTGTTTCTCAGCATTTTCTAATTTTTCTGTGATTTCTCTTTTGATCCATGGTTTGTGTGGTGTTTAATTTCCATATATTTGTTATTTTTTCAATTTTCCTTCTTTTAATGGTTTGTAACATCATTTCATTGTGGTATGAAAGGATACTTTGTCTGACTTCAACATTTTTTTTTTTTAAAGATTTTATTTATTTATTTTTAGAGAGGGAAGGGAGGGAGATAGAGAGAGAGAGAGAGAGAGAGAGAGAGACATCAATGTGCGGTTGCTGGGGGTTCTGGCCTGCAACCCAGGCATGTACCCTGGCTGGGAATCGAACCTGGGACACTTTGGTTCCCAGCCCGCGCTCAATCCACTGAGCTACGCCAGCCAGGGCCAACATTTTTAAATATATTGAAACTTGTTTTGTCTAAAATATGGGCTCTTCTGGCAAATGCTTGATATGCATATGAGAAGAATGTACGTTGTTGAATGTAGTCATCTAACTATGTCTGTTAGGTCTAGTTGGCTTATTGTGTTAAGTCATTTATTTCTTATAAAGAAACACTTTAGAATAACTTATTGTGTTAAGTCATTTATTCCTTATTGCTCTTCTCTCTAGATATTCTATCCATTATTGCAAGTGGGGTATTAAAGTATTCTACTGTTACTTTAATCCTATCAGTTTCTCCCTTTAATCCTGTCAATGTTTGTTGCATATATTTGGGGGCTCTGTTGTTTGGGATCTATATGTTTATAATCATTTTGTCTTCTAGGTCAATCAACCTTTTCATCAATATATAATGTATTTCTTGCCTCATGTAACAGTGTTTGACCTGAAATCTATTTCCCTGGTATTAGTATAAGCCACCCCAGCTCTCTTTTGTTTATTATTTTCATAGAATATCTTTTTCATCCTTTCACTTTCCATATCTTTGTGTTTTTGGATACAAAGTAAGTTTCTCACTGACAGTATACGGTTAGATGATGTCTATATTTTATCAGTATGGCCAGCCTTTAACTTTTCATTGAATAATTTGATTTATTTACACTTAAAGTAATTACTGATGAGGAAGGACTTACTTTTTCTATTTTGGTATTTGTTTTTTATGTCTCATACTTATTTTTTTTTGTTGTTTCTCAGGGATAATTTCTGATAATTTTGGGTCAATGTGCACACTTTCCTATTTCTTTTCATGCTTCAAAATTTGTTTGGCCTGGCTGGCGTAGCTCAGTGGAATGAGCGTGGGCTGAGAACCAAAGTGTCGCAGGTTCGACTCCCACTCAGGGTACATGCCTGGGTTGCAGGCCATGACCCTCAGCAACCGCACATTGATGTTTCTCTCTCTCTCTCTCTATCTCCCTCCCTTCCCTCTCTAAAAAATAAATAAATAAAATCTTTAAAAAAAAATTCCAAATCTGTTTAAAAAAAATTTGTTTGGGAACTCTACATTTTGAATATTATAATGTAATTCTGGAATTTTCTTCCTTCTCAGTTTTTTTTTTTTTTTTGTTCTAGTAGTCCACCGTCTGTTGTTTTACTTAGTGATTTTCTAAACTATTTTTTAAGTCTGTATTCTTCATTAGGTGTGATCTCCAAAGTCTTTGTGTTTTAGTTTATAGTCAGTTAGTGTTTTGACAGAATTTTTTGAACACAAGATAAAAGAGAATATGGAAGGAAAGCAAAAAAAGTGTGTGTGTGAGAGAGAGAAAGAGAGAGGGGGAGAGAGAAGGAGAAGAAGGAGAAGGAGGAAGAGGACCAGGAGAAGAAAGAGGAGGAAGAGAGAAGATAAAGGAGGAGGAGGGGAAAAACAAAGAAAAAATTTCTCCCATTTTTTGCAGTTTGGTTCTGAGTTCGGATACTCCTATAAACACTTAGTCAATTTACAGTTCTGCCTTATCCTTCACTTCCTGCTTGTACTAATTTTGAAGACTAGCCAGAGGGTCTTCTCAGGTCTTTTCTAAGCATGTGTCCTGCCCTAGGCATGAGCATGGCTTTCTACAATAAATTCCCCAATATATTGGTTTCTCTTTGCCAGATTTTTCTCACAGGTTTTCATTACTCAATTGCATTGACTCAATTGTAATCTTTTGCCCTGGGTAGTCAGCTGCAGTGGGCAAAAGGTTATCCTTTGCATTTGCCTTTTTCCTTCCTGAGTGAGATTTGAGCTAGGCAAAACAAAGATAAGCTCCTCACCTCGATCCTTTAGACAGCTACCACACAGGTAAAACAAGACAGATAAATGCATTCCTTGTTAGAAAGGTCAGCTCTGCTCCCTCTGGGACCAGGGATCAGGGCCACAGTGGGAACACAGTATCCCCGAACAGCAAGTGGGGTCCCACTGCCCACCTCCACCCTCCAAGCAAAATTCTGGAGGCAGCAGTTTTGGGAAAAAGGAAAGGAATCTTTACCCAAAAGCTACACAATTTTGAATAACAGCTTTCAACATGCATTGATCACTTGAGCCTATCAATTAAGGCTAAAATCTTGAACTCTTAAACTCCCCTGTCATCCCCTCTGTTAACTTTTAATTATCTTATTTCTGTAAGATTAGCTTACAAACTAAAACAACATAAGATACAAGAGCTACACAATTTTGGAGGAATGGCAGGCTTCTGCCTCAGAATCTGCACCCCCTACAGTACACAAAGAGGACTAACCCTGCCACCTTCTGCCAGGCCAGCCCAATTGTAGGCTGTGCCCAGAGTTCCTTCTGCCATTTAAAAATACTGCCCTTTGAGAAACACAGGCAGCTGTAGCACAATCATCCAGGTGGCTCCCGAGGAAGAGAAAGAAACTCTCTGCCCTCCTTCTGTTTAAATCTTTTGGTCCACAATTCCATGTGCTCTAGAGGCATGCAGCTTCTCAGCTAATCCTGTCCTAGAATGGCAAATCTGCACCTCCCCATGCTGAGTCTCCACCCAAAGGTAGGGAGATCTGTCTTGCTCTTAGCTAGCTTGTTTACTGTTGCCTAGGGCAACCTCCTCCTAGGGCCCCTCCCTCACTCCTCCTAGCACCACAATATCAACAGGATGCTGTCTTTAAGATTATCCCTAAACTGGCAGGAGGGTGGGGACAGGGCAAATAAGACGTCACAAAGCTTTTCTCTCTTCTAAACATTTTTGCTGTTTGAATCTAACCTTTGACTATTTTCCAGAGTTCTGACAAAGTTGATTCTGACAGTTTTTGCTAATATACATATTTTTTATGTTTCTGTGGAAGGATTTGTCCTTGGAGCTGCCTATGCTGCATTTTCAGTGACATTGCTTATTTTCAGCACTGTTTTTAACATATGTGACCTACTTCAATTTGGTAATAATAATGTACTACTACATGAGAGAACTAGTCATAATTTTTTTTTGATAAATGATCAATCTCTTTACTAGTTTAGTCAATTTAGGACTAAAAGGATCATAATAAAATACTGGCTGCAAAGGACACATACACTTTCCTGCAGTCTCTCCGTATCTGTTTTTATTTTGTTTGTGGAAAAGTCAGCAATTAGGTGGTAATTTACTTCATTACTATAGATTAATAACACACCAAAACCAAATTTTATTCATTTAAATGTTACTTTGTCTTTTTTCCTGTAGGTTAAATATGGGAGATGCTTATCATTTACTCAAGGATTTTGCACTTACTGTTCGATCTATCAGGTATAGTAAACAATTTCACGTTTAAAGATCATATAACCAGCTAAACATCATAAAGTACAGATAGCAATGATAATGATTGAAACACTTAATCTTTTACAGGATTTCACTGAGTGAATTTTGTGATGATGAAGATGACAATGTTGTGTTAGCATTTAAACAACTGAGTAAAGCATTCAATCAAATCGTAGGAAAAAAAGACTGAATGTTAAACTTTACCCAAGTACTGTGCTCCTGGAAAACAGATGGTCAAGAAATTTTCTTGCTCCTCCATGTTTCAGGAAATGGTTTACTGCAAAGAACCGCCCTTTCTGACATGATTTAGATTAGACTTTCAAATGACCCCCTTGTTTACCTGTGACAATCCTCAACATAACCCTCCAAATTCCCATTCTTTGTCTCATTAAATGATTAGCTGAACTGTTTTCTCCTGCTGACAAAATACCTGCTTACTTGACCCAACCAACTTTAGTCTGCCCTTTGGGGAAGGCTTCTTCCCTCCCCAAGGCCCTGTACCTTAATCTGCCCTTAGGCCTCTCCTGAAATGGCCTGGAGGCATTCTCAGATCACGTTCCGTGATCAACTATCTCAGATCACGTTCCGTGATCAACTATCTCAGATCAACTATGCCAAGGAAGGTCATCAAAGACATTCCCAGATCAATTGTCCAGTCACACCACACATCACGCCATTCCCTCATACCTGATTCTTTCTAGCCCTTATTGCTAGAAATTAAAATTCTTTTTTGGCTGACCTTAGAGACTGCTAAAGGTCTCAGAGGGAGAATGTGTTTTCTTATTTCATTGGTCCTTTACTTGTTGCAATAGGCCATTTCGCTTATTGCAATAGTTTTTTCAAATAAAGTCTCTCATTGTTTAAGTTTGGATTTGTGTTTGGTTTGATTTTCATTCTGCACCAATGAAATAAAATGCATTACCTAGCTAAAGTATAGATTTCACAATGTATTGACCAACTTCTCAAAAGATGTCCTAGTCTTCCCTGACCAGGGTGGCTCAGTTTGTTGGGCATGGTCCTGTTGGGAACCGCCCTGACTGGTATCAGAGGCTGAAACCCCCGCCTAGGCTAAAGCTAAGGGAACGCCCTTGGAACCGTGAGCCAGCAAGGAGACAAAAGCTTATCTCCCTGGCAGGAATGCTGCTTCTGCTGCTTTATTCATAACTGAACCCCAAAAAGCTTGGTCGGTTAGCCAAAGACGGGTAAGATTCCCCCACGGGGGAACGACCTAAGCCAGGCACGATCACTTTGGGAGGCCCCCTAAAAGAAGGACTTGGGGGGCTGCAGCAAAAGGGGGTGATGGACCCTCACTCCTCAACTTTGACAAAGTCTGAGTTCTCAGCGTCTGGAAGAAAATCTCCTTATCTCTCGGTTGCCTTAGTTCCCTTGCTCCACCTAAGCCTGAAACAATGACAGGGTGGTACAGCTCGGTACTGAGAAGTGCGGATTTCCCGGGGTGATCAGGCCTAAGAAAGAACATGTAAATTACTGTGAAACCTTCTTTGTTTAGAATGCTCTCAGTTGAATGAGAAGGGTCTTAGGAGGAAGTTAGTTTGTTCCTCAGTCTTACAGCTCTTTGATCCCCAACTCAATAGACTGGCAGAGTTCTTTGTTTTCTATAGTTCCTTACTTCCCCTAATGAGTACTGTACTTTACCTGAATTATTATGCAGCATGAGCCCAATAAAAGCAGGTATGGACGGTAAATCGGCGCGCTCCCCACTAGGGGGGGTGGCCATTCCGTCCCTACTTCCCCACAGAAACTAGTCTGTCTCTGTGCATGTGTCGTTTTTTCTCGCGTGTTTATCGTCGAGCCATCCACAGCATTCCGTGGTCACTGCTGGCCGGTGACCCACGCGCAACATGGTCCTACAAAGCAAATGATCACCAGTCACATTCCTAGTCAGGATGTTACAGGGTGCAGCCAAGAGGGGGGACCCCAAATGGGCATTTGAAATGGGGTCCAGAACTGAAGGCATCCAGGAGATTTTAAGACGTCTCCACCCCTCCCCCCACAGGTGTGAGTTGGGGGAAGGGGCACACAGAGCAAGAACACGCAGGGCAGCTTTGCAGCTAATCCATGGCATGGTCATTTAGCATACCTATAGCCTTTGGCTGGTCACTTAGATATGCTAAATAGCTATGGCCATGCTCGAGGCCAGGGGGATGGAAAGGGACCTCCCCCCCAAGATGGGACTGGGGGGCAGGTCCCCCGAGTTACAGCGCCTGCGTGGGAGCTTGGAGAAGATTGGCTCCATGACATGGGGTCACACCTGCCCAGACCCACGATGGCGGCCAGAAAAGCTGGAAAAGATAGCAGATTGAGGGCAAGTGTGCCCAAGTGTAGGAGGAGTCGGAAATGGGGCTGCAGAGGAAGATTGGCGTGGACATTTAAACCCAGACATGGCAGCCATTGAAGAGAGAAGAGAAACACGCGGTTTTGGCTGACTGGGGACTCCTGCGGCCCTGGGAGAGAGGACGATGTGTCTTTGCCAGAGTGGGGACCCCCGCAGCTTTAGGAGGGGGAACCCCCACCCGGTTTTAGCAGAGATCCCGGCAACACAGCTGAGGGTGCCGGGAACCCAGGGAGGTTTCCCAGTCAAGACAGAGTACTGGCAATAACCAGAGGACTGCCTGAGCCACAGACTTCTATTTCCTGTCCTGAGATATGGTACCCTAGACTGGGCAAAGGGGGAAGGAAGGACTGTGTCTATTTGTGGGTGTTTTAAGGGACGTTAGGATTTTTGATGAAGACATTAGGTCACTACTTTAAGTTTGTATAGCATTAAATAAACATTTCCTTTTCATGAATCTCTGGCATTGAGAGACATCTTTCCTATAGACGGTGGACGTAACGGACCTGGGGGCTTCTTTCAGTAATAGTATATCGTCCCAGGTCTCCCCTTGTTTGTTCTGTAACAAGGGCATGTGTCTAAGTTTTGGGTTTGGTGCCTGGTTGGGCATATCGGAGAGGCAACCGATCAACTGATCGATGTTTTTCTGTCCCATTGCTATTTTTCTGTTTCTTTCTCCATCCCTTCCCCAGTCTCTGGAAAAAAAATATTTTTTTTAAAAAAAGATGTCTTAGTGAGAAAGTTTTTATTTAGATATCTAAAATCTCATCAAGAATTCTAACAATATTTTTCTTCCAAGAATTTTAGCATGTAAAGCAGCTATGCCAAGTGTCTCTAACAATTCCTCTGTTCAGCTTGAAATGTGATAATTTTTTTAAAGATAGAAACCAAACCCAGTGTATCATATTTATTTAGTTTTAATTTTATTGCATTTATTGGAGTGACATTAGTTAATAAAATTATATAAATTTCAAGGGTTAACCCTTGGGGGGGGCCTGCACCCCCTCCCTACAAGAAGGCAGGAGCCCCTCTATGACATTGCAGGTATACAGTTGCTTCATCTGTATATTGTTCTGTGTGTTGACCAAATGTCCTTCTGTCACCCCTCTTTTACTTCCCTCCACCCCGCTTCACCTCTGGTAACTACCATACTGTTGGCTGAGTCTGTAGGTTTTATTTATTTATTTGTTTTTCTTAACCTTTTCTCCTTTATCACCCAGCTCTCCAAGCCCCTCCCCTCTAACAGCTGTCAGTCTGTTTTCTGTATCTATGAGTCAGTTTCTATTTTGTTGTTGTTGTTGTTTATTTTGTTCATTAGATTCTACATATAAGTTAAATCATATGGCATTTGTTTTTCTCTGACTGGCTTATTTTACTTAGCATGATAATCTCCATGTCCATTCATGCTGTTGCAAAAGGTGAGAGTTCCTTTTTTAATAAAAAATGGCCAAGTAGTATTGATTGTGTAAATGTACCACAGCTTTTTAATTCACTGATCTGCTGATGGGCACTTGGGCTGCTTCCAAATTTTGGATATTGTAAATAATGCTGCAGTGAACGTAGGGGTGCATGTATTCTTTCAAATCAGTATTGCAGGTTGCTTCAGATACATTCCCAGAAGTGGAATTTCTAGGTCATAAGGCAGTTCTACTTTTAATTTTTTGAGGAAACTCCATACTGCTCTCCACAGTGGCTGCACCAATCTGCATTCCAACCAAGAATGCATGAGGGTTTCCATATCCTTGCCAATACTGGTTGTTTGTTGAAGGTAGCTATTCTGACAGGTGTGAGGTGATATCTCATTGTGTGTTTTTTTTAATCCTCACCCAAGGACGTGCTTATTGATTTAGAGAGAGGGGAAGGGAGGGAGAGAAAGAGGGAGAGAAACACAGATGTGTAAGAGAAACATCAATCGGTTGCCTTTTTGAACTGAACCTGAAACCAGACATGTGCCCGGACTAGGAATTGAACCCATGACCCTTTGGTTTACAGGAAAAAGCTCCAACCAGCTAGGGGTCATTGTGGTTTTAATTTGCATTTTTATGGTGACCAGTGACACGGAGCATCTTTTCATATGTCCATTGGACCCCTGTATGTCCTCTTTGCAGAAGTGTCTGTTCAGGTCCTTTGCCTATTTTTTAATTGGATTGTTTATTTTTGTGGTATTGAATTTTGTAAGTTCTTTATAAATTTTGGATATTAATCCTTGTTGGATGTATCATTGGTGAATATGTTCTCCCATTTAGTGGGCTGTTTCTCATTTTGATGACGGCTTCCTTTACTGTGCGGTACATTTCTAGTTTGATGTGGTCCCATCTGTTTATTTTTCCTTCATTTCCCTTGTCCAAGAAGACATATCAAAAAAATATTGCTACCAGAAATGTCTAAGATTTTATTGTCTGTATATTTTTCTAGGACTTTTATGGTTTTGAGTCTTATATTGAAATCTTTGACCCATTTTGAGTTTATTCTGTGTACGGTGTAAGAAGGTGGTTGGTCTAATTTCACTTTTCTGTACATATTTGTCCAATTTTCTCAACACCATTTCTTGAATAGGCTATCTTTCACCCTGTTGTGTGTTCTTGCCTTCTTTGTTGAGTATTAATTGACCATAAAGGCATGGGTTTATTTCTGGGCTTTCTACTCTGATCCATTTTTCTATATGCTTTTATGCCAGTACCAGGCTGTCTTAATGACTATGACTTTGTAGTATAATTTGATATCAGGTAGGGTGATTCTTCCAACTTTGTACATATGTCTCCATTTTCTTTGTGCAACTTCATTAAGCACTGTTTCCTGTGATCTTGGTTTTTGTGTTTCCCCTTGCTTATGTTGGAGCCCTTTGTTGCGGGCTCATCCATCCATATTTCTGCTTTTGTTCTAGGGTAGATTGTGGCATTAAGCTCGAGTCTCTCCAAAATCTGACCTCAGTGAGTTGCTGTTTTTCTTCTTGCGGCTTCTAATATATTTAATGTTGAGACACATAAAGGGATCAGGCTCTACTGATGGCACAAATCATATAATAATTTTCAAAAGACTTGGATGCTGATATTAAGAAGTAAAAACCGCTTGTCCTGGACAGTGTGGCTTAGTTGGTTGGAACCTTGTCCCACAGACCAAATGGTTGTGAGCTAAATTACTGGTCAGGGCACATACCCAGGTTGCAGGTTTGATCCCCTGTTGGGGCACAGAGGAGAAGGCAGCCTATCAATGTTTCCTCTCACATCTCTCTCCTTGTTCCTCTCCCTCTCTTTCTCTTTTTCTCTCTCTCTTCCCGCCCCCCCTTCTTCCCTCCTTTCCTCTTTTCCTCCAAAAACCAATGAAAAAATGTCCTCGGGTAAGGATTAAAAAAAAAGAAGTGAAAACAAAAGTGATGGGTAAGTAGTTGTTTAGGCACCAACATTAAAAAATATCAGCTAGACATAAATTGCCTTTACCAGACTGGCTGTCAAACACACACACACAAACCCCTATTTTACATCTAGTGTCTTTCACAGCTAAGTCTGATAAGCATGTACTTGACTGCATTTTGCTGTATTATACCTTTATTTTCTTTTAAAGGTGGCTTTACATGTTCATTTTAGCTATCTGGCATTTGTGCAGGAGTTTTGAGTGTTCTAAGAGACCTGGCCACACACTGTGCTTTTGTTTGTTTCCCAAGCATGCTAAGGACAGCCACAAGCAAAGTCTTGGTTGTAGGGAGTTGATATTTCACATGTAAATAAAATCTAATTCACTGCAGTAATTTTTTTATTATGCCATTATACACAATTTAATAAATCATTGATGTAGATAATAAGTAAAAATTCAATCTCACGTAAATTTATCAATATTTTCTTTGGCTCAGAATAATTTTAAAGACAGAGAGGAAATATGATTTTATAGTTTGTTATAATGCTGCTAACAATGCAAACTCATGCCAGAAGTCTCTATGAGACAGGCCTGCAAGGTGGGCGCACAGGCGTCAAAGCCTCCCTTGCTTTAGTAGTCTTCCGCGTCTCCGGCGCAGATGGCGAGCAGAGCTCTCTCATAGTGCCCCGAGGCAAAGTTCTGGAAAAAATGTATTCAAAATACAGTGTCACAATATTTCTGAAAAACACTATAATTCCTCTGAACTACAGTATGAAACATCCATGTGCCATTAGCTTTTCCAAAATTATTTACTTTTTTCATCTAAAGGTTTAATATGTCCTGAGAATTATTCCCGGTGGAAGTTGTAAAATAATATCATGGTCAATAGAAAGGGGTTCACATAAAATTAATTGAACCCTAGTGTGTATTTGTAAAAAGAATAGCTTGAAGTAGAATTAACTCTTCTTCTTAAGTGTAGAAAAGGGTGTCCTAATATTATTGCTATAAATCCTTACAGTGTCTGAAGGGCAAATTGACAATATGCTTTAACGTGACTTCTAAATTTTTGCATTCATTAATGCAGTAATTCTACTTCAAGAAATATATCCTAAGGAAGTAATGATCAATTATTGATGAGCATGAAGATTTATGCTAAAAAATGTACACCATAATATTATGTATTATAGTAAAAAGTTAAAAAGCAATATATAATAAAGAAGAATAATTTATATACTTTATAATTTATATAATAAACTTTTAAGTAGTAAAACATATTAATATTTATATATATTTTTAAAAAGACAAAAAGCACCTAAAACAAATTTTATTACTGGTTATCTTTAGTAGAAAACTAGGGTAATTTTTATCTTCCTTTCTATAACCTTCTATAGTTTTTAAGTTTTTCAAAACAATGATAGTATTAAATAAATGGAACTCTAAAACTTGTCTTTGTTATGAATCAGCCATCATATTAACCTTCTCTTATACAATGTCATGTAATTATAATTTACTGCTTTAAATCCATGTAGTAAAGTTGATTAATATGTAAATATCAGTAGATTTTAAGGTGGCTGTGATTATTTGCAGTAAATGTATTAGAATTATTTTATTTATTTAGAAAATGAGTATGACATGTATTTCACAATAAAAAATGGTTTATCATCACTAGAAGTTTAGGATTTTGAAGGTGATGTAAGGAGAGTTTTTATCAAAGACACAGAATAGGATTTCTCTTAACTGGTCCATCAACTCTTCCTCTTAAAAACCACTTTGGCTATCTGAGGGTCTACAAGATCTTCTGTTATTTTGTGGTCTCTGGGTTTGGGTTGTCAAGTTGAATCTGGATCACTCTTTCATTTAAGAAGCTGTTCATGCAATTGAAAATTTTAGTGGAAAACAATGTAAACAAGGTAGGTATGTGTGAAATAAAATTTAAAATATATTCAAGGCTCTGTTTTTGGTTTAATGTTCTGCTGGTACCATCTTGAAATTCTCTTTTTTTTAATTTTTTAAAAAGATTTTATTTATTTATTTTTATAGAGGGAAGGGAGGGAGATACAGAGAGAGAGAGAAAGAGAAACATCAATGTGCGGTTGCTGGGGGCCATGGTTGCTGCAACCCACGCATGGGAATCGAACCTGGGACACTTTGGTTCACAGCCTGCGCTCAATCCACTGAGGTATGCCAGCCAGGGCCCCCATCTTGAAATTCTTTATAATTTTTTTGTAAAAAGGATCAAACATTTTCATTTTCTACTGGGTGCCAAAAACTACATAGGTGGTTCTATGCATTCTGATAAGTCTTTCCTAGGTGTTATCAAAATCCAGTGTAAAGTTTAGACATATCAGAATGTAAAACTGGCTTATTACTTCTGAATTATTGCTTCTTTGCCCTTCAAGTGCTAAAGGGATATGCATGTATAGAATTTTACATAACTCCCAGCGTTAAATGCCTCCAGATTACCGTGTACAGAATTTGACTGGTGGCCCTGCCTTCTGTGACAATATAGGAGGACCCCTGAACTGATCTAAGGAGCCTCTTCACAATTTAGGTGGTCTTGTGGCAGAATGCAGTTTGTCGATGCTGATCATACTTCAGAATTTAGCTCATAAAACACAATTACACAATTAGGGAATGAATGTTTTACAGGACTATGTCAATGGTTTTTGCTTAAAACACAGGGAAGAGGAATAGGACCTGTCACTGACGGGAAGGGATTTCCTCAGCCCTGCTGATGCACTGAAGGGCCGTCCCATGGACTGAAGTCAACCATCCCTGTCAATCTATTTAACTTTCTAGATTCTGACATGAAGTTATTTAAATTTAAGCTCTTATTTCAGTTTCCAAAATGGACAAATTATGGGTCAAAATAAACTAGGTATGGGAGACTTACTTTGATGTCATGAAATAGGGATTTTCCATATCTTTCTTTGTATCGTTTCCTTATGGTCATCAAGTCTATTTCACTTCTGGCAATTACAGTCCTGATCACAGTTTTATTGTGGAAACCAAAGTCCTAAAAGATACAGGCAGAAGAAGAAAAAAGTGAGAAGATAGTAAGTATCTTACAGTTAACCAGTCTAAAAGAGGCACATCCTCTTTTTCTGGAGCAATGTGCTCTTCTTCCTGTACCCCTCCAGTACTGGCACCTGCATCAAGGAATTGCCCCAGCCCGACTCTGAGAGTGACCTCTCCCTCCCCCTCTCTTACTGTGTACACAGACAATGAAGAATTCGACCTATTTTACTTCTTAATCTCTTACTTCCAGTGCCACTGTCCTAATGCTGGCCCTTATCCTTTCACCCTGACTCTGCAATTTCCAGCCTTGCCAGCCTTCACACACTGCACTGTAAAAATGCGCATCTTCTCACGTTCTCGTTCTAGGGAGAAACTCTTCTTGGCTGCGTGAGGGGTGGGGAATCTGGGGCCAGGTGGGAGGAGATTCCGAACTCTGTTAGATGAGTGTTCCTATGTCTAACACAACAATTACATTTTTATTTTATAGTCTGTTCATTACTGAAAATTATAGATATAAAAATTCCAGGCACTTGACACATTTACTGATTTAAACTCAAATACTAAAAATACAAAAAAAAAAACAATGTTTGTGTAGTAGCCTCAGAAAAGATACTGTTTTACAAAGAAATTTTAAGCTGTCTTCAACTGGGGCAATGGTGACATCCAGTGGCTAGTAAGCATAAACTAAGATTTGATGTCTGAATGTTTTAGATAGAACCACTAACAACCATTTCCTAATCTGAGGTGACTAAAGTGAATGATCTAACCAGATTGTCATATCGAACACATATATCATTCATTTAAAGTCCACTGGAGAAAAACACAGAAGTTTTTTTTTTTTGGTTGTGGGTGGTGAAAACAGCTTTTGACCAATATTTTACATTTAAGGGCCTCATATATCAAAAATGTGATCACTTGAATAGACATCCCCCCTGTTGACCTTCCAACTCTTGGGATGTACACATACCTTCCTTTCTTGCATTACAACACGCACAGCAGGAATACAGTTTTATTTATTATTAGAATAAGTAGCCTCATTTGGGCATAATTAGAATCAGAGTAATTGTGATTATGTTCCGTGGTCACCCACAGGTGAAGCTTTATGCTATGTTGGAGAAGAAAACTGTCAAAATCATCCAATAGCATTGCCCAATATGCCATTTTATGTAATTTTTAAAATCAAATCAACATTTTCTGCTTGGAAATAGAACAAGAGAGAAAAGGAGGGCAATGAGCATTTGCTCTTTCTCCTGTGTTCCCAGGATACATGGGCTCTTGCACACAAATGAAAAACACTCTCTACCAAGATACATAACAGAAATATTCTTGACAATTAGCATGTTACCCCAGCATAGTGGCTACTTTTAAGAAGTTTGTCTATTAAAATTTCTTCAAGGATAAAACACTCTGATGTTAAAATTACTATACTACTGAAATGTTTTAAATAATTTCATGGAGTTTTCAAGGCTATGGAGTATGTATAATGATTTATATCAGGCCTTTTCTTTTTTAAAAGATTTTATTCATTCATCCCTAGAGAGAGAAGGGAGGGAGAAAGAGAGAGAGAGAGAAACATCAATGTGCGGTTGCTGGGGGCCATGGCCTGCAACCTAGGCATGTGCCCTGACTGGGACTCGAACCTATGATGCTTTGGTTCGCAGCCCGCGCTCAATCCACTGAGCTATGCCAGCCAGGGTGTAGGCCTTTTCTTTTTCTAATTATGTTTCATGGACATTATAAATAAGGTGTGAATTGTCTCAGGCATGTAATTGTTTCTTTAAAAATGAATGCATCAAAGGGTGTGAGATTGACTAGCACACTAAACTGTGGAAAACATTCTCATTTAATCACAAAAAAATAGCTTTAGAGTTTACTGTTGTCGAGCTTTCTCTTTTTAAACATTGTTTTTAAAATAGGACTTTATGTTTAAAAATAACCTCTGATACTATTTCGTGCTTTTCAACTTCAGGACTGCAGCAGTTTCCTGCAGAGAGTTTGTAATGTTTTGACCTTTTCTGCTTGATGCTCTGTGTTTTGCACTTGGATGAGTATGAGGTTGAAGTCTTTGGCAAGATACAAAAGCATTTGGATCTACCAGTTTGTTAGTTGCTAAGAAACACTAAAGCAATGGAGGAGATAGACCTCAAGGAATCATGTTTCTTAGGTTCCTCGATTTGATACGGAAGGCATGGCGTTATTGTTATTTGATGGATCACATTTTGGTGTATACCATATTTTTCACTTGAGAATATTTTCTTTTCAGTGGGTATATTTGCATACCAGTTTAAAAATGAAAATCAATATTTAAGTAATGGAAGTAAAAGTGGTTCTTTGAGGAAGTAAACACAATTTCTGGAGAAATTTTAAAAATATGTGGGTCATACTCACATGGATTGCACTATACAGTCTATAAGCAAAATAGGCTGGCTTGTCTCGAACACAGAGAACTACAACAAATCAGACAGGAAAAAAAGCAAGTTTGAGAGTAACAATGTATATTTTCTTCAAAATTTGATAAACAATGAGCATACTTTTTTTCAGTTACAATCTTGGAAGGGTCTTTGTAGTTAGTTCTAGCTAGGACTCATAATACATTGTGTATTACAATTGCAACATTTAAATTAGGAGTAAAAACATAACCAATAAAATGTAAAGAAACAATATTATCATGATTAGTTCAGATTTTCATTTATCTTTATTTCTTGGAACTCTCTTATTTCCTTCATATAATGTATCCTTTTTATCTGAAAATTAAATAGAACTTCAAAGAGAGCCAGGTTACCACTGCTATTATAGATTTTCATTATTGTAGAATTCAGTTTGACACAGGCCCATGCAAATGGTTCATTTTCCAAAACACTATTTTTAGGGTATAGACTTGTGACTATATTTGAGGTCTGTTAAGGAGACGATAATTGGTCTATACCAGTGTTAGAAGTCATCTAATCAAAGCCATGATGGCATGGGAAAAGACTAAAGTGTAGTTAACAGTTGTTCTTGGTGAAAAGCAGTTGATGATTATAGGCATTCAATATAGTTTATTTGAATAAGTAAATAAATTAATAAATGAATAATCTAGGTGAGTCTATAACTTCTAGGCAAAATAAAATCATCATAACAGTATTTTCTCCAACGATTCCTTCAGATTGAGAGAATGTCATCTTTATCTTTGATGTTTTTACACAGCTGCGAAGCCCCCACACTCTCTTACGTTGCTGCTGCAGTGGAAGTGCCCTAAGGACAGGGACTCGTGTTACTTTTGTTGCTGTTTTGCTGTGCCATCTGCAGTGCCAAAGTCAATGACCAGACTAGTAAATACTCAGTAAATGTTCATTCAGTGAATGAACAAAGCAGTTCAATTGTTTTCTGTTATTTCTAATGTCCACTATTTCCTGACTCGTGCCCATTGCTTTGTGGCTGTGGTCTAGTGGAAAGAGCCCAATCCTGAGATTCAGAGGATGTGGGCTCCAGCAATAGCTTTGTTGCTCATTAGTTATATTTGTTGGGGTAGTTGCTTAACCTCCTTGGGCCTTGTGTGTAGAAGGAGGAGTTTTGATGTATGTAATTAATAAATTACAGTGAAAATCTGCTGAAATATATGCACCTTACTCTCAGAAAAATACACAAATGTTCATATTTTGTATTCTATTTTAGGGATTTCATAGAACCCACCAAAACCCTTTTTATGGAACCCTCGCTTAAAGCTCCTTAAAATTCTGTTATCTCCCAGCTTCCATGGCCATGCATGTCTGTGCCGCTGTAGGGGTGGAAAAGGCACAATATTCATTTACTCAACAAATATCTGAGTGGGTACTTGATGTGCTGTAGTGCTATAGGCACTATGTCACCATGACCCCCCATTTGTAGTCCTTTCGATGTGTTCTGTCAAGTCACGGCACAGCACAGAGTTATGCATGGGTGGTTAACAGTAGCTTTTGTGGTTAGCTCCGACTGTTTTTCCCTTCATAGAGGGATACTTTTTCTTACTCAGGGAGAAGCAGAGGGCATACCTCTCTCACAATAGCCTGCAGAAATCATTACTAAAGTAACAACTTGGTAAATCTTTTCTCTAGTAAGACTTTCCCCTAAAGGCAAATTTATTAGAGATGGTAACAAAACACTTTTTTCCTCAGGGAGACAGAGAACCCTTATTGCTGGCATTTATCTGCTCTTTAACAAGGAAATGGAAGTCAGTGTATAGAACACATATTTAAAGGTGTGAGATCCCAATTGCCTGAGAGACAGCATTAGAGAATCCTATGTTTCCTAGTATGAAAGTTAAAGCAGCTATTAGGGAAGGTTGTTTGTTCATTAAAACGATCCACTTGCCAGCTTAGAGCATTGTATCAGTATCTGATGTACTTTTCTTTTATAAAGTTAGCAAACCTTCTAAATTATTAAATTCAGGAGAAAGTGACTCAGTCAAGAGCTTACTCATGCATCTTTAATATAATCAGAGCCAATCAGCATTTGTTGTGGAATGAAAGGTTTGCTGTATACCAAATCAATTATTACTTACCAATTGCAACTAGCAGCTCTTGGAAGTATCCATCGTAACATTCATTAATGGCATCTACTATGTCTTGCCCAGAAATATTTTGAAATTCCTGGAAAACTTTAACAAATTGATATAATTCAATTGAAATATTGTAAATTTATAAATACAGTGATTTGAAAATACACATATTGATTAGATTGCTACATATAGTGAAGGTAAGTTAAGTCTAAGGGTGGGAATTGGGTTGAATTAGATCATCTTTAAAATTTTTTATAGATTTATCTGTGCTTTATATATGTAAAAAAAGAGTTTCTTTTTTTAAAGAAAAAATAAAAGAAGCAGAAAGGTACAACAGTTTGGGGGAAAATCAAACAAAGTGCAAACTAATATGAGTGCACCTCTTAGGCCAATATGGCATCTTCACATACATATATCTGGTGTCAATAATACTGATCTTGACTCACAGTAGACTGATTAAGCTATGCTCACTATATTATTTTCAAGAATATATATATAATATGCATAATAGTAAATAGTAATGTATTTGAATTGATTCTCCATCAAAAACAGAGATGGTTTTTAAAGGTTTGGTATTTCAGGTTATATTTAGTTTTTGAAAAAAAATAAAATTACAGGGAAACTTAGTTTTTAGTAATGTCATTAGATGAGGAATGTCTATATGAACATAATTCATATCTGTGCCTGTGAGATAACTGGCTCTCTTCTATTCTTGTGTAACATTTCCTCCCACCCCTACTTTTCATTTCCAGTTAACTACTTGCTTTCTATTGTACGATCAGTTAAGTGTCTGAAAAGGAACCAGGTTAATAATTACCCAGCCATAGCTGTTGGTAACTCTTGTTGCACAGGATCATTTGTAGCATGGTTTTGTGCTCCCCTGTCTTCTGCTGACAGGCTTCCCACAGGACCTGAAATGGCACACAGGCAGAAGTGGCACCCTAGCCGCCCCAGACCAGGCTAACACGAGAACAAAAGAAGCTGTTTCTATTACCATTGCATCCTGAGCAGCCATAGCAGGGTCTGTATATCCTTCCTCTCTGCTTCCCTGTGAAGTAAGCACAGGGTTTCCTTTGTAACTGTTCTTTTTTTATTATTTTTTAAAAATGTAATCTTTATTGTATTTTTCACATTACTTTTTAATTCCGTATACTCCCTCCCCCCACCAGCAATCACCACTGTTGAGTCATGAGTCCTTTTTTCTTTTCTGAATTGACAACTCATATAGAATTATAGGGACAAAAACCTGTGAACCGTGAACACATCAGTGATTCCTAAGAAAGTCCCATCATTATTTAGATTTAGTCTTAAAATTCTTGACTGCTTTATGAAATATCTTGTCTTAAAACATGGGTTCTCCTTTGTTTTTCTTTGCAGCAGTGATAGTATTTCAAAGATATTAATATGGTTTCACTTTTTCAACTTGCTGGGCAGTATCTTCTTCACCATCACAGAGCACCCTCTGCTTGGCTGTGGTGGGCGGCAGAGATGGGATTCGACATTGGTGGAGTGCAATTGCCCAGACAAAGGATGAGCTAACATTTGGTCTCTGACATATGAAATAGGACATATGCAACAGTAAAATAATCATGAAATCTAGACTCTGTGGAGCAATTGTATTTTGTACATTTGTTTCATAGCCAACTCTTTCATCATATATAAAGAACAGTCATGGTCAGGTTAATCTAAAGAATGTCTATTTCAAAATAGGAGGAAAGGAGGGCTAGCCAATGCAGGACCCTTTGGTCCCTGAATGTGATGAGGACAAGAGGGGAGAAGGAGGTAGGAGAGATGAGTGATCAGTTTATTTAACCTTTCCTTCGGGTTGAGATCTGGAGGAAAGGCTTATAAAGTCATATATCTATATATCTATATCTATATATCTATACTATATCTGTATCTATATCTATATCTATATCTATCATCTATATATCTATCTATATCTATACAATCTATGCTAAGAAAACACAGGGATAAAGTGGTTTCTGGTATCGCCTTCCCAGACCTGTAAAGGGCCACAGCGCAGTGACACGGCATGACTGGGCTGAGGGAGGTGCTGAACACAACCCTCTTTAATTAATCTTAATACCTAAGTAGCATGAATGGTTTCCAAATTTCTTATCTACTGTTGATGGAGAAACTGGCATGCTAGCTGAGAACCTGTTTAGGGAGCTTGAGAGATAGAATTGTTTATGACCATGGCAAGGATAGATTATTTCAGAAGCCAGAGACTACATGGTAGACCACATTGGCTGAACTGTGTGAGAGACACAGCTAGACCTTAGGAGGATGCTTCAGCTCCAGTGAATGCAAAGGTGAAGCTAAACAATCATGAAGTTTATTTGGTTCTGACCAAATGGAGAGAAAAAAAGAAGCAGCTCATAAGTTCACCAGTTGTATGGTTTGACAGCAAACACAGAGAAGCACTCATATCCATACTTCATATGCTACATGTTCAGAGTTGCCCAGAGCTGCTATTCCATTCCTGAGATGAGCAAGGGTGCAGAAAACATCTTGACCTGAAGACACTATCCCTCTCTTGTTGACAAGACATCCCATAAACCACATTCACCTCTCTACCAGGTGCCTTCTTAGAGAGGAAGACAGACAAGGGCCAGAAATCTGATAGTTGAGCATTTAACTCAATAAATATATACATGAGATTAACCTTATACTCTCACTTTGGCTGTTTTACATATTGAACCTATTAGGGTTTTTTTTCCCTTTGCTAATTAAAAGTTGGGGATATATAAGAAGGATCAATTTATTCATAGTGAAATTTTCTTGTGAGTAAATTTGTAGCCCTGGAAATTTAATATGTTTAATCATAACTCAGGAGTTGTGTATCATCTAAATTGATATGAACCTGTAAAACATATTTCATCTGCTTCATTTCATTTGCTTAAAGTATCAGGTGACTAAGAATGCACACATGCAATTCTTATTTTTAAAATCTGTGTACTTATATATAACTGTGCGTTATACATATTTGAACAAGGAATAGAAGAAAACACATAGAGTGAACATAATTTTAATGAGTGGTAAAGTATCAGTATTCATTTATTTTCAAATTATAGAAGTGTTGCAATGTAGGGACAATAATCATTTGTATAGTCTTGCCCCTTGAAGATAAAAACATAAATGGGATTATAGACATTTGGTGAATTAACCAAGGTCTGATTTTAAGAAAAGATGATTATTCTATTTCAGTGCTATTTCTGTCCCTGAGGTTTGGTGACTATACTCTTAACCCAAGGAACTCACTATTTTCAGACAGTCTCTTCTGGTTGCTGTCCTATGGTTTTAATTCACACAAAGCAAGAAATGACTAAAAGCAATTAATAGGCTATATGTTCTATGAATATATGCAATTATTTAATAACACAAACTTATCACTGTAATTCTTAGTCTTCATCTTATTTGGCCCATCAGTAGAATTGAAGCAATTGATGGCTCTCTCCTCCTTGCTATACATTCATCACTGGGCTTCCAGGATTGTGCACTCTCTTCTTTTCTTTCTACTTCATTGTTTAGTTCTTTTCAATCTTGTGGTTCCCTTTTTACGTTTAAATCTCTTAACATCGGATTGTTGTGGTACTCAGTCTTTGATCCTGTCCTTGTCTGTATCTACAATCTTTCCTTGGTTAATCTTAACCATGCATGTGGCTTTAAATCATTCATTTTTTTTTAGTGGGTTTCAATTAAACCAAATAGCCAGGTAAACATGTACGCTTGGAAAGTTTGTGAGAAATATTTAAGAATTTTCTGCAGTTCTGTGTATTTGAAATTTTTTGAAAGGTAGGAATTTTTGCACATTTAACTTGAAGTGAAGTGGTGCCTATCTGTTTACTTCTTTGTGCAGTTAATTGCCCAGAGCATTTTAAGCAGACTGACAGATTAAAAGGATGTGAATAAGTAAGTCTGTGATTCAGCTTTTTCCACCCAGACTGAGTTTGTCTTTTTTTTTTTAAAAAAGAGCCTAAGACAGCAGCGTTGTATGTGTAATTGATGTAAATGCCAGAGAAATGGCACAAATGAGTACAGAATCTGGATTAGGGGAAAACATGTCAGAGAAAGATATTAAGGGAATTAAAATATAGCTGAAACTATTTGGAGCAGGTAAGTCAACTACAGATGACCCCTGAAAGCTTTCAGCGCTAACATCCCCAGAGGTCTCGTTGCACAAGTCCGAGAAGCTGTCAGGAGGAGAATTCTGACAGCCAAGAAGAGGAGGAAGCATCCAGTTGGGAAGTTTCCATTGCTTCTCTTTGTGAAAGCATTCATCATCCCCAGGGTAATTTGCACATATTGATTAATTAATCCCTAAGTGACTTATTTTTCATTATTTGACAGATAATTAGATCTCCTGTAAATCTAGTTTAATAAAAGTACACAGGAAGCGTTGTAAGCCAGTTTAATGATTGGCATTAGTTTTCAAGAAGAACGTGTTTTGGCTGAGTTGTTTGTTATCTTATTAGAAATTACCCTGTAGGAAAATATTCTCTACATTAAGTGAAAGATCTTCTCTTCCCAAAAATATGACAGTAATTTTCAGCACTCTCCATTTCATGAACACCTGAAGGCTCTGGTGCTCTAATTCCCTGTCTCTGTTAATTCACAAAAAAAGGTGTGTCTTAATTTTCACGACGTGAAAAAGATGAAAGGCATGGACAGTCTTTCCTTTGCTTCTGAATGTGACCATGCAGAGGGAGGTAGACAATATAACTGTAACAACTGGAGAAATTTTGAATATTTGTATTAGGAGGGCACTGAGAGAAGAATTGGTTCATGTCCCTTAATTTACAGATTGAATCTCTCTGATCTAAATCACAAAAAAGTTAAATGATAACCCCAAGGACATACAAATGAATTATAACAGAGCCAAGAGAAACAGATATCTAAATATATATCTTGTTGTTTTATAGAGATGGTAGATAGATAGATAGATAGATAAATAGATTGATTGATTGATTGATAGATAGATGATAGTGAGACAGTCAGACTGAATGAGACTCCCAACTAGAGGGTTAGGAGAGATGTAGTTGCACTGCAGCACCCCTCAGTCATCTGGTTGGAACTCATCAGCTCTAAATTTCACACAACTTTAGGAAGAAATTCCATTTTCTTGTTATAAAATATTTAGACAGACTCTTTCTGAAATGGTGGTAAGGAGAAGAGATGGACTTATTCAACTTCCTCATTCACTTTATATCTTCTTCCAAACTGCTCAATTTACTGACCCAAACCCTGAATCAGGAGTTCTAAACAGAAGAGCCATTAATGTAGAAGTCAGGAGTCAGTGGAAGATCTTTGAAATATTTAAAAATTTAAGATAAATTATACATTTTACTAAGAAGTATGAATTATCATGGGACTTTTGATTTCCAGTAAGATGAATATTAAGAGAGATTATGCAAAGATACATCTTTTTATAAGTTTTTTTAACTTCTATTTTCTATTATGAGTAAAGTAATTTCTATTAAATGTATATTATTTTCTACATGTAAAGTGTGTTTTATATATTAAAGATAATGTACTGTGAAACTTTATAAAGATATAACTTTTAAGTAAACCGTATTAATTTTCCTTGACCTCTGATAAAATTTGGGTCTCTATTTACCCTTATTTTTGATATTCTATGTTGATAGGAAAATTTTATTGCACTAAAAAGCTATTTCAAAATTAAACACAGATACAATTAAAGTTCAAAGTCTAGAAATTGAACTTAATAAATTATACTTTATCCTGTGAAGTCACATTACAAATTTGGTGAAACCCAGTGATGAAATAAATTGTTGTGTATTATTTTAAAATATTTCTGTCTATACAGATAATATTATTATATATACAAATGCACACACTCACTTATATATTCTATCAAAGTAAAGTTTTATTGTTTAATTTCAGGAAAAAAGAACTGCAATTATGAATAAGATTGATTGCCCAATTACACACCAAGGGAAAACATTCTATTGTTTTTTCCCCTTCTGATATATTTTCTATCATGTCTAATTTTCAGAAGTGTTTTTTTTTCCTGACGTGTAAGAATATTTGCTTTATAAAAATACACTATAATCTAGATACTTAGATGTCAGTTACTTTCAGGAGGTTTATAGCTCATCCTTTAAAGAGGTTCAGAGATTCCAAGAGGTATTTGTGTATTGATCATTGACATTTTACCATGTAGAACTGGAGTGGAACCCGATGGGGTTGGAGGTTAATTAAAGTGAACAATGGAGGTTTAATGTGCTAAAGTCTGTTTTCATATTAGTCCTCTCATGCAGTACATGTGTAATTCTGGGCAGCCCATTTAACGTCTCTGGGCTCCAGTTTCCTCATCTCTCCAAGGAAAAGATGTAGTCTGTTGGGTTCCCCAGGAAGGTGACTCTGAGCTGGAGATCAGCATGTGCTTGTTTGTTATGGAATGTGCTTGGGATCAACACCAATGGAAGGGAGAGAAAAGAAGCAGAATTTGGCCAAAAGAGAAGGTGTGCTCTGATATAGCGCTACTGGAATGCAAAGTAGTCCTAATTTAAATATATATTTTTTCCTATTAGGCAACTTACATTTTTCTTCAATAATTATAATAAATTTCTATTTGGATATTAAGAAAATAAAAACTTGTTTGATATTAGAATACAGCTCATAAATTTACAATGGGATATTGGCTTTACTCTTCTATTAGGAATAGTATGTATACCAACATGAATTTCTGACTAGAAACTTGTTTTTATTTATATTATGTAGCATTAATACTTGAAAATTAAAAAAATAGTGACCCTTCTAAATTGAATGTTTTAATTAAAATTATTCTTATGACATTTAAAAGTTAAAAAGTATTCAGTTGACATGACAAATGAGATTGTTTTTAATATTAATAATAATTATTAATTTTTGCCATTACAATAACTAATTCCTCTTACAAATTAAAATAAGCCCATTTCTACAACTTACACAGAAATCTTAAGTTGAGCTATAAAAAATCAATCTATGTACTCTCTCCACCGATGTTACAAACCTAGATTTAGAATCCTCAGAACAGGATGTGATTGATTGAGCTTGGTGATATGGGCAGTTTATGAACTATGCAGTCAAACCATGCAAATCCAAAGCAAATCAAATAAAAACCAAACACAATAAAGCAAATTCTTAATTCTTTTAATTGAAAGTTTAAATCTAACTTGTTTGGTACTATGCTGCTTTTTGCAATTCAACCATGTGAAGGAATCCAATCTGCACAAATTACCATTTTCCTCAATTTGAAGAAGTATATACTTGGCTTCCTCAAAAATGTTTTCTTTTGTACTTATTCCTAATTCAAAACTGACAGTAACTTGGGCACAAACATAAACACACTCACAAAGAATTAAAATCCATGTATCCTGGCAATGAATGGAATTGTTAGTTTGTGCTCTAATCTGGCTAATATATTTATCTGTTTTTTAAAATTAAATCATATAAAATATATGTAAAGTATAGGAAGAAGTTTATAATCACATTAAACACACATGAAAATAAACCATACCTTCTGTCTTTGATTTGACATATGAATCCACCTCAAATGAGGAAGATAGCAAATTAACAGAGATGGTGTTCTGTTCATATTTGTTTGTTGCTTTACCCAACTCATGTTTCTATTACAGTGACTTAAATTGAGATGGTATTCAGTAAATGTTATCATGTATAATTTACTGTCAAACTATAATGCAATGGAGTTTTCTGTTTCATTCTTTGAAAATGAAACATATCTATTTTTGTAATAGTGCAAATTGGTGTGATCTTTTGAGTATCATACCTGGACCAAGTTCATGAGAGTATCTCTGAAGTGTCCTGAGGTCTCTGAATAAATGTCTTCTTGGAGGTTACTGCTGTATTCTGGGTAAGAAAACATCTATGTTAAAGGTATAAGATGTTATAGAACCATATACCAATGTACTTTGAATATGTTAATGCTACTTCCTCATTTGAGAAGTTGAGAGGGAAAATGCAGGAAATACAACCAACTTGTTGGTAGTTCTTTGTCCTTTATTGCTTTCTACTCAGATGAAATGGATAAACATTTCACCAAAGAAATATGACACATAACAGTAACCTAGGCGTGGACCTATTCTCTTCAAAAGTATTATTTTCATTCCAAAGTTGAAAAATAACATGGGAAGTAATTTCACATTCTCTAATTGTCAAAATTTAGAATTATGGATTATATTTCCATAGACTGCTGCTCAGCCCAGAACTTTCTCCAAGAGCTTCATCTCACTTTCATATTTCAGATGGAGGATCTTACTTCATTCCCCTTGGGAAAGGCTTGTATTTGTTCAAATGCAATAGAACAGACTGTCTGGAACATTTTCTCAACATTCAATGTCATATATTATGTAACACATTAAACCTTTCTGAAAATGAAAATAAGTTAACTTTCTACTTTTAAAATGTGTAAAACTATGATTTTGAGATAGATTACAGCAGTTATGGAATTTATATAAAGTGAAGTAGTTTCTCATATTTGTACCATTTCTGAGAACTTATTGTACTTATTGTGGTTTGTTTGTTCTATGCACTTGGTCTCTCTTGAGTGACAGAGAAAAATGCTCCTTGAACCACTGTGCTGGGTGCTTTCCTGTCTTAACGTAAACATTCACTTTATAGAAGCTTCTAATTATTGTCCTGGAAAATTTGCTTAATTTGATTGTATAGGGAATTGTTTAATTTTTAATATCTTAATCGTTTATTTTACTCAGGGAGTTGATTAGTCTTAAGTGCATCATATTTCAAATATGAGTGTCTTAGAAAACCCTTTAAATATATAAACACATATTTTTGTGTTATTTGAAAAATATAAGGTTTAATCCTGACTGGTATGGCTTATTCAACTGAGTGCCTGCCTGTGAACCAAGAGTCACTGGTTTGATTCCCAATCAGGGCATGTGCCTGGGTGGCGGGCCAGGTTCCCCAGTAGAGGGCGCACGAGGGGCAAGCACACATTTACTTTGATGTGTGCTTGCCTCTGGTGCACATTTGATGCATGTCTCCTCTTTCTCTCTCTCTCTTCCCCTCTGTCTAAAAATAAATAAATAAAATCTTTTAAACAAAGAAAAATATAAGGTTTATACATATATAAAATATATGTATTTTTCCTTACGCATACAGTAGGCTTCTCGCATTTGGAAAATTTCTCCATTTGTTCTTGAAGCTAATATATCAATGAGGCAATTCTCTTTGGTGCCAACTCCCTGGAAAGATAGAAGCAGAGATAAACATGAAGGCATTTGTATTGGGAATAACAGTGCACCTCATGTAATAAAAGGGATACAACATTCCTGGAATTCTGAGAGGTGGCAGAGGCTAAGAGAAATGTGTTTGGGTTCAAGACAAGCTCAGTTCAGTTCTGGCTCTGCAATTTACCAGCTGTTCCATCCTGAGAAGAAGATAATATTATTTGAAATCTGTTCCTTCATTTAGAATAAAATAATGTGGGCATTTCTGAATAATGTGGGGAAAGATGTTTAAACAATGCTCATGACCCTGACTTTTCTGCTGCTCAAATATCAGTTCTTTGGCAAGCTGAAATAAGAACCTGGATCCCCTAATTTCCTAAAGGATGTTTAGGGACTTCTCCATGTCTTTTCCTAGATGTAGAATGTTGTACCATTTGCCTAAAAATTTGAATTGGGTAGTTTCCATAGCCTCTTACAGTCAAATGTGTATACAGTTGTTTGTATGGAAAATAATACAATCGTTAGTAATTAACACAAAAATAAACTCTCTGTTTCACTTTCTCAGAACAGTAAACCTACTTTTGCCGCACCCTCCATTCTTCTCTGAAAGTAGTTTTAAACAGAACATCTTTTTCAGGAATCCTTACTATTCTATGAGGTAAAGATAAAATATTAGTTTCATCTAAACAGTAACATGACTTCCTTCTTGTAGTTTTTAGTCACACAATTTTGCAAGAGGTAGGAGTTGACATATGTAACCTAAAAAGAGCAAGTAGTTCAAATTCATATGAATTTTTAGACAATGCCTATTCTGATCTACAACATACGATGGCAAATATTCAGGTTCCCTTAAATTTGTTTTCCCTTTCTGTTGCACGCTGTTCATAGATTGTGGTGATCCGCTCATTGGCAGGCATTGTATTGGAATGATTTCAACAGTTGTGCAGGTGTTTAATACCAACATTTGGAAAGATGTGAAAAGCCATTTTGTTCCCCATCCCTAGCCAACAAAATCTCTGACAAATCTGCAGTCAGTTTATTTCATAGAAATTACTTTCCTGTGAGAAAGAAGATTCTAATCTTTCAGATGTAAAATTTAGATGGATTTGAGCAATAGTTTTTGTAAAGGACTAACTTAAGGTCACAAAAATATCCAAATAAAAATGTCATCTATATTTGCATCTGATTCAGTATCCTATTTTTACCCAATGAGCCAAATATTTACAAATAATTTAAAGAGTTCAAATAACACAACATCTGCCCTTAACACATGAATAGAATACACATTGGGGGCAGACAAATCCGAGTAAGTCCTTGATGCTTGTTTACTTTTTCCTTTCTGTAACTCAGCTGGGGCAGCGAGTGAACTTGTCTACCAATGGAGCAAGCTAACCTCAGCCAGTGGGATCTGGAGGACCCTCTTCCTCACAGGACCACTTCTCCTGACCACAGCATTTCCACAGTTTCTTTTTTAAAGACTTATTTATTTATTTTTGGAGAGAGGGGAAGGGAAGGAGAAAGGGAGAGAAACACCAATGTGCTAGAGAAACATTGATTGGTCACCCTGACCAGGAAGGGAACATGCGACCCCCTGGTTTGCGGGGCGATGCCCAACCCACTGAGCCACACCAGCCAGGGCTCCATTATTTCATCTTTGCTCAGATATTCCCTCCCCTCTCCCTGATCACATGTAGCAACATCACAGGAAAGTTCCTTTCTCCCGAAATATGGGCCTGTACCAGTTACAGGTATGTTTTTGCATCGGACCACTACCTTCATGGCATGCCAGAGTTCGTGAGCATCGTAAGATGGTGGTGAGTACAGGAGGCCAACCATAACATCTTTGAAGTGATCGGAAAGCTTTTCCTTCAAGTCCCCAATCAGGTCCTATAAAGAGCAAAGTAAATATTTTTACTGTATCAGTTACCAACTTTACAAGAGAAACAGGATAATTGCAGAAAGTCTTCTGGTCAAATCTCCTTTTCCATGTTATTTCACTTAGTAACAAGTCTGGTTTTGATTCACACATATACGCATGGATTACAGGAGACAATGGACTTGAGGGTTTGCATGTCTCCATGAGATGTCATCTCTATTGATATTTTAGTCATATAAACATGGAATAATATTCTTATTTTCTAATCTCAACCCCATCCCTCTTTTGACCTCATTAAAAAAACAAATGAAAGTTGAAACCTAGAAACATTTTGATTAGGAGTTCTTAGTTTTCTTGTGTGGAATTAATGAAACATTAGTCCTTAAATAAAATACGTGTTTTATTTTATTATTGTAGCAGTCTCTCTTAGCAGGGGGTTTCTGGTTATACTATGGCCAAAAAGCTTGTGTAAATAATTTAAGTAACCTTAGAACTTTCTTCAAATAGCCACATTACTACATTTATTTAAAATATTGAAAGTTAAACAGTTATAGAGAAAAATAAGCATCACGAATTTTTGACATTGGAAGACAAATAAAAGTATAAAATTGATCATTTTACTTTGACTTTTATTTTATTTTTAGTATAAAGTGTGTATTTAAAACATATATGTTAAATTTATCTTTTGTAGGGTTACAAAAGTATCTGTTTAAAATTTATTTTTTGCTGAAATATATAAAGTATATTCAATGTTACTTTAAAATGCACAATATTTTAGTTCTGAGGAGGTTGCACAATAGAATTCAAGTGAAAGATCCCAGTGAGGCATAATAAGCTTTAATACAGTAAATAACAAAATAGTTATAATATTCATTTTATTTGGTATTATGTGACAGCACTTCTCCCATAATGTAATTTCTTTGTCAGCAAATGAAAGCATTCACCCACATGGTGGTAATTGGTAGTAACACAGGGGATCTGTTGATTTTTTGCTAGGGTCAATGCAATTTGTTTAATGAGCAATATGTCTAGAATTGTGTCGGGTGTTCGTGTACATATAAAAGCATAAAGTCTCCATTTTCATGGAACTTATGTTCTATTTAATTCCCCTATTATTTCCCAGTGACTTTTTCTAATTCCTTTACCAAATAGTTGTTAAGATGATATTATGATCCAGACATTCTTCTAGGTACTGGGGATAAAGTAATAAATAAAACTGAAGTGAACATGTGAGCTTATAAAGCTTATATTCTCATATCGACAGGAGGTCAGTGAATATTTTTTGAATGAAAGGTTGCAGTTACTCAACAGATACTTATTTAATGCTGTTTCCCAGACATGGTGGTGTGGGAAAAATGCAATGCAGTCTGTTTTCGAGGAGGTTCACAATTCTACAAACCTAGAGATAAACATAAGTAAAAATAAGTAAAAATGTGAGCTAACATAGTTTCTAGGGCTGTCGATATAATTTTTCCCAGCAGATGCTAAAGCAGGAATACAAGGAGATCAAAAGAATTCAGACGAATGGATTTACAGAATTGGGGAAGTGGGATGTGTTTAGGCAAAGAAGGACCAGTAGCAGGGAGACGGGAGACAGAGAAGCCATTTGCAATGGTTCATTTTCTGTCAACGTGACATTTTTATGGGTTAATGTTTGACCAAATGACTGGGCCAATGACCCAGTCATTTGGTCAAACATTAACCCAGATGTTTCTGTAAAAGTATTTTTTGATGAATTAACATTTAGATCAGTAGACTTTGATTAAAGCAAATTATTTTCCATGATGTGGTGGACCTCATTCAGTGAGTTGCAGCCTGGATAGAAGGGCACTCCTCCCCAGAGGGAGAGAATTCCGCACCAGCAGACCATCTTTGGAACTAAACCGCAAGTGCTCCGGGAGCTGCTGGTAGAGAATCCGCATTTTGACATTGCTGGTCTCTACAACCGTGAGAGCTAATTCCTTAAAATCTCTGCCTCTATAAATATAAATGATATAGATTATAGATATAGGTGATATAAATATGTGAAGAGAAGAGAGGAAGAAATACTGAGATTTTTTTTGGTGTGTGGATGGGCAGGGACTCAGGAACTGCTCAGATAATGCACAAATCAGCCTGGCCTGCAGCACAGCTGCAGCAATTCACTCTTCCCAGAAGTGTGATCTCGCGGGATCTCAGGAGTCACGAGATGGCACGGGAGTCCTGTCCTGAGAAACACCTGGGTGTCTGAGTGCTAAGGCTGGGTGGGGTCTCAGACTCTTCAGTAACGAGTGTGGCTCATGGCACCTATCGAGCAAATATGTACACATACGTGTGCATAACCCTGACACTACACCACCCAGGAAGGTAAGTCAGCTGGTAAAGAGAAGTGTAGAGTCGGGTAATCCTGTCCCAGTGTGCTTGCATTTGTGGTGGAAGGCAATCTGGAGACCGAGAGATCCACTTGGAGACAAGACAGCTATTAAATTAGACTTCTAGCGCAGAACTGCATGATGATTGTGGATCTTTGCTCCTGCAGGAACGCAGGAACCAGCGCAGCTTTTGGTGACAAAGACGCTCTAAGGCTGTGCTCCATTAATTCACCAAATGATGATGGCTTCTTGAGATGATGATTTTCTCAATATGCATCAGTAAGAGATACAACCTTAATTAATATTAGTTATTTTAATTTTTATGTCTACCCCCTTTTAATTTAAAAGTAGGATATATCTTAGAAGACGTGTGTCCTTAGAATTATTTCCTTAAATAATTTCCAGTTCTTTTGTTGTTTTAAAAGTCTAGGATATAACACTTATTTTTTTTCCTTAATGGACTCTCCCATGCAAAAATAAAAACAATTATAAGCTACTTAAAGGGAATCAGAGGTGTTCGAATTTAGCAGTTTTTGGCATTTTTTCCATCCTAGTATACCATAGAAAAAGTATTGACCTCACATTAATATTAGTGACATAAAGTAATGATTTCCTTAATAGTGCTAGGGATGGGCCATGTGAGAATTCTAGGTGAGAAGAGGAGTTTCTAAAGTTGTTCAAGTGAATTTAATATAATACCCCGTTTGAAAGTGGGATGATTGTTCTTTTACTCCGAGTGAACGTTGTTGAAGTGGAAGAAACAGTATATACATAATAAAAGCAGAGCTATAATCTAGTATATATTATCAAAGGCCAAACTGAGGCTCTCCCAGGCAGTGCATAGAGACTCACAGAATTATAGAAATTTCTAAAAGAAAGATACTGTCAATAAAATGGAGGTTCATGGAAAGTGTAGATGAGCTAAACCTTGAAAGATAAGGTGGGAGTGAGTTAGGCAAAGACATAGGAGATATCAACAATGGACAATATTTAAGGACAGAGAAAATGCTGATCTGGGTAGAGTAAAATGTGCATATGAAAGGGACAAGCTAGCTCTTAATAAACACTGACTAGATTGATATCTAAATGTTTTAAAGGAGACTTTGAATGTCAGTTATTCTTTTGACTCTGAATTCAGAGTGGAAATACCATGATAATGGAAATTCAAGCAGGTCAGACAGAAGAGCATGATAATGCTAATAACCACTAATATTTATTGTTCACTGTGTCAGCCAGGAGTCAGAGTATTAGAATAGCTGTAATAATTTATTACAACAGCCCTATGAATTAGGAACTATAATCATCCCACTGTATAGATGATAAAACCATGGCACAAAGAGCTTAAGTAGCACGTTTCATGTAAATCAACAAGTAAGTGATGGAACCTGGATTTTAAATCAAGCAGTTTGGCCTTCTAGTCTCCTTTTTATGTCATGTAGGCCATAGGAAGCCACCAGTCATATATCATCAGCAAGGTGATGAGCATAACATATAGGTGGTGAATGTAGCATTTATGGACATTTAAATTTAGTGGCAGTGCTTTGAAGGTTTAAATGGAGAAATGATGGCACTTAGCAGGTGCGGGAAAGGTAGAAACATTAGACTCATCATCCCTCTTATGAGCTGTCCCCTAATGCCAAGTGAAGTGCATTATTTCTTTGTGAGTGCAGCTCTGTCTTCCCATTTTTTACACTAGATTTTAATGGCCATATTATTTGCATTTATTTTCCCACAAAGTCTATCAAGATGTGGGTTTCTCATAATTTTTCCTAAACTTATCACTTAGCTCTAGCATAGTGGTGTATATGCAAAATTTACAGAGTATAAAGTATGTATATGTATATATATCATATAAATAAATGTATAAACAAGTGAAATAATGAAAGAAAGTAGAAAGAGAAAACCCTTAATTTACTGATTCTATTTAAAGGTTAGAGGAAATGTTCAAACTGAAGATGGCGTTGGCATTGCAAATGTCTTTTATCTACTCTTTAGTCACCTTTTTTTTTTAATCACTGTCCCTCTCAAACATTTATAATATCTTCATCTACTTTGCATGTTAATACTGAACACCTCTGTACACATTCCACTGTAGACTGAGATAAGTAACGCCACTAGATGGAGCTGGTATGTCTTTGTTTTGTTTTTGAGGTGTATAGGAGTGCGTGTATGCAGGGCTATACAGCACACAGATTTTATAAAAGATTGCAATGAATTTATATCATTTCAGTGAAAGAAATGGTATCAGATATCATCTAATGCCATTAGAGAGTACCGATTCTGGAGGCAGATTGTTTAGTTTTGAGTCCTGGCTGTGCAAAGTACTAACTGTGAACTTGCACTAAGTAGCCTATTGAGGCTACTTAACCTCTTTGCATCTGCTTCCCTATCTGTGAAGTGAATTAAAAATAGAACCTACCTCAGAGCCTTGATCTAAGTATAAACATATTTAACTTGAGTGAAATTTCAAAATATTTTCTGGCACATATTAGGCACTCAACAATGTCTATTTTTTCCTCCAAAAAATATTAAGTAGTTTACTGCAGATCAAAAATGGCAAATACTAGATAATCTCCCCGTCTCTCCACTCTGTCTATCTCTGCTTGTCTCAGTCTCTCCACCTCGAAAGTTTATTCAATTTATCACAACTTTTACAGTAC